CTCCAAGCCTGAGGTTGCCCATCCCCATTCTATTGCATTTATTTGTGCTGTTGTTCTTATTTTATAACTGACATTGACATTTTACTTTTTTTTTTTTTAAACCAAAATAAAAATTTAGCAGCGAGGAAAAGTACATTTTTGTTTTTATATGCTGTCAATATTATTTCTTATGAAAATCGGAATCAGCAAAAATCGGCAGTTCACACTTAAAATCTGACATCGGAATCGGTCAAGAAAATTGCAATCGGTGCATCTCTAATTGCGATCCCTACTTGACATCACACGCCCTGTGATGTGACTATCACAGATGCGCACATCGTGAGGTCGGTGCTGAAACAATATATCGTGCCACTGACCCACTTCATGCGTTTCGTTGCTCTATCACAGACAGCCTCATTTAATAAAAAAATGTACAACACCTTTTCATGTTTGACTTGCCTCAAGAAGCTACCCTACACCAGACCTATTCCACTCAACTGTACCAGGTGCTCAAACATGGTGTCGTCTCAGGTTCTATTAGCTGTTTGGTTTACTTTTCTTAAGTGCAAGCAAGCAATCATTTTCCTTTTGGAGCAAGAAATCAGTATGTGGACCAGACGTTCACCTTTTTTTTTTTTTTTTTTGACTACATTGTGTCTTGCACCTGTAATAACCTTTTGTCTTATTATTTCTTTACTAATATGGAGAAACGAACAACATTTTCAGAATTTTTGCTTTTTCCAATTTTTGTCAAATTGTTTGCAGTCTGGAGCCCTGTCTATAAGCTTGTGTCTAATAAAGTTGTATTTGTATTGTATTTGCATTTGGCTTTCCGTAGATTCTTCAGTTCATTGTTTGGTAATTTAGAAATGAAAGCTGTTGTTGAGTTTATTTAATTTCATAGGAGGAGCATTCTAATGACAGCTTGCTTTTCCTGTTCATTAACAGAGATGTATACTGACCTTTACTCTGTGTAATGCAGGGAAGTTATGATTAATTATTTCCCCTGCTTGGGACATGAATGGTAACTCTAACAATTAGTTGTTTAAGGCGGAAGTAATACCTTATTGAATACACACAAATGTATTCAATAATAATACAAGTAGAGCTGCACAATTTATCACATTACAATCAATATGTCAGAGTGTGGCTTAGTGTGTTAGTTTGAATGTGCTGCATGCTTCAAAGTGAATGAGCGACGCTCTGTTCTGTCCTTAACTACACACATACTCCAAGCACACGTGGTATGGGACTCGTGATAGTGTTTTCAGCAGCCTCAAAAGTTCGCTATATTTTACTGCTCCACATGAAAAGTTGGTTCACTTTTTATCCACAGTTCAGTTTTGTGGTAAGTAACATGCAGGCAGAATGCAAAGTGCTCTGTTTACTTTAATTTTGCATTGACGTTATTCCAAACCTGATTATAATGTTAGGCAGGAGTGTAATAAAAACTGTAGTGAGCTACACAAAAGACTTAAAGACCCCCCGTGGTGAAAATTAAGTTTTTAATGTTTATATGTCTATGTATGTGGTGTTTTTAATATGCTTTAAGTCAACAACATTGCTGAGTATTTTCTCCTTAAAACTGCAGTGAACCAAAAGACAGTCTCAAAAACACAGTTTGAAGTTGCTGGTGTTTCTGACGTCACAAACTACCTTGTAACCAATCACGTCAACATGCGGGCGGGCTTTAGCATATTAACTGCGGTCTCGAGAGAAGCCAGGTTATCCCAGTATATTTTTCTGTTGATATGAAAAATCAGGTAGATTAAGCAATATGTCGGGTGAATTATGTATATATGATGTACATTATGATGTTATGATGAACTATATGCCTTTCTCCACTGGCGTTCTAAGGATACTGATTTTTAGAAAGCGGCTGTCAGGCTCTGAGATGGTGAACGGGAACATGTTTTTTGTAACATAAGCAGCACATTATTAGCTGTTTGATAACGTAGTCAAGCAAAAGCCTAATCATTAATTACCGTTATGTGTCCGATGTTGTAGAGAGCGATACATAAAACGCATTACCATTCTGATACATCGACTTGTGTACGGTACATGAGTTAACCGAGTCGGTCTCTGAGCTGGTGTGAGTGAGTGGAGCCTGGGCTAATTTTCATATTCTTGTATCCGCTATCCACGTTTATTAAATTAAGCGAGTGTGTAGAGTTACATTCAAGCTATTTTAAGGTGCGAGTAAAAAAAATTCACAGGATTTTTTTTTTTAAATGTAATTTTACTGATCAAAGATGAGTTTTAAGGGATAAAATTGACTACAGGGGGACTTTAATGTTATCGTTTACCCAAAAGGGAAAATTCAGAAAGTTACTCATGTTGTTCCAATTTCATGTGACTTTAGTTCATTTTCAAAACACGAATAATAATAATAAAAAAATATTCTCTCATCATTTTTGTCCAAAGTCATTTCATTGAAAGTCCACGAAACCAACACCTTTGCACATTAGTAGAGGTCGACCGATTCATCGGTTTTGCCGATTAATCGGCACCGATAGTTGTTTGGTGGAACCAGGGCCGTAGCTAGAGGATTCGGGGCCCCCTGAAAAAATATTGATGTGGGCCCCCACCACCCTCCACCAATATCATATACTGTACAATAGATGAACATGGAGGCCCACATAACAGAAGATGGTGATGTTGTTGTAAAACCTTTATTTTAAAAGTTAAATGTTTATATAAAAATTACAACTAATAAAAAAAGCAAGAAATTGTTAAATAATAATAAAACCAATTTTTAAAAAGTAATAAAAAAAATTCCCCATCAGTCTGTTATAATTCATAAATCAAAAAGTAAACATTTAAAAACTTGACAAGAATGCAGTCTAATTAAAAAAATAAAAGCATTCATTGTCTTATTTTTTAATAAAGATAATATGGAACTGGTAATATTATTAAATAAAGCGAATACATTTATTCATCCAAGTGCAGTGTGTTGTCTTCGTGTTTTCTCTATGTTTTAAATATCATCAGCCGGCAGGTCAGATGCATAATGCAATGCGTCGTGACTCGTGTAATTTTTTAAAAACTCTAGTTACAATACTGTAAAAAGACAGGAATTTAGACCACGTAATCATTCGGTCGATTGCGGCGCGCACCGAGAATAAACAATGACTGTACACGGCAGACTGTAGACGGAAGTTTTCTAATTCCCAGCGAAATAACAATATATAACCGGTCTTTAAGAACGTCTTGATCGACTAGGATACCACCACTCTCCTTGCCTCCCTCTCCGTCTTTTCCTGGCATTTCTGGTTCCCTGATTTGTTTTCTTTTCCCCATTTTTGACATTGACATTTGACATTTTTCAGTCAGTTAGTCTCCTGCTCTTCCACCAAGTTCATCGTTAACTTCAGGCTGCCGCCTCAACTCTGATTGGTTCTGTTCACGAGCTGGGGCGGGACTTACAATTTTATTGGGTCCATCTGATGTTTGTCACTGACTCTGACTGAATAATTAATTCAACATTTACTAATGCATTTGAAATGGAGTTTTAATTCTTATTTTATCTTTTATTACCTTAGTTAATGTACTATGAATGAACTAACATGAATGATAAAGGTACAATTGTATTGCTCATATTAATACATGCAGTAAAAAGGTATATTGCATTATGCATATAGTTCATGAAAGCTAGTTCATACATCCTTGTTTACAAATGGGACTTGCAAAGTGTTACCTATGAAATGTACTTATGTTTTTAGGTTATAGCTAACGAAACCTGTAATATTTTAATGTTTAAATTATTTTCTATATAAAGTTTTAATATATTCATATTTATTTATTTAATTGAGCACATTTCAGTTCAGCACTGTTTTATTGTGAGTATGATGTTTGTTTTTAATCCAGTATCCATTAAAAAAAATATCGGTTGAATTATCGGTTATCGGCATGTACGGTCAAACCTAGATATCGGTATCTGTAAAATCCACTATGGGTCGACCTCTACACATTAGCCTACCAATTTTAGGTGAACTCACTTATCCTTCAGTTTCCCACCAAAATAAAGACTTGAGGATGAATGTGAAGTAATTACTACAGAAATATTGTGTAATGCAATAATAGTTAATTATTATACTTATAGTTAATTATTATAGCAATAATTATAGTTAATTATTATAGTACACTATATACAGAAATATAGTGTAATGCAATAATAACAACTAAAGTGAATAAAAAAAGATTCACTTCCGATACAGAAGCCATTTCTTCTTAATTTGTTGCAGTTTTGTTGTTTTAGGATTGATGTCTTGGCAGCAGCAATATATTCATTATATGTAGCAAAACTTAGTACCTGAAGATCTACAGCCCTGGAGAGTGTAATTCCAACACACATACCTGTAGTTTTCTTGATTAGCTGGATTTAATTCAATAATGTAATTAGGGTTGAAGCTAAACTTTGCAGGTCTGTGGCCCTCCTGGAACTGAGTTTTGCACCCCTGCCGTAATCCTATCCCTATAGTAATGTAGGTAGTTAATGATTATGTAGTTATTAATGTACATAGACATTTTTCACCTGCATCAAGCTATTTTAGTTAGCACCATACAGATTATAGTGGATATTTGCAGGCTGTCAAAACCTACTGAAAGGATTACAAAGTCTTGTCTCAGTCCCCAACACCCCACTATTCGTCTGGACGACTGTTTTATTGGACCACCATCCCCTCAGGATTAGCAGAGGGGATTTACGCCACGCCACCGCCAGCACTTCCACTCTGGCTGTCATCGCAGGGCTGAATGTTACTGTGTGGATGTTTGGGAGGGCTGTGATGCTTTATTATGAGTGCACATGGTCAGAATGGCAGATACACAATTGATTTAATATAAGTTGGAGAGTGAGTAAAAATGCTAATGGATGAATTATGGCTCGCTCTTTTATTGTGTTTGTAACGGTTTTTGTCTGGGTACATGGCTCAAGTCAAGTTCACAATTATTGCTGCTTCACCTTTATCTTGTATGAACTGCTTTAATGTTTCTTTTCTAATTTATCTGTTTCTCCCTAGATGGCAAGTGGATCAAATTGGTGTTAGTTCCAGCATCTGTTTTGCTGTGGTCTGGTGTGTCGCTGTGGAGGAAGCATCCAAGCCCAAGTAACCTCGGTTTGCACAAGAGTGTGAGATTGTGTCTCATCCCTCAGTTCGTCCGCTGAGGAGCTGCTCGGGACTGTTCGCCAGCTCCTTACTCGGGGCAGAGACAGCGCCCCCACCCTCCTGACACAATGGTGCTGTCACAGAGGCAACGAGATGAACTGTGAGTCCATATTCTAATGCAATCAAAACATACATCTCTGGATCTCAATCACATTAATAGGCTGACATTTACCATATTTTTCGGAAAATAAGTCACACTATAAGTAAGCTATTTTCTGTCAATGTGCGAGACTTCCGATTCGTTGGCTGCTACAAGTAGGGCTGTCGCGGTGAAGTAATTTCCCTTGCGGTAATTATGTATTTATTTGTTGTTATATAAATAAGTGTTACGATGTGGTCAGCATGCACAAAAACGAGGACATTTTCTGTAACCGAAACTAAACAGCATTTCTGCGCATTGAAAGGCTGTCACTCAGCGCGCAGTTACATTGTTATGGCAACGGATTGTCCTTGAGTCATTAAACCGTTCATTCAACGGACACATTAAAAAATGCTGATTCATTAACTTTTAAAAGATATATGTAATGAAACAAGTTGTTAAATATTTAATTAACGTTGAGCTCCACTTTTCAAGGCTCAGCTGACGAGAAATGCGTTGCATGGGTAACGCTGAAGCTGATGCTTAGCTTAAAGCAGCACTAAGTAGGAATTCCATTTTTGTCAAACAGCGACCCCTAGAGTCGCTGTGGAGTACTTGTACTGTCGTGAATAGCACTCACGCAGAGATGGCTCGCACTCACGGCCGGATCCCCTCCCCCTGTACACTAGGGGTGGAACGGTACACAGAAGTCACGGTTCGGTTCATACCTCGGTTCAGACATCACGGTTCGGTACGATTTCGGTACAATGGAGTGAAAAGCAAAACAAAAATGCAGAAGGCATTTTTATAAATGTCTTAAACCTTGTATTTTTTTAAATAAGTTTTATTAATAAAGGCATAGAACCAGTTTATTTGTAGTGCACTGACAGTAGTTTTATATAATTAGTTTATTAATTAAATTATTAAAAAGACGAAAAGACCTTGAGATATGTTTGGTAATTGTACCTGAATGAATTTAAAATTAATTTGCTATTTCAGATCAAGATATTTGTTTTCCTTCATTTTAATTAACTAACTTTATTCTCATCTGAATTATAAATAATTGATTTCCGTATAAAATAATACTACCATAAAAACTTTTGTTAACAGTTGTAGGTTACAGTTTGACAAGAGTTTAGAGTGTGACAAAAGCACAATGTTGTGTTTTATTGCCAGTGTACACAAATATAAGTAAACAATTTGCAGTTTTAATGATGTCCTGTATGAAAAAAATGACGGAGTATGTTTTTACGTTTCCACTGTTCGATCGCCCGTGCCTCTCTCTCTCACACACACACACACACTGTTCATCACGCGATTCGCGCCCGCGCCTCTCTCTCTCTCTCGCACGCGCGCGCACACACACACACACTGTTCGATCGCGCCTCTCTCTCTCTCGCACACACACACACACTGTTCATCGCGCCTCTCTCTCTCTCTCTCTCTCTCTCTCTCTCTCTCTCTCTCTCTCTCTCTCTCTCTCTCTCTCTCTCTCTCTCTCTCGCGCGCGCGCACACACACACACACACACACACACACACACTGTTCATCGCGCGATTCGCGCCCGCGCCTCTCTCTCTCGCACGCGCGCGCACACACACACACACTGTTCGATCGCGCCTCTCTCTCTCTCGCACACACACACACACTGTTCATCGCGCCTCTCTCTCTCTCTCTCTCTCTCTCTCTCTCTCTCTCTCTCTCTCTCTCTCTCTCTCTCGCGCGCGCGCACACAGACACACACACTCCTGCATTGCAATCTTGATCGCAGCCTGTTCATTGCTGCGTTAACAGTCACACCAAAAGCGAATAGAGCGAAATTTATCGCTATTTAAGAGTTTTTTTTTTTTAATTTGTACCGTGTATTCTGCGTGCAAATTCGTGCACCGAACCGTGACGCCCGTACCGTTTCGGTTCAATACGAATACATGTACCGTTCCACCCCTACTGTACACCGGTACCTGTTCAGTAGGATGGACGCTGTAACGAGTGGAAATAAGGTATGGCCCCTTTAAGAGCTGCGCGCGCCCTGTTTAACTGTCGGCAGTCTGTATTGTATGTGCGCCTCGAACACCACATGTATACGGCGCCGGGTTATTTCAGTTTGATGCTCATTTTATCAGAATTTTATCAGATCTGCTTTTTGCCGTAAAGCAATTAGTTACCTCGCGAGACCTGATATCACACGATACTTCCTAACACTGAGGCCGACGGCCCGCCGGCCCAAAGTTGCAAGGGTGGTTTTGCGGCTCACAGGCACCAGGGGGGTGCGAGACGACCACCATTCAACACGAAATCAGTAATGTAAACATTACAATGACTCCAAAGCTGTTCGGTTAAGGTAAACAAGTTACTTAGTTCACCTTTAATAGAGACCAATGGGATTGATTCAATGCGTGACTCGCTGATATTTGTTTCCCGCGGCTTCCTCGCGCTGTGGATGCTGACCAGTGCTGACGCCATTCATGGTAAATATTTCACGACAAATATTTTGCTTTTCTTGGACACAGCAACCTTTTCACGAATATATATGACTTGGCCTCAAAGACAGACTCAGGTAATCGCACGCGCTCAATCGATCTCTGTCATTCACTGTCTGTTTAGGCTTAAGTGCAAAAATAGCCTCTGTACAAATCACCATGATAAACAGTGTTGTTATCATTATTAACTTATTTAACATTTAATACACATGCACAAAGTGAAAAAAGAAAACAATATTGCGGTTATTGCGACAGCCCTAGCTACAAGTATTACTAGAAGAATAACAAAGTGCAGTAAATGGTAAAACTGTATGTGCTACAGATAGACCAGTATGTTTATGATAATGACAATAAATAAAGTATGACGCCAGTTTGCAATATCAAGCAGCATAGTGAAATATTTTTGTACAGCTAAAATATTCAATGGCTGTGTCTGCTCTTACATTAAAAATAAGGTGAAAAGTCACACTTGGTCAGAATTGCATTGTAATTGCAGAAAAAACTAAACAAATAAGTAGCATTGGTGTATCCATTTCATTTTGAACTTGTCGCTCACTGCACTATACAAATAAATGTGGCCTCGTGTACTTCTCTCATTTGGCACAAATCTAAATGTGCACACTTTGTGCTTGTTTTGCATGCTAGATGTTAATTACATGGAAGTCACTTTGTAATACAAGTCGAGAACATTTCAGATGATAAAAAAACACGACTTGTATTCCGAAAAATACGTTAAGTGTCTGTTTGATTCTGAAATGCTTAAATATCAACATGTGATCAAATAAAATGATTATACCTCGTGAAACCTGATATCAAGTGCAGTTCATTGCAGTAGTGAAGAGCATGGCTGCCTGCGCCTCAGGGAGCTTCCTGCGACAGCAAGTTAGGTTTAATATTTTATAAAGCCTCATGACTGAGGAGTGGAGGATGGGTTCATAATTACGTGACTATCCTTGTGCATCCTCCACGCTTCATGTAGCACCAGGGGTCTTTTGGGTAATCTCGCTGATTTAAAGAGTGATGGTTTGAAGAAGCTGTATTAAGAATATATGATATTGGTGAAAAGGCAGTTGTGTCAAATATTTGAGCACATTTGGATGTGTCCTTGTTGGCTGGCCACCTTGTTTGGAAGGAAAGTTATTTCTGGGAGCTTGTACTGCTGAAGCCTTTAAGCCAAAGCCACATAACAAACATCAAAGACTTAACCAGTTGAGGCCAATCTAATCTCTATACTGAAGTTGAATCTCACTTTACTTTTTTAAACATTTCTTTAAAGTGTATAATTTCTGCTCTGACACCAAATGACATTTGTCAAACTGGTTTTGTAATATTGATGAAAATAATCTATTTTTGGGGATTTTGTCAATAACAGGATTTAGACTATATTTTTAGTTTTTGCTGGGACCATGGCTGGTTTAGGCCTGTTATGGACAGCTGATTCACAAATATTTTCATATTCATATTCTGTCCAGTGACAGACATTAACATTTCCATTTAAGGAGTGATAATTTCCCCCCATAAATTAATTTCCAGGGGCATTTTTACTAGAGGTTGGGGAAAAAAATATCACATAATATGAATCGTGATTGTATCTTATATCGATTTGTATTGCATATCTACTTTGCTTTTAAGATTGTGGACATATTTTGGGTTGGGCATATGACATCAGCTCAGGATAGGATACAGATTTGGGGAAAAAGTTTTTCCCAAGTCACCATTAAGAAACTTAATGCCTGGTTCATTTGACTATCTTCGGGTGGCTGTTCTTTTGAATCCAGTTTTTGCTTTTGGTTACTGGACTGCTTGTGTTCTGTTCAGTTTCCTTCAGAGAAGTCACTAAGTCTAGTCTCGAAGGTGCTGACGTCACTACCTTAATTTAACCCATTGTTCAGCTAATGAAATATTCACCATCATCTGAAGAGGTGAAAGACTCATTTACATAATGAAGCACAGGAAGATAAAAGTAGAGGCTCTGCGTGTGTGTCGAGACAAGTGAAAGTGCTCAGTCTTCCATTTTGGCCATTCCTGCTGTGTCATTTGAGACTTTTTCCATCCTCGGTGGCAGGTGTCCATGACAACCAGGGTACTGTTTTGGTTACTTTCCTGCTCCGGTTTTTCCCCGGTCTCCACTTTCATTAAGAGATGGAAGTGCACTCTTTATAACCATGTAGTGTGACAATTATTGCATCACCAAAACATCTATCAAATCAGTGAGTAAAGTGGCAAGTAAACTGTAAGTGATTACATTACATTAATAGATACTTTCTATACTTTGTAGAGTGTTAAATAAAGCAAGAAATATTGTGAATGATGAGAGGCATTTTTTAGCCTCTGCTTTCGAATTGTTGCCACCTGTCAGTGTCAACACTACTGTGTTTCCCGTTGTGTGAAAAACGGGTCCGGGTCCGTTCTTTTAATAGTGTTAATTGATGGCCAGCTGGTCTGGTTAAATTTAAAATTCTTTACATTTAGGCTACCGGTACTTGTTTGTATGCTAACTAACAAGCAAATGCTAAAGAATGGCCACATACACACTGCAGCTAAATATAGTTGTCACTTTAACTTCATTCTGTGTACACAGTTTTAATTCAGGACTGATATCTGGATTCTGTAAATTGAACAATAATTTAGCAGATTCAATTCTGTTGTCACTCACAAAACTTTGCACTTTGCAGTCTGCACTTCCAATGAGTCTTGATGTCCCTAACAACATTTGCATGGTTGTGTAGTGGTGTGACCACATGTGACTACATTCAACAATTTGAGCATTGAGCTGCTTTGAGATCCCCATATCTATGGGACTGAGTTATATTGGGCCTTAAAAAGATTCCAAAAGAAAAGCTAATTAAGAATGAGAATCTAAAAGGATACTTTGAGTTACAGGCATGACAACTTTAGAAAAATAATATTTATGGCACTCAGACAGGTATGTTCTATGCAGTTGAGCTGATAGAAAAAAATTAGATACATTTCTAGTTTTAACATTGTTAAAAATAATGGATATAATAATTAAATATTCCTCTGTAAAAGAAAAAAAGTATCCGCTGTATGCAAAGTGACCCAGATTTGGTTTTTGACCACTGAAAATGTGTACAATTTACTCATAGTGCCGCATTAAGATATCCATATCTCTGGGATTGAACCATCGAGGGCCTTTAAAATGAAGATACCAAAAGGAAAGTTTGTTAAGATGAGAACCAGAATCTAAAAGACTATTAAGATATTTTTAATACTTCTTGAGTTACAGGCTTGCTAACTTGAGGCAAAATATGCCATATTTTAACTGTCACCATTGGCATATAATGAAACAAAGATTGTTAAAGTCACAACAGATGACCTACCAATCTCTAGTCTGTGTAAAAATAAAATAATGATGCTGCCATCTTTTTAAAGTCATTTTTACACCCCTCTAATTTGGCTCCAAATCTCAGGTGAAAATTGTCCTTTTGACCCCCCGATAACAAAATATTGGATTACTCCGTAAATGTACATCTGTGACATTTAATATTTTGACTTTCATCACTATTTATGTTTGTCTTTCTACAGAAAAATATTAACAAAATCAAAAGTTTGAACCAGGGACCTCTGGTTAAGTTGACACTGAATGACCCATCTCTGTCACTGCCAATGTGATTTAAATCCAGTCTTGATCATTCACCGTACATGCATTAAATCTCAGTGTTGATGATCGCATACTGATACTGTCTGGGAGTTTTTATTAGGGCTTAACTGCATGATCACACATCTCTTTGTCTAATAAAGTCCCATCTTTGCCTTTCAGAAATCGAGCAATAGCAGATTATCTGCGCTCCAATGGCTACGAAGAGGCATATTCTGTTTTTAAGAAGGAGGCAGAGTTAGATATGGTATTAACACATTTTCACACTAAGATTTAAAATAAAAAAGGCATTCCCATTTGATGTGTTAGTATGTCACATTGTCATTCTGACTTATCATTTTAGAATGAGGAGTTGGATAAGAAGTATGCTGGCCTTTTGGAAAAGAAATGGACTTCAGTCATCAGATTACAGAAAAAGGTCAGTACAGTAAAAAACAAAACAAGGCAGTATTTTTAAACCGATTGCACAGATGTCTGTTTTCCAAAATAATACAGGAAAAACTGGGGTTACAATGCTGTATTGTGTTAGGTAATGGAGTTGGAGTCCAAACTAAATGAAGCTAAGGAGGAGATCACTTTAGGAGGCCCCGTGGCACAGAAACGAGACCCCAAAGAGTGGATCCCACGCCCGCCTGAGAAGTACGCCCTCAGCGGTCACAGAAGCCCTGTCACACGCGTCATCTTCCACCCTGTGTTCAGCCTCATGGTCTCCGCCTCAGAGGACGCCACTATAAAGGTGTGTTTTTGGTTCTGTATTTTTATGCATCCGATGTTTTGTCTTTGATAGGCTGTACAAGGATGTATGCATGCATATGCTATATGGATGTTTTCTTGGGACACATTTTAGTTTTCAAATCCATCTGCTCTCATTCTTTTCTGCTGACTCACTGCCTATCTCCATGGAGAAATCGTGATGCTCTGGTTCCCCAGGGCAACGGCGCAGTGAGAGGTTCTCTGGACACCAGGCAGTGCAGTTATAAGCGTTCTCGGTCTGCTTTTCTTTATGCTTGTCTTTGTTCCTTTTCCCATGGAAAGATCTATAGGTCACCAATAATTATAACAGCTAGACTGCTAGAGACATTTTGCATCACACCTTTTTTTTCCTCATAGATTTAATCCCCTCAATGTACTTTGTTGTCTAACCTGCTGCCATTTACAGTTGTAGTTGAAGTCTTTCTGTGCGGGATTTAAAACTTGCTATTCATCTTTGCTACTGTACTTTTAACATTCTAGATTGGCGCCCTAGTGTGAAATAGAGCTCGCACAACTGCTCTGTTGTACTAGTTGTCCAAAAAAGTAGTTGATGAGTCAGGGTTAATACTTGCCTTGTGTAAATGACGCTCTGCAGTTTTCTGTTTTTGGGAAAGTCCTGCACTGCATTAAGACTGTGTGTGAACTGTGCAAAAACAGTCATGTCCTGACCAATATGGTTCACTTATGTACACTCATTGTTCATTCTTTTCATTATTCCATATACACTATCATTTAAACGTTTGGGATCAGAAATCTTTTTTTCATTTATTTAGCAAGAACACGTCAAATTAAGTAAAGCTAAACATTTTTCCCTTTTTTTATTTTATTTCAGAGAAATGCAGTTCTTTTGAAATTTCTGTTCATCAAAGATTTCTGGGGGGGGGGGGGGATGATCAGTTTTCACAAAAATATTAAGCAGCTCAACCGTTTTCAACATTGATAATAATAAATATTTCTTGAGCAGAAAATCAGCATATTAGAATGATTTCAGAAGGATCATGTGACACTGAAGCTTTGCAGTCACAGGAATAAATTACATTTTAAAATGTATAAAAATTCATTCAAATGAATTAAAAATTATAATTAACAATATTACTTGTTTTTACTGTTTTTTTTTTTATCAAATAATTGCAGCCTTGGTGAGTATAAGAATCTTCTTTCAGAAACATTAAAAAGCATTTCCGACCCCAAATGTTTAAATGGTAGTGTATATTTAGAAAAGCAAATTGGAAAAATTCAATGTATAGTATTCATAGTAGTAATCGTATCAGTTATCGAACATCACAGTAAATCTAATAATTCTGTTATAATATTTATTATATATTTTGTTTTATTTGTATTATTTATTATAAGTTTTATTGGCTGTGGGTTGTGCTGTACCAGAGCACTCAGATGTTTTACTCAAGCTACAAAAACGGTTTTAAAAATTGGGCAACATTATTTTAAATCACTTTGAATAAAGTGTGTATGTTTGTCCCATTGTGCAGGTTTGGGACTACGAGGCTGGGGATTTCGAGCGGACCCTGAAGGGTCACACTGATTCAGTGCAGGACATCTCCTTTGACCAGGCTGGAAAGCTGCTGGCTTCTTGCTCCGCGGACATGACCATCAAACTGTGGGACTTCCAGGGCTTCGAGTGCATCAGGACCATGCACGGTACACATTTATCGCATTTGCTGCCACATAATTACCATTATTCAAATTTAGTGGGGGAACTTCCTGGCCTTTGACCCACCGTGGACTGCATCCACCTCCAATATAGGCTTTAAGCTTATTAGTGTGCTGGAGAATCCTGTCTCTGAGACTCAGTCAGGACCTGTTGGTCCGGGGGGGATGGGCAAAGGTTTGTTTGGGTGCAGGATTAACCAGGCTGACAGCTTTAATCTCTCACTCAAATAACAAAGGTGCCTGTTTTAATCATATGTCATACGTCCTGGTCAGCTCAGTAACCTTAGAATCAAGATTCAAATGAGTTTTTTTGCCCAACGCAAGATGGTTATGCAAGTCAAAAATCCAGTTGCTTGAAACAAACTGTAACTACGCTGTTCATCACACCTTATTGCATTCATCTTCCTCCCATCCTCAGGACACGATCACAATGTGTCGTCGGTTGCCATCATGCCCAACGGGGATCACATAGTGTCTGCTTCAAGGGATAAGACCATGAAAATGTGGGAAGTGGCCACTGGGTGAGTAATAAATCAGCACATTGTGAGCTAAATGCTGTACTCCTCAAGGATTACAGTGAGCTCTGAATATCTTGTAGTTTTTGCCATGGTATTGCCTCAAGAAATGGTTATTGAAATTTCTTTTTAATGAAACAAGTAATTACATAATTTATCATTTTTATTTCAAAGCAATACAAAATATTCTGGGAGTGTGAATGTATGATGATTCTCTCTGTCTTGCCTCAGTTACTGTGTGAAGACGTTCACGGGTCACAGGGAGTGGGTGCGTATGGTCCGGCCCAATCAAGACGGCACACTGTTGGCCAGCTGCTCTAATGACCAGACGGTGCGCGTGTGGGTGGTGGCCACCAAGGAGTGCAAGGCGGAGCTGCGGGAGCACGAGCATGTGGTGGAGTGCATCTCCTGGGCCCCTGAGAGCGCACACCCCACCATATCTGAGGCTACAGGCTCTGAGGTACTTTGTGTTCGTTGATGGCAGATTTCTGGTATTTTTCTGCATCATGAAATACTGGTAATAATTTGTCATGTTAACTCTCTTCTTGCAGAACAAGAAGAGTGGAAAGCCTGGGCCATTCCTGTTATCTGGATCCAGAGACAAGACCATTAAAATGTGGGACATAAGTACTGGCATGTGCCTTATGACACTGGTGAGTAGAGCTATAGTTCAGGCAGCTTCATTGTAACATATCTATAGTCACACTTTTGTTTGCTACTCTGTTACCGGTGTGCATTATTAGCATTTCCATCACAAAAAAATCATGCTTAGTTAAATCATAATTATGAAGTGTTGAATTTGAGAAGTTATAGTATAGTTATGTCGATTTGAAATCATGAGATTCTAAAGTTGCGCTCACATTAGCATTTAGCAAAAAAGTCAGTACTTTAGTTTCACTTTATTTTACAGTCCATTATGTACTTACTAGAGTAATTACAATAACTGTGTAATAACTAGGTATTTGTTGTAATTATGAGAAGTCAAAATGATAATTAATATGAGTAATATTATAATTATTTGATGTAAATTATTTGATCCTATATCTTAGTATAAAATTATTTTGACTTGTAATAATTATGATTTACCAAAGCATGACATTTTATAGTTGCATGACATTAAAAGTAGCAGCTAACTGCTTGAGCGTATTTCTCATGCTGGAAATGGGAAGTTGCATTGTAGGGTGTAGTACCCAGCACAGTGTGCTCCATTTTATACTGCACATTTTAGCAAATGTGTTGTTGGTTTTTAATACAGAAAGTTTGCCTTGGACTATTTTGAACATCAGTGTGCATATCATAATGTAGTACTGCTCTGTATTTGATTGATTGTTTGATGAATTATTAGCAACTAGGGGTGTAACGATATATCTTTATATCGAGATATTGCTATATGAAAATGTGCCGATATGTATCGTTGATGTAAACGATATGATTCGTGATATTGAGTTTGTTTTATCCAAGGCTCAGCTTACTGTATTTATAGGGTATAATGCACCCAAAAATGTAAGTTCTGTCATGTACTCACCCTCATGTTGTTTCAAACCTATAAGATTTTCACAAATGAAGATATCTTATATGAAACCTGAGAGATTTCTGTCCCTTAATTTAAAGTACATTCCTCTAAAACGTAAAAATAATCGATCGAGTGGTCTAATCTAAATCCAAGTCTTCTGAAGAGACACGATGGTTTTATACGATGAACAGATTTACAACGACGCAGATACTGTAGTAGCCTAAACACGGACGTTCAAATGCTTGTGTGACATGCGAAAACAATACGAGAACGACTACATTTTTGGATGAACTTACCATTTACAGTTTGGGAATAGTCATTTTGACACGCTTTCTTGCGATTAGAACTGTGATTGATTGCATTGATCATCTGAAGCACTGGAGTGGCACTCCTCAAAGTGAAAGCGCAAACATCATTTAAATCACCATGTCACATTTAGTTTTAGTAGTATGATTATTATTTAAAGCGTTTTAGATGGATTATTCTTAAATGTACATGAGTACATGAGCGGGAGAGGCGGGACATAGCGAGCACAGGGAGCGTGTGCAGTCTGTGTAAGAGATCCAACGAATGCCTGCAAAATTGAAAGTTTGAACCTCCCAGGTGTTTAAACCTCCCCTAAATATTATAATATGGAAGTGTCCAATAAGAGTGGCAAAGCGATTATGCGCATCGCGTGCGCAGAATGATACATTTGAAGCAACGCGAAGTCACAGCGCGCAGCGCTTCGCATTGAAAAGTTCAAAGCACAAAGCGAAGAGATTATATCTATCTATGCTTAATGTATTATATCTATGCAACAGTTTATTGAGCCTTTTCTTTTAACAGTTTTAAATTTCAGTTACAGTGCGCATGAAGAGCAATTCATAGCGCTCTCTACTCCAGTGCTGTAATCTAATAGATACCCGGGAGAAAGGAATATGATTTAGAAAGCGCTATAAACTCCAGCAAGATAAAGTCATTTTATGCAAAGTGCAAACCATAGACCTTTATCTACAAATAAAGAATAATAATGGGAACATTGATCTTGAAGAGAGTGTCGTCGTGTTACTGTCGTAACCGAACGCGACGCGCTGTTTGAATGCTGAATGGAGAATGACTGAGGAGAGATGAGCTTCCATTAACTTTAACTTAGGGTGTATTCATACCAGGAAAGTCCGATAGGTACTTGCTTTGGTCCGGACCAAATAATTTTTTTTTTTATTTTTTTTTTGGTACGGTTCGCTTTCACACTGCTCTTTTTGCAAGTGAACCAAAATTTCTAAACAAAACCACACATGTGCTAAGGGTCGTCCATTCATTGGACAAGGATTCTCAAGTAGGGAAATCAGGAAGTGCAAAAAAGGCTCAGCATGGAGATATTTTGTACCGCAATATTTGTTATTTTACTAATTTTGTGTTATTCTGTACAAACGCAATATGAAGAAACTGCGCAGAAGACGGATAAGGTATAAAGTTTTCATTCATAGAGAGGGGCTATGTTCACACATTCAAATAATGAGATACTTATTGTATATACTGCTAACAAGTGCTGTCAATGTTAACGCTTGTGATTAAGTTTGTCCAGTTTAACGCAGCAGCATTATCCTTGTATTGTAACTATCGTTACATTATATGAACTGTAAAAGCTTGTTTTGCATCTATGCGCGATTAGACTAAAGAGAACGCTCTGTATGTGAATGTCCTGATGCACACACTCATTCATTCCATTCCAATGACGCACACACGGCGCGCAGAAAGACGCGCAACAGTATCGTGTGGCCAGACAGCGCGCCGGAATGGAATTCTCTTGAACAACAATAACACAAACCATTATGCCAAAATCTCCGACTACGGAAGCCTGTTAACTCAAAGGCGCAGTGCTTTCTTGCAATTGGGTCGGTTCATGTTCACACCGTAAACGAACCGTACCAGAGTTCGTTTGGAACCGTACCGAGACCACCTCTTCAGGTGGGTCTCGGTTCGGTTGTTTGGTCCGCACCTGAGTTCGATTGCTGTATTCACACCTGCCCAAAAGGTCCGCACCAAGGGGGGGAACGAACTAGAGTTCGATTCAATCGAACCAAACAAGGCAGGTGTGAATACACCCTTAGACTTAAATATTCATTTTTACCTCACATTATGCTATTGAATGACTTTAGAAGTGTTGGAATATAGTGTGAAAACTTTATGGTGCTTTACAATGTTTTTTATGCCTTTAGCTTTACAATAACACAATAGTAGCCTATGCACAATATCAGAGCTCACTGAGAAGCTGGAGCCGTGGCGGGATGATTTTAGGTGTGGCGGCCCGCCACGGCAGAATGAATGTAGCGGAAACACTGCTACTATATATAATGTAGTGTAATAATGCAATGGGAGGATATTTGTGGGTCCTGATAATAATATAATAACAATAATATTATTTTAATAATAATAAATAAAACCTCTCTTCTTTATTTTGGCTTAAAATATTGTGATAAGTATCATATTGTGATTTCAGTATCGCGATTTGTATAGTAAATTAGCAACATCTTTTTCAAACACACATTGAAGTGACTTTTACTGTTTATTAGATCACATGGCTCTTCATGCATCTTTTACTTCTCTCACCTTCTCTCAGGTTGGCCATGACAACTGGGTGCGTGGAGTTCTGTTCCATCCGGGTGGGAGATTCGTAGTGAGCTGTGCTGATGACAAGACCCTCCGTATCTGGGACTATAAGAACAAGCGCTGCATGAAGACCCTGTGTGCCCACGAACACTTTGTTACCTCTCTGGGTAAGCCAAGCAAAAAGTGCTTTGTGGAAACGCATTACACTGTTATCAATGCAATATTCATCCATTAATTCAACTTCATCTTTCTTCCACAGATTTCCACAAGACTTCTCCTTACGTGGTGACAGGAAGTGTAGATCAAACGGTCAAAGTGTGGGAATGTCGCTGAACGCCGTAGGAACTGCCCCTTCCCTTTCCCCCCAGCACCACCACTTTGGCCACTCCCACACCTGCTCTTCAGGATGCACTCATTACTATGGTTACCACCTCATCCAGCTCTCTTCTAATTACTATTGTCCTTTTATGTAAATTACTCTGGATGTAGTTTGAGCTTATTAAATGTTACACAAGACACTCACAAGAAGAAAAAAGTTAGTAAAAAGTCAAACAAGTATTCTTGCATGGTGAATCCAAAACTTGTATACTGTAAATTTTTTGCTTCTCATCATCTAAAGTACGGTAGGGATGCAGAGCAGAGGTGCTGCTCTCGCCTCGAGCGTTTATCAACAGAAGGCAGAATGATGCTGTTTGGGGAATTCAGGATACAGGGCACTCGAAACCGTTTTACGTTTGCTTTCCTTTGAACGCTTGTCGCATTCTGCTTTACAGAAAAGAAAGACTTAACATTGAAACTGACTGAAGATGAACAGCTTAAGGTGTCTGTTCCGGGGGGGGGGGGTCTGCGATGTAGTTTCACCATATGAACGTCGGGATGCGCAGCTCTCCCCTCGTGTTTGACATTGGTCACTTTTAGAAGTGCTAAATGGTAGGATACAACTTCAGTTCACATTCAAAGTTCATCCATGAAGTCCTTTTCCATTTTAAAAACACGTTTTTTGAAGCAGTTTAGGCAAATCTACATGCTGTCCTGTTAGAAAAGGAGTGCAGAAAACAAAATATGAGAAGGGAAATCTCTTTTACAAGGACATGGATCAGTAAAGTGCACTTGTCCCTGGAGGCAATACCGTTTCACGCAGGGTTTACATTGTTTGTTTGTTTTTTTGTACAGAAAATATAATTCTGACACCCTCCTTCGCCACAACTTGGCAATGGAGGGCCTTGATATACTTTATTTACTGATAGAGGGCAAGTGAAGTGCCATTCTACTCATTCTTAATTGTGCACATTCTCCATTTTCAGGACTATGGGATAAAACACTTCACATAAATGCAGCTACATCTCATCCACGTTCTGATTTAGCACCTCTACTATATTCCCCAGCTTTCACTCTGACCGCCCATTCTGCCTCGCTATTCTCAAAAATGGCTTCATTTGTTCATAGGTTTCATTAACCCCTCCTGGCGAACCACTCGACGTCATTTGATGTAGCGCTTTCATTGCTTCTCCGTCATTCTGCTGCTTGCCCGCTCCGCCTGTGTGCAGGAGACGTCGCCCGTACAGGCTTTTTGACGTGCTCCGTGGTTCTGCTCAGTCACCTTGTGCCGACGAGCGATCTAGTCAGTCTTTCTTTACCCGGGGAGGTTTTTGGCGTCGCAGAAGACGACACTCGCTGTCCTGGACCTCGTGGAGTTTGAGGACGACACTTCCATGGTAGATCGACGTGCAATATCTATTGGCTGCTCTGTGTTAACTATTAAGGTGTGTATGTGTTTTCTACGAACACATTTATTGGAAGATGGCGTGGGCAGGCAGACAAAGAGTCCGACAAGAGCAGGCTTAAAATGTTCTCCACTGGCTGCCGTGCAAGGCAACAATTAGCATCTTCTAAGACTACATCAGTGGTGAGTAGTTTGCTGTGCTTGCTGGTCCGCAGCGTACTGTTTTGAACAGTAGAGTCATGTATGCCCAAACACTGCCATCCCAAAAGCTGTGTATGTAGAATCTGTGGGTGTGTGTGTGGACGTCACTTCCTGTCTGTGAGCACACAGCGGACTCTGACTCCAGCTATTCGCTTTCTCTGCCTTGTTAATGTACTGAGAATCCCCAATATTGAGGACTTCATTCTGCTTTTCGTGGTCTCACTGTTGATGCACACTCATGCACTCACATAAATAAATAATTGTTCATCAGTATATCTTGATGTCATTGTTTGAAACATAATTAAAATAATAAAATATCTGTAAATATAAATCAGCCCATCTGTTGTTGTTTTTTCTTCTTCTGGAAAACAGGTGGAATTCAATATTATTCAGTAATATTTGAGGAGAAAAATAAAAAATAAGCTTACAGATACAACAAATTATTTAAAAATGAATTTTAATTATTTATTTATATCTTATGATTTAAGAAACTTTTTTGCAATGTATGCATCATATGGTACTACACACATGGTTCTAGATCAGGTTTAAAATATAATGCTCTGTTTTGCTGTCTATGTACATATTCAATTGGTTTGCAGTAGACCAAGAAAAAAAAAGACCAAATAAATAATCCACTTATCCTCAGAAGTAATATAATTTAATTTTCAGACATTAGCCAGAACTTAAGGCAGCATTCGTATGTTAAATCCCCAAACCCTGTCGAACAAAGCTCTTTAAATGAGACTGCTCATTGAATATTTTGTAGGCTCAATGCATGCACTGATTGTGCCGCGTCAGCCTTTGATCGGCGCCAATGACTTGCACATCTGATGATTCCCTGCCTGAGAAACTTCAACAGCCTGGTGCCAAAACACTGGTTTCCATGGAAACAGTGGGTGATGCGCATGGGAACGGCACTAAAGATGTTGATCATGTCTAGCTTCTGTTTATTTTTATTTGTTGGTTGAAAAATAAAGCGTTCTCATATTTCATATTCTTCAATTTCTTCAATTGAATAAACTTAATATAAACTTGCAATGTTTCTAAGAGAGAGAGAGCTGTAGAAAGACAACACCATTATAATGTTGTTGTTTTTTCCATTTGTTTTAGGCCTCATTAAATCCCCAGTGTTGAGGATATTCTCTAATATATATTTCAGCCCACTACATCAGACATGTAGACGGCAGGTCCTGTATCCTGGCAACAGTCACTGTGTGTGTGTGTGTGTGTGTGTGTGTGTGAGACAGAAGAAGACTAATGAGATGGTCAGTGTTTGTAACAGACACCACATGACCGCACATACACAATGGCCAACCATGTGACATTTTAGCCAATGTCTTCATTTCCTGCTCGAATATTTCACCTGTACGGGAGTGATTTGTTTCAAAGCAGCTTTACAGTAATAACAGGGAAATTATGCATTTCTGGCTATTGTCAGTTCAGTGTTAATTCAGTTCTGTTGTAAAGATCATCAACTATTAAATTAGTTCATTTAATCTATAAAGCAGTTCTGTAAAAAATGACGTCATCGTCCAGATCAGCTCAGTTCTCGTGCAGCAGCGTCAGTACAGTCAGATCTGTAATACTGTTGAATATTAAGTGTCCCCAGATAATGGCAATAGTAATAGGTATTTTTTGCACTATGTTTGGAGTATAATGTAAATACTATGGTACATGAATAGTATTTATTCAGTACTATATCATCAAAATGATCTATCTATCTGCTAGTTCACCACTAGAGGGAGTTCTTACATAAAAAAAAAACAGAATCTTCCAGACTCATTTCTATAACCCTGAATTAAACATCTGTATGCGACTTTTGCATTCCCAGATCCGTTTGGACCCGTGGAATGTAAGCTTATAGCTTATAGCTTATAAAGACAAATAACATGATTTTCAATTAAACCCCACGTTGTATCTGATCAATACCTTCTCATTAATGAGTGAATGCACAACGTTTTTAAAGTTTTGCATTTTGCCATGCATGTCATTACCTTGTTATTAGTACAGTTACTCCTTTTTCCTTCATTTACAACAAAATTGAGAAATTCCTTGAAATTTCACATTCATGGGAAATGTAATTTAACAGTCTGAGAATTACTGGTATTAACCAATATTTTTTTTTATTTTTTTTTTTAACATAACTAATGACAGTCAAAATGTATCAAACCTACATGTTTTCAAACAATGGTTATATCTCTTCTTAAAATAAATATATAAATGAATGATGTGTATTTTGAGAGTCTTGGCTTATTTGTAAAGTTTGGTTCCGATACTAAACACTATATGCATTTTTATGTAGCCTATCTCTTACGGGTCAAAATGGACCTTAACCTGCATTTTCTCCATTTAACTTAAAAGGCTACAAAGAATATCTATCAAAAAATGCAGCATATACTTTTTGCATTATAATTATTTGCATGACAATAACCCCCACAAGCTCTATATCTTTATCCATTGTAAAAATTAAATATTTACCAACATATCTTTTCATTTTCTTTTCAATTCACATATTAATAAAATAACAATCACAGATATATAGTATACAAACACACAAACAGAGAGGTTAAAATGTTTTCTGTATGCTGTTGACTCACAGAGGTCAGAGGAAGACATCACTTCATCATCATCATCATCATCTTCATCAAACCTGCAACAGGTCATGGGAAGGGCTGTGAATAGCAGTTAGACTGCAGACTCGTCTCAGTGCTGCATACTGAGCATAGTTAGCAACGACTGTTAGACACGTCTAATACATGAGCTGCGTGTGTCGGCATCTGCTGTTTATGTGTGAAACACTGTGGCATGTTGACTTTCTGTACGTGTGTATTTGTGTGTGCGTGTATTAGCTCGTCTTACGCACCTCTGAGCTCAGTGCTGATTGGCCGAGACACCCTGACAGTGTGCTGGTCATCTAGGGTATCCCTACAAATCAGCCAATCACAGTCTGTTGCCATGCAAGCGCTCATTCATAGAGATGTCAGCATGGCACGAGCCACAATGCGGTTACAGCACCACACAAACACGCTTGTTTATTCACAATTCTGAATCCTAAATAATACAAGTGCCTTTAAAAAGTCTTTATATTGCGAAATAGACCGATTTTTATAAACGTATGAATTCAGATCATCTTTCAAGGTAATAGAGGTCAGTATATTGAATGTATTCATGTTTATATTCATAAAAAACATTATTAAACCAATAATACGATGTGTTTGAATATACAATTTAAATTAAATATAATTTAAATAATTATATTTAAATACTGAACAGCTTTCCAGACCTGAATGAAGTTTTATCTGACTCATCAGCTACCAGTAAAAAGCAAAACACGCGCGCGCTGTCTTTGCTTTTAGCTGTTACTTCTTTAAATTACATGTTCCGACATTTTTGTGAAAATCATAATAATTTGTTTATTCAGTGACAGAATTAACTGGCCTGTTAAACAAGCTGAGCCGAATATTTGAGTCACGTCACTCGTGACTGCGTCTGTCCACCGCGCCCTCTGTTGCTCAAGAACTTTTATTAATTGCAGCCTGCAGGATAAAATAAAACACACACAAGACAAACATGTAGGTGTTCGACTACCGCATACAATATAAAAGTCTGTGTAAAGCCAAGGCGCAGAGATTGTTGCACTTTGTGTTCGTAGGTATACAGCGGAGTTGAGCGAACATTCACTTTCAACCATAGACTGTAAGCTTTCAACAAGCATACCACGATCTGGGCGTGACCATTTAGATACTCGTTCAGGATGATTGGCAGGTAGCAAGACAGTGAGGCATGCTCACGTTTTATGGCAAGCCGATCTCACATGTATTCCTTAAAACTAAAAACTAGTAACATAATGTACTAGTAACAAAAATGATTACTGTCTCTTTCAGTTAACTACTTTTTCATTCTTTTTGCAATAGCGTGTAGTTTCCCAGTACTAACTGAATAAAAAATATATATTTAGGCTAATCTATCTTATCAGAAAGTGTGTATTCCAATTGTTAGAAAATGTTTAATTAGGCCTACTAGTAAGATTTTTAATTGAAGTGGTCATTTTGACTTGTCATTATATACGACAAGTTAAAAAAATCTGATTCGGGCTCGGCAAAAGTATGCATCGAGGGCGCATATCGGCCTCAAAGGGGGAGCACCCTTCTGAAACCTAAAATGACAAATGGGAGATATACGGTATTGTGGACAACAAAAAATGTGGTACAAAATAGGAAAACAGCTGTAGTCTCACATTTTACCTTTTTTATTTACATATACGACGCAGCTAACGTCTGCTTGGAACGCTATACAACTCCCATGGAAGTTTCACCTCCCGCAAAACGAATGCGCGACCAGGGCTGAAACACGATCCAGCATCGCTGTCTTGCTGTGCGGTCCGCTGACTGTAAGAGGAGCGCTGCATGTTGATCTAGTGTGCTAGCGCCGCAGCTGTGGTCGCGCTATGCGTTTGACTGGTTGAAACTTAAATGTCTGAAGGACGAGATGGCACAAAGTAAAGCTGTTTTTTATGTAACCTGTAACAGATTTTAAAGTGCATTTTTATTATTTAAAATGAAAAATCTTCAATAGGTTGACTGACTCAGCACTGTCAAAAACAACCCAGCTAATGGGTTAATGTATAAAACTAACCAAGCATGTTAACTTCTGTCTAATATATTTACCCAGCGCTGGGTTGTCAAATAACCCAGAAATTATTATTTTTAACCCAGCATTTTTACAGTGTAGTATACAAGTTCTAGTCACAAAAGTAGATGCTAGTAAAGAGGAATAAATGTAAAGCGGCTTGCCGTACACGGTCTCGCCATGCAAATGAGCCTCGCTCAGTCTTTAGCGGGTGCCCATGTGGACAGACACCATGCCTTGTTGTTCTCCACGCCCATTGGTTCCCTCGCATCGACATGTGCTAATGCACTGCAGGGTAGGACTACCGCGAAAACCCGGAAACTGGAGCCCATAGACGTTTCACACTATTTCCTCCTTTTATGTTCTAGTAAGGGACCGGAAACCAATTTACACATCATCTATTGTGTCATAAATCTCATCCCGAAGTCTTGATCATTTATACACACATTTCGATCTCATTTGCGATGTTATGTTCATCGTGGATTCCCGATCCTATCGCTTATCGTGACAGCGTGTTCTGCCCTACTTTTTAATCACTGGTAGTATGAGGGAGGAGTAGCACGACGAGGGCGGACCCTGGACGGTATGCCTTTCGACTTGTTGTGTTTTCTGTTACTCCAATCGCCATCTTGTTGCCAGTGAAGTAATGTGTGTCTGATGAATTTCGGGAGCGCCCTGGATGTCTTATGACTATCTTAGGAAACCAGTGGATTTTACTGTGATTAAGCCAACACGTTTATCTGTATCGGGGACTTGCATACATTTTAACAGGAACTTATTGTATCGGTATTCAAAATGAGTATCGATACTCTATTGGAAGCGGCCAGGTATTTGGAGTGGCAAGCCCAGCAACAACAGATTACACGTGGTAAGGCGGGGGGGAACTGGGTGATTGCATAGATCTACAGGATAAATTAGATACGCATGAACTGTTTGGGATTTTGCCCAGCAAATTGCATTTTCATGCCGGCTCACTTCAAGATAAATAACTACAACATTGAGAAAAACCCGCTGCAAATCAGCTTATTATAAGCATTGCGAATAAGAGCTCTTTTTCAGTGGTCATGTTCACGGGTTTCCACTCTTTGTTGGGTGCAGTCTTGGTGACTAGGGCATATTTCGCTCACTCGGTTTCCGGGTTAAATCCATGCTATATATAGTGTGCTACTATACTCGCTCAATAGCGCTGCGGTGGGTGGGTACGTTCAACCCAGTACACGGGGCGTCGTTTTTATTTATTTATTTATGTTTTATTTAGTCAGACAACGTAAGTTAAAAAAAAATTGCACTTATGGGTAAAAAAAAAAAAAAATTACAGCTACAAATGTTGCTACAATTGAAACAGGCTAGCTAAATGTAGCGAATGTCGTGTTTCTTATGCGTTGGGCGGTGGCATTAGACCAAAGGTTTTTTTTTTACATAATGACATTGCTGAGTGGTTATCTCACTCATGACTTTAAAGACCAGCCTACTTTTCCCTTTACACTTCCTCGTGATTAAACTCTTTTTACTTGTTGTTGGAGTACTATATTCCGATATTCAATAAAGCTGGCGATGTAAGATTATAGTGGCGATGTATTTATCGCTTTAAACAGAGCGGGGGGCTTTTTGTTTCATTCTCGAGGTGACGTGTCAGTAGAGCCACACCCACAGCAAATACCGCGTGCTGAAAGACCGCCCTCTTCGACCACGTGCGCGCCAGACAGCCCCCCCTCCCCAGGTCACAACTGGGGAGAAAATAGGGCAACGCCACCCTCCCTCAATGCAGAAGTTATATAATGTGCATTTTACATGCACATCCAAGTAAGAGCTTTGCAGACTGTGTTTGATTTTCTTGGTATACAGATGAATAGAATGCAGAACAATAAGTGCAGTTGTTGGCGTATTTTTGAACATCTCTGGTCTTTCTCCTGAAAGGCTCTATTTAAATGTACAAACTTCGCATACACTTACACAATATTTGACCTTGTACTAGATGTAGAAAATTGCATGCAATCTCAAATGTGGCCTATTAAATCTCTTTTAAAGACTCTTTGTGGGGCTTCATGTTGAAGGAAATGCAAAATGATCCCACACATTTCCTGTCCAACGAAGAGAATTTCCTTTCATTTTTAATACAGTCAAACCTGGTTAAGCTTTCACTTGCTCTAGACATAAATTAAATTAATATAAAGCGTTAAAGACATGAATGGTCCTTAACTAGTTGTCCAGACACTAATTATTTGTTATTTTTATGTTATGTTTTCCAAGCTGCCCATAATTATAAAAGAGCCCTTTACCAGCCAGCACACACTTGCTTATCTATAAGTTAACACAGAGGTTAGGTTGATAAGTTTGTTATTAAATCAAATGTCATGTTTGCATTTGATTATATTGGTGAAAATGAAAGTGGTAATTTCTTTTAATGCGAGTAAAGTTCATGCAATTGATAAAAAGCCTCTTAAAATCTTTTGCGCTATTCTGGTCTAGTTTGTTTGAGAATATTTGGTCATGATTTCCGCATTAGCCTGTGAAAATAGAATGGAACTTTTGCAGTATACTAGATGTGAGGGAACTTTATTAGAAGGTTCCTTTGTCCTAAATACACAATCCTAAATGTATGCCATGTTTATAACACGCACTCTTAAAGCCTGCGGACCATCATAGTATCTCATCTGTGTCCTGACGTCTCAAGAGCTTTACATGCTGCTTATGGAGAGCAAAATATTTATGAGCTGTTGAGAGCTTATTAGCCCGGCTGTACAATGTTTGCACAATGACACAGTTCACTTCAGGAGTGCCCTTGAAGCGTTTGTGATTCCATTCCTGCTGGTTACTATGCTGTTTATTTGTATGCATTTAAATATCAAGGGAAATTACTTTTCAGTGTGTATTTTTCCTCTCCTGTTATATAATGGAGAAATATACATGATCTCGGTATTCTTTTATTTTTGAGGGATTCTGCGCTCAGGATTATTAGTTCTGCTGATGCAGGAGGATTCCCACATATCATGGTTTGAACCTTAAGAACGCTTCCTAGACAAGCATATAGTGTCAGCCCATGTGTACTAGATCACTATCTGGTATCAGGTCACCCGTTTGTCTGCGGCATGCTTTCATTCGCCGGTTACAAGTTGCACAGTGAAGGGAAGTGGAAGTGGACCCATACTCGTAATTTGTCCGAGTCATTTAACCCATCCAAGTTAGTGCGCACACACATTATTATTATTATTACACATTCACTGCGGCGCCTGGGGAGCGATTGGGGGTTAGGTGCCTTGCTCAGTCGTTTCCTGGCGGTATTGAGACTTGAACCCGCAACCTTTGGGTTACAAGTCCGACTCTCTAACCATTAGGCCACAACTGCCCCAGTCCTTGCAGTGCAAATGACACTTGGCCGCAGCCCAAATTCCTCCCGTCGTATTAAAATTCAAAAATCGATCTGAAGTCATATCACAGATGCAACTGAATATGGATCGACGGGGCTAAACAATAGATCCATCCATCAATCATGGAAATCGTCCGGTGATGGTGGCATTTTAGGCTGCAGATGGTGCGGCCCGGCGTCAGATTCCCCACGGCAGCTCTTGGCTTCTCCTGCAGACTGCTGTGTGATGTCAGTGTAGAGCTGGAGACCAGACAAGACTCTTACTGGGGCTTCTCTCTTAAAGAGACAGACCGCTCAGGACAGCTAGCTCACATACCCCACGCAATTTAGACGCGGAGTCATGAATTACTGTGCTCTTCATTGGCTTTTCCTGTTTTAAATGGAAACTATAGGGACACTGCAGGCTTTGAGCCCAGTGCTAGATGAATAGCGTACACAGTTTTGATGTAATAAATCACAGGATTGTCTCTGTTGGCCTGCAGCTTCTCATAATTATTTTACACTTCACAGTCCTGAGAGCTTTTTAGTCAGAGCTTAGACAAGCACTAATTAGTTCCATTACTTATCTCTAAATTGGCATTGATCTCTAGTATTGCTACTGGTATGTATTAGCCGTGGGCTGTAGCTATAGTTTAGTTTCTACTCCTCTTGCTCAAATGTAAAAAAAAGAATTCCCCCAAAGTCAATCAGAACTACCATCAAAGCTGTATAATAAATGTTAAAAAACACCCTTTGAAATCTGTGCTGTGACCATTTACTTCAGGCTATTAATGAACCAGGCAAATACATTAGGGTAATATGAATGTGAATTTCATAAGAAAAATGAATAACCGTAAGACGAGACCTGGAGCAAAAAAACCCCAAAACATTTAGATATGCTGTGATAAGTCTGTTCTTTCTTACGTAGATGAGTAATCTCTTACAGTCTCAAGAACAAAAGTAATGCAAATCGCGGTTGGCCAACATGGTTTAATTTTTTAATGGCCAATTGAAATTGACATGATACAATTTAATGATAACAATAAAATCTCCAATTTTGTGTAGAAGTATTTCTCACAATATTTACTCAAATGACTGAAAAGAGGTCTTGCTACATATATTCTTGTTATACCATGTCACATCAACATACCAAGCGTTACATTATTCTCCTGACGTCTGAAAATATACGTTAAAGGACATTTTACAGCTCATTCAGTCAAACTGACGGATATAAGGGTTATTTGTAGCCCAGCCTTATGATTTGAATTGATTTGTTTCAGTCTTTTTGAGTGGAACTTCCCCAAACCGGAAGTGCCTCCCCTCGCATAATCTAAAACGCTGTAGGCTTGTTAGGAAAAAGGTGGATATTATTCTCAAATAGCAGAAAGGTCTTTAGCCTGCATTTTGTCTTTTTTTGTGCATAACATTTTTTGTCCTTTTTTTTTTTTGTTCTACAGAGGAGGAGCAGCAGAGAGAGAAAGCCCTGCTGTCCCGTGAGGCTGAGCAGAAGCTCTCCGCCCCTGTTATCCAGACTGTCCAACTCAACCATGTGACCTGGGCAGAAGACATGCGGCTCGGGTCGCACCGCCAGCACCAGCACCACCCTCCGGTCCCGCCCCCTCCCCTCCCACCACCTGTTCCCATAGCTGTCATTCCCATCCCGGTGGTCCCTGCCAACCCTGCAGGCCTTCCCATTCAGACTGCTTCGTCCCTTCACACGGTCTCTCCAATGCCAGTGGTCACTTCCTTGGCCACGACCCTGTCCCCGCCAGCAGCCCCTGTCTTCAGCCCCAATGGCAAAGATGCCCACTCCCCTCCTCAGCAGCAGCAGCAGCAGCAACAGCAACAGCAGCAGCATCGTCACTTGATTGCACATGTAAAAACAGAAACTAACAGCTTGTCTCCGTCGAACAACGGTCCCAAACAGCTGCAGGCACAGCAGACGCAGACACTGCTGCAGACGTATCCAGCCCCCATCATCACAGCCCAGCACCCACCACAGCAACACACCCTCCTGCCCCAGCCAGCGCTACCCCAACCTCAGCCCACGCCGGCCCAGGTTCAGGCAGGACAACCGCCCAGGACTAATGGAGCCACTGTGGAAGATCCACGCAACCTGGATGGGAAAAGGAGACCTGGAGGGTGAGCCATGTTTTGTGGTTTTATACAAGAAAGTAGGGCAGCACAATATATATATAACTATATAACTATATATACTGTGTATATATTAGTGCTGTGAAATATATTAATTTGCGTTTAATCACACATCTGACATCAATTTTTTTGTTTTTCTAATATATATATATGCGTATATATTACTATCTATATATACAGTATATATATGTATGCATGTATGTGTGTGTGTATAAATATACATATATACACACATATATTTATATATATACACTCACCTAAAGGATTATTAGGAGCACCATACTAATACTGTGTTTGACCCCCTTTCGCCTTCAGAACTGCCTTAATTCTACGTGGCATTGATTCAACAAGGTGCTGAAAGCATTCTTTAGAAATGTTGGCCCATATTGATAGGATAGCATCTTGCAGTTGATGGAGATTTGTGGGATGCACATCCAGGGCACAAAGCTCCCGTTCCACCACATCCCAAAGATGCTCTATTGGGTTGAGATCTGGTGACTGTGGGGGCCATTTTAGTACAGTGAACTCATTGTCGTGTTCAAGAAACCAATTTGAAATGATTTGAGCTTTGTGACATGGTGCATTATCATTAGGATGGGTACATGGTGGCCATAAAGGGATGGACATGGTCAGAAACAATGCTCAGGTAGGCCGTGGCATTTAAACGATGCCCAAATGTCACTAAGGGGCCTAAAGTGTGCCAAGAAAACATCCCCCACACCATTACACCACCACCACCAGCCTGCACAGTGGTAACAAGGCATGATGGATCCATGTTCTCATTCGGTTCACGCCAAATTCTGACTACCATCTGAATGTCTCAACAGAAGTCGAGACTCATCAGACCAGGCAACATTTTTCCAGTCTTCAACTGTCCAATTTTGGTGAGCTCTTGCAAATTGTAGCCTCTTTTTCCTATTTGTAGTGGAGATGAGTGGTACCCGGTGGGGTCTTCTGCTGTTGTAGCCCATCCGCCTCAAGGTTGTGCGTGTTGTGGCTTCACAAATGCTTTGCTGCATACCTCGGTTGTAACGAGTGGTTATTTCAGTCAAAGTTGCTCTAATATCAGCTTGAATCAGTCGGCCCATTCTCCTTTGACCTCTAACATCAACAAGGCATTTTCGCCCACAGGACTGCAGCATACTGGATGTTTTTCCCTTTTCACACCATTCTTTGTAAACCCTAGAAATGGTTGTGCGTGAAAATCCCAGTAACTGAGCAGATTGTGAAATACTCAGATCGGCTCGTCTGGCACCAACAACCATGCCACGCTCAGAATTGCTTAAATTACCTTTCTTTCCCATTCTGACATTCAGTTTGGAGTTCAGGAGATTGTCTTGACCAGGACCACACCCCTAAATGCATTGAAGCAACTGCCATGTGATTGGTTGATTAGATAATTGCATTAATGAGAAATTGAACAGGAGTTCCTAATAATCCTTTAGGTGAGTGTATATACCATACGTAAATGGTTGTGTACAGACACACACACACATACATGCATACATATTATAAATATGTATATAATAATATACAAACAAAAACTTTTATGTTAGATGCGATTAATCAAGATTAATCGATTTGACAGCACTAGTGTGTGTATATATTATATATATATATATATATATATATATGTGTGTGTGTGTGTATATATGTTTATATATCAATATGGCTATAAAATAATAACTATAATAATAAGAATCATTATTACAGAATAAAAAATACTGAATAACATCAAAATAAGAAATATTTACTATTACTAATCTAATATACTATGTTATATTACTAAAATAAAAATAAAAAAAATTACAAAAATAACATAATAATAATAGATTTTATTTTACATTACAACTGTACTGTTCTGTTACAATACTTTTATTTTTACAGAAAACCGCAGAATATTGCACCAAGCCATTTCGCGATTTCTGTTTGATTTCGATTATTCGTGCAGCCCTACAAGAAAGCTGAAGGGATTTTTCAAAAGCAGTGGAGATTAAATTGTAGGAGACACATAATGTAATCTTAACCGAATGAAACTGGGTTGGCTATTTTGTTGGGAGATTGCAATTTTGAGAAGTAGGATGCTGTCCTGTACGGTGACCCAGAAGTAACGCTGCCCCTCAGGTCATGCTTTGTGTTTGCAAGATGCAAACTGCATTTGTGATTTCTGATTTCATCATTTACTCACCCTCATGTCATTCCAAACCCAAATGACTTTATTTATTATGTGAAGTGATATTTGGGAGAAAAGCACAATACAATTTGTTTTAATGACTTCTTCACTAAGTGGTGGAACCAAATTTTTATAAATGGGGTGGCCAAGGCTACTTCAGGGGGTCTGTAGATTATGAAAGAAAATGAGTGTAAAACCCTAACCTGCCTAATCAAAAAGCATGAATGAATCACACGATTGTTGATTAGAAATAAAAGTGTGTGGTCCAAAAGTGTAACTTCACATTCACATTACCCCACATTAGCTTAACCTTGCGAGTACGACACTGTGACATTACTAGCAGAGATGTGAACATAAATTTGGAACAGTATTATTTCTCTTATCTGATTAACTGTCTGTTAATGGAGCAAAAGTTAACTTGCACAGTGACTCAAATTCGTAAAAGAGTTTCAGGAAACCTAAACCCCATGGTAAACCTTTAACTCGCACCTAATCGGATGTGATGCACGCCGGACGCGTTCCCAAAGCACGTTTCATTCGTATTCTTCTGTATCTTTTAACTAACGTTAATATTCTCTTAATATTCAGCATTAATACATTAAAGGGGCAGTCACTCACACTACACTTTTCTTTCCATTGACTTCCATTCATATGCATGCGAACGCGTCAGACGAAAAGTTTCGCATTTCGCTGCGTTCCAAAGTTCAAGTTTGGTGAACTCTGACCTGCGAATTCGCATCACGTGAAGACGTGTGACCAGTAGAAGATTGATATGTCATGGCTTCACCCCTTGGCTGAATTAAAAGCACGATTTTTTTGCAGTAAGGTCGAGTAGATTGTATTTTTACATTTTGAATGTATTGCTATTTGTTATATGTTTAATTCATGTTCATAAAAAAAAGACGCTGCAGGGCGTCATATCATGGCCATTGCAGTATCCGAAGAAATTTTCAATTTTGGGGTCCAGGGGCGGTTCTAGGGTGAGTGGATATCCGGGGCTTAGCCCAGAGAAAGCCATGTGTCAGGATACAAGGAAGAAACTTTAAATAAAATGTTTTAAATATATATATATATATATATATATATATATATATATTTAACAAGGTAAATTTTTCTGGCTTTTTAAAATTAAATTTTACACAGCACTTACAATTTGCATAAATAATATTATGAAACTAATGTATCAAATATCATTTGGAATACAGAAATATGAAATATTGAAAAAATTAGAATGGTACTTTGCCACTAGATGGTGGCAAGCCACTGCCTTAATTAGTGAGTCGGTTTATTCAATTGATTCGTTCAAAACAGATGATTCATTTAGAAAAAAAGTAAGAAATGTTTTTTGAATGGCGGGGTCAGTGAATCATTTACAAGCAAATTCATTTTGTTTGAAACCATTTTCGTTAGCGAAATATTTTCTTTACTTTTATTATCTTTTTTTATTGAATTGTTGCCCTGACACCTGCAGGCTAACCAAACATATAACGCTCTAAAATGCTCGCGTGTGTCCTATAGACTGTGCTGCGCAACCATTAACTGTTAGACGATCAAAATGTAAATCAGACACAATTTAAAACCGAATAAGAAATATAATTTAAAAAAAAAAATAATAATTTAAATCCTTTTCCTTTTAAATCCTCGCTTGTCTGGCTTATGCTACTCCGAACAATGTCCGGTATTTTGAGCACTTCTTGCGTTGTTTTTTTTTTTGCATTTTCACGATGACTCGCTTGCTTTAGGTCCTCAGTTGTAAGTCGCTTTGGATAAAAGCGTCTGCTAAATGACTAAATGTAAATGTAAATAATACTATGATTAAAAGTTACAGATACCTGCTGAAGCTGTTGTATCTTGTTTTAGTGCTGGCTGGGGGTGTTTTACTTCCTTTTTTTTTTTGAAGAATTTTAATATATCCATTTTACTAACTTACACATCAACAAACCGCCTGGCTCCAAAATATCTAATTTCATTGGCTGGATCGTACAGACGCTGAACTTCTCATCGATGGTTGGCCAGTTTACATGTCAGTCAGAAGCACTAGCCTGAGTGGGCGGTTCTTGTCGGTTATGAATGACAACGCGTATATTGACGGACACTGTAGATGTGAGAGTCGAGAGATATACATTTAATTGATTAAATTTTAATAAAAAATATTTGAATGCGCATGAAAACTCAGTGATGGTGCGTACAATGCATGGTAATAAAAACATTCGGGGCTTTACTGAAAACATTCGGGGCTCCAGCCCCCTTAGCCCACCCCTAGCGCCGCCCCTGGGTGGCACCCAGGGTGGCCAATCACATGTCAGGGGTGTCCAGTGGACCCTGACTGCCCTCTGGCTCCCCCACTATATTCTGAAGGCTAATGATAGTGTCATGTGAGAAACAATGAAATATGTTTTTTATTATTCATTGAGATCACAGATAAAAAGCTGTTGCAGCACTTAAATCTCTTTCGAAAATGGTAGGTTTCTCAATGCCAAACACATTCATGTATTTTGCCACGGAGCAGGGCTCATCAAGTAAGGAATAATTGACGACGGGCCGTTGATTTATTAGAAAAATAATGCATACCGAGGTGGTAATGCTACACCTCGGTCGTCAATTATTCCTTACTTGATGAGCCCTGATCGGTGAGGAAATACATGAGTGTGTGTGTGTGCGGTGGCTGTGCGCACAAAGAACAGCACGTGAAACCGAATTGAGTTCTCTTTTGCCTCTTCTTGCGCTGGAATGGTGAGACAAAACATGTGCAAATGATAAACTGTGTCACTCTATGATGGTTAAACTTTGCAATTAATCCGTGACTCGCATACGTGCCAATGAGAGGGAGATTTTCAGGGAAGTTTTGCCCTGTTGTTCACATGAAGCTATCATTTGGCATCAGAAGACAGACACCTAAGGACCACTTTTATATATTTAGTCTTTGGAGTTTGACCAACCCCTGGCTAGTGTATGCTGTCTTTACTTGTGTTAGAGCTGCATGAACAATCTTTTGTGTTCCCTGGAAGAAAAAAGTGTTTGAAATGACATGAGGGTGAGCGATGACAGACTTTTTCTTTTCTTTTTTTGCAGTGAAGTACTTCTTTGTACACACGTGCAAGAGACCATGATATGAAATGTAATGGGTTGATTTATGAAAGTTTACATGCAGCGTAGAAACGTATTTAATATTTTCCCTGCAGAGCTGGAACTCGAGAAGTTCACAACAAGCTGGAAAAGAACAGGTGGGTGAACTTCTGTTTACATTTTTGTGTTTATTCATTTCGACAAACGGAAGCGGAGCATATGAACCCATTGAGTTTGAGGTGCAGTCGCCTTAATGTAAGTTGCTTGGTTGCAGGACTGATCACAGATACATTAACCTTTGGTCGATTTGCAATTAGTGCACTATTTGTTTTATTGGCTTGAAGGCCTTTGCCCTACTAGTAACCTCATTGCTGTTACTTGCATCACCAAATTGCTTCGCGTCAACATCTGTTAAAACTCTCACTTGCTTTGCACAAAAAAAAATGATTAGTGCTTTTCTTTCTGTCACAGACGAGCACATCTAAAAGAATGTTTTGACACCCTCAAGAAGAACGTTCCTAATGTGGATGAAAAGAAAACTTCCAATTTGAGTGTCCTGAGGAGTGCCCTCCGCTACATACAGGTAAGTCAAAGATGGGATTGAATGTGTGTGCTATAAAACAAGGATTTTATGTGCATTCAACAGAAGCTGTGTGTGTGTGTGTGTGTGTATATATATATATATATTATATATTATATACACTCACCGGCCACTATATTAGGTACCCCATGCTAGTAACGGGTTGGACCCCCTTTTGCCTTCAGAACTGCCTCAATTCTTCGTGGCATAGATTCAACAAGGTGCTGGAAGCATTCCTCAGGGAGTTTGGTCCATATTGACATGATGGCATCACACAGTTGCCGCAGATTTGTCGGCTGCACATCCATGATGCGAATCTCCCGTTCCACCACATCCCAAAGATGCTCTATTGGGTTGAGATCTGGTGACTGTGGAGGCCATTTTAGTACAGTGAACTCATTGTCATGTTCAAGAAACCAATTTGAAATGATTAGAGCTTTGTGACATGGTGGAAGTAGCCATCAGAGGATGGGTACATGGTGGCCATAAAGGGATGGACATGGTCAGAAACAATGCTCAGGTAGGCCGTGGCATTTAAACGATGCCCAATTGGCACTAAGGGGCCTAAAGTGTGCCAGGAAAACATCCCCCACACCATTACACCACCACCACCAGCCTGCACAGTGGTAACAAGGCATGATGGTTCCATGTTCTCATTCTGTTTACGCCAAATTCTGACTCTAACATCTGAATGTCTCAACAGAAATCGAGACTCATCAGACCAGGCAACATTTTTCCAGTCTTCAACTGTTCAATTTTGGTGAGCTCTTGCAAATTGTAGCCTCTTTTTCCTATTTGTAGTGGAGATGAGTGGTACCCGGTGGAGTCTTCTGCTGTTGTAGCCCATCCGCCTCAAGGTTGTGCGTGTTGTGGCTTCACAAATGCTTTGCTGCATACCTCGGTTGTAACGAGTGGTTATTTCAGTCACTGTTGCCCTTCTATCAGCTCGAACCAGTCTGGCCATTCTCCTCTGACCTCTGGCATCAACAAGGCATTTCCGCCCACAGAACTGCCGCTCACTGGATGTTTTTTCTTTTTCGGACCATTCTCTGTAAACCCTAGAGATGGTTGTGCGTGAAAATCCCAGTAGATTAGCAGTTTCTGAAATACTCAGACCAGCCCTTCTGGCACCAACAATCATGCCACGTTCAAAGTCACTCAAATCACCTTTCTTCCCCATACTGATGCTCGGTTTGAACTGCAGGAGATTGTCTTGACCATGTCTACATGCCTAAATGCACTGAGTTGCCGCCATGTGATTGGCTGCTTAGAAATTAAGTGTTAACGAGCAGTTGGACAGGTGTACCTAATAAAGTGGCCGGTGAGTGTATATATATATATATATATATATATAAGGGCTGTCAATTTAACACGTTAATTAAATGAATTATGGGAAAAATAATGCGATTAAAATGATTTAATGCACCCGGCCCGCCCCAGCAATATGTAGGTCATTTTACATTTCATTCAGTTGATTGGTTACGAACATGATGCAGGGCAACAACTCACTGCCTGATGGAGCCTATAGAATGCTGAACTTGGCCCTAAAATTCAAGATATCAGGGCAAAAATGTTCTCTCATTTGTCTTATATTTATATGTGATATAGTTAAGCAATATCCCACGTGCAACGACTGCAATATCACGCGAATCGCACGAGTACAAATGTGACATTTATTTATAGTCAGTTAATATTGTGGTATATTTTAGACCGAATATTTTCTGTTTTTGCTAAATTTAGCAAATTCTCAGAGCAACACACAGTGGTGTTTCAGTTTCATTACTGAATGAATCCGCGTTTTGAGTGAATCAATCGGGTGAACCAATGATTCAATGGCCCATTCATAAAAAGAGCCATTTACTTTATTGAATGAATCAGCCGTTTGAACAAATTTAATTGAATGAATGACTCCATGACTTACTCGTTTAGACATTTACCGCCACTTACTGACAGTTTTAGTTTCCAATTTAGAGTATTAAAATCATTTTACATTTCACCCTCATGTCATTTCAAACCTGCATGACTTTCTTTCATTTGCGGAACATAAAAGAAGACATTTTGAAGAATGTTGCTAAACAAAACTGTTTTGCTCTGTGAATATATCTAAATACCAATTCAGATGCGGTTTCTGAGAAAAATATCATGGCCGTTGTAGCCTAAAAGGTGTAATGTATGTTGAATTAAATAAAAAATGTCTTTCTAAAGCTACTTTTTGTAATGTCTATTTAATACTTTTCTCATTTAACACAATAATGACTATCTTTTGGGGATTTTCTCAGCCAAATTTTATGTGCAATTAATGAGACTAATTAATCGGCACATCATGGAATTAATTAGATTAAAATTTTTAATCACTTGACAGCCCTAATATATATATAATTTTTTTGTATTATTATTTTATTTAATGTTTGATGAACCAGACATGTTTTTTATGAGGTTCACCTAGAAACACACACATCGAGCCTTATGCCATTTGCAGGATATCCGATGATGTGGACTGTTATGTCTGCTTGTAAAAGTTAATGTTTAAATGTGATGATGGAGTTTTGATCGTGACTGTTTTTCCTCTGACCTAAATTAAAACAAGTTAGGCTTCAACTTGAATTCATAAAATAGTTTAAGCCTAAAGCATATTGTATGATAACTAATAACTTGTAATTGTAAAACGTGTTGGGAATAGGTCACAAGATGGGGATTTGTAGACCGTTTCCTCCTTATCCTCTTGTTCTCACGCCCCCACCCACATCCACTTCTCTACACATACTTTACTGGCAGAATGGTGTCATGTGCATCTGCCAAAACATCCTGGGTCGAATTCTTCTCAGTGTGGGCTCATTATATCTTTTCCTTACCCTCTTCCCCTGGTCTTTTCTTACTTCGTTTCCATTGGGCTGTTTCTCTATCCATCTGGTTTTTCATTGCCTGATGTTCAACGTCTAATGTTAAAAATCTCAGTTTTGGATTCCTGAGAAAATCCTTGATTTATTTTTATTTTACAAAACATTTTGCACATTAAAATTAAGTTTGATGGTCAGTCACAGAATGTGAGTCGACATAACATTATATTTCCCTTTGTTAAGGTGCTAAAGTGCATGTCATTTAGCCCGGATCAGAACATTAAGACTGACGTAGATACAGATGACATAAAAGCGCCAAGGTTACGCTCCATCATTTTATTTGCAGACTGCAGCCATGACAATTAATATAATGGCGTGGGCGGAAAGGTGACCTGTTAATGAATGATATACCCGAGTTAACATGATCTGAAAAGCTATAAAACTGAAGCCGGCGATGGTTATAACGACACAATAAGCACCAGCGAGGGAGTGTGGTCCGCCCACTTGCACGCTACTCTCATCTGCTAGCGCGCGCTCTCTCTCTCTCTCTCCCTCCCTCTCCCGCGTCCACGTGAGACATGAGCACATGGCAAGCGCGAGCCCAGTGACGTCAGCTGCTGTCTTCCTCTCCCTCAGCGTGGCGGTGTTGCCAAGTCTGCCGATTTCCCGCTGAATTGGATGCTTTTACACTGTTGGTGCGAGTTGTTTTTTAGTCTGCGGGTTAAAACGGCCACACACATCACCCCGGATCAAGGTTTATCCAAGTGAACCACCCGGAATGCGATTGGGCTAGTTTTGGCCGTGATTGGGCGGGTTTTGAATAGCATTTGGGCTGGTTTTGTTGTAAACCTGGCAACCCTGCAAGCCAGACCCACACATGCCGAACGAGGCTTTTTAAATGAAACAACGCTTCTTGATAGACTGTTTCATAACGGATGTGATGCGTTTTGTTTGGCATGCGTCTATTAAAGTAGGTTACGCTCCATTGTTTGAGTCGGTGGCCTTGCGTGTTTGTTTTCTTTAGTCCTGTGAATCGTTGTAACCAAGGAGACTGGTGGTCAGGGAACAGCAGGGGGTTCCTCTGTCTGTAGATTGAGATCTGGATGCAGTCAAATGCTTTCTGCGGGTTTAACCCATAGACAGTATGGTTTAACCAGGCCTAGCGCTCTTCTTTTACGCCCACTGGTTATAGTGTAATATTACAGGGACAGGAGTGTTGAATTTTCAAACAAGATATTACAAATTACATGATCAGATCACAACTGCAATGCAATGATGTTCTGGTCCCATAATTTTACACATTATTTGTCCAATTGATATGATGTAATGCTGATATACACATGCAGCTAAATAATGAATAATCATTGACAAGGGCGTAGATTTGGTTTGAACATTGGGGGGGTTGAAGTTTGGGTATGCCTCCTGATATTGTGATCATGGTATAAATAATGGGGGGGGGGGGGGGGGTTGTAATGCATAGATTTAAATATGGGGGACACCCTGATCATTGATGACAATAACAAATTTTCTGAAATGAAGCCAAGGAAAATTCACTCAAAACTGTGAGAGAAGAACACTTAAGGGGGGTCGCACACCGGACGAGAATCGCAGCGCCTAGTAATATACAGTAAATAACATTTATTCATTATTGAGGTTTATGCAAGTGAACCCCCCCCAATACGATTGTAATATTCATTGACAACTTTTGTGAAAAAGTACACTTTTTCAGGATTCCTTGATGGATAAAAAGTAAAAAAAAGAACAGCATTTATTCAAAATACAATATTTATCTTTACAATCACTTTTTTTCAATTGAACATCCTTGCTGAATAAAAGTATTCATTTCTTTAAAAAAAATACTGACCCCAAACTTTTAAACGGTAGCGTATATTGTTATAAAAAGATTTCTATTTTGAATAAATGCTGTTCCTTTTTTAACTTTTTATTCATCAATGAATCCTGAAAAAAGTATCAGGTTATAAAAAATATTAAGCAGCACAACTGTTTCCAACATTGATAAATTAATATATTAATCTGCATATCAGAATGATTTCTGAAGGATCATGCGATGCTGAAGACTGGAGTAATGATGCTGAAAATTCAGCTTTACCATCACAGAAACAAATTATATTTTAGAGTGTATTATAATAGAAAACCATTATTTTAAATTGTAATAACATTTCACAATATTACTGTTTTTTTCTGTATTTTTGATCAAACAAATGCAGGCTCGATGGGGCTTCTTTCAAAAACATAAAAAATAATAATGTTTCCAAACTTTTGACCGGTACTGTATAAAAACAATTTAATATTGCTTGTTTAATAGCCAATTTATATGATTCCATCACGCAGTATTATTTAATTGTTTGGATGTTAAGCGCTTGCTTATAATGTGGCGATCTCTTCTTCAAACTACACGTGATGACAGTGAGTGTTGAGGAGCAGGTGAGAGTGTTTCTAATCAGGAAGGAAGAGGAGCATGAAGATGTGAAAGGAGGGGAGGGAGTGCGAGAGCCATCGGACTGTAAAACACTAGAGGTCGATGTGAGCCAATCGCATTAGCCCTTGCCTCTCTATCACACCTTCTCCTCATCACCACGCTGCTCCTTCCCTGCTCTGTTGCCAAGGAGACCATAGCGGGTTCCAGCTGTTGCCGTGGTGATATCCAGTGGGACCTGAATATCTAGTCCATAGGGATGTCTAGTCGGCACACAAAAGAGGGAGTGGGTTCAAAACTGGGCTGGGGTCAGTCAGCACACATCAGGATTTGAGTTGATGTATCAGTATCATTAGTACAGCTTCATCACATTTCCAAGGACTATCATGACAGCACTTGTAATGTTAGTTTTGTGTAACAGCTGGTATTTTTGTCGTCATTCTAATTTGTTGTTCGTCCCATTTGTTCGTTTAGAGTGCAGTATTTAGTTCAGTTCAGTCCACAAAACACCCCAATGTTTTAACATTCATATAATGATTACAAGCAAACTCTAAAATTCACTTTGAGACAAAATATATTTTACCGGCCACAAAAACTGTATTTCTGCAAAATATCAGTTACCGATATTATATATTTTTTCTCATTTATTGGTATCAGTAGATATTGGATATTAAATTAATTCTATATATTATATATACACTACCGTTCAGTATCGGTATGATTTTTTTTATTAATTGAACGCTTTTATTGAGCAAGGACGCATTCAATTGATCAAAAGTGACAAAGAAATGTATAATGCTATGAAAGATTTCTATTTCAAATAAATGCCATTATTTTGAACTTTCTATTAATCAAAAATGTATCATGGTGTACACAAAAATATTAAGCAGCATTGATGATAATTTCAACATTGATTGCAGCATATCAGCATTTTGGAATGATTTCTGAAGGATCATGTGACAATGAAGACTGTGTTTGTGTGTGTGTGAGAGAGAGAGAGAGAGAGAGAGAGAGAGAGAGAGAGAGAGAGAGAGAGAGAGAGAGAGAGAGAGAGAGTGAGTGAGTGTGTGTGTGTGTGTGTGTGTTGGCCTGCTGGGTGAAGGGGGTTTAGGGCCAGACAGTCCAATCTGACTAATCCTGGATCAGGCTTCACTAGGACACACACTCTCTCTCTCTCTCTCTCTGCTCTCAACCTACTGCACCAGTCGCATTCACATTCCCTTATACTGTATCAGTGGGTTATATAATCCCAGACACGCACGAAACCACCATCCACCTCTGCACAATCACTCTCTCTGCATGCTCGCTCACTGTCTCACTGCTCTTTATTCTTCAGCACTCCGTTCCTCTGTATACCGCAGTCCTCTGTGACTCTACAGGGCTCCTGCTAATTGGGAGCCAAAATGTCCATGTTGTCACACAGTTTCTTTGGCAGAGCGTAGGTGAGGGAGGGACGGAGGAAACTGAGTGATGCGAGCGTGTCGGAGCTGTCACGTGCTCCGGGCTTTGACAGATGGGGCGGGCTGTGTAAACTGCTTTTCTCTGTGGACAGTTTGTTTCCTAAAATCGCACGAGCACATACTGTATGTCGAGTATGAGGTCACGGAGCAGTTCTGCTCTTGCTCTTACGCACAGTTTCTTGAATGCGGATGGACATACCTGTTCCTCTTCAAAGGTTTAAATATATAAACAATTTGTTCCCGTTAGCCTTGTTTGATGACCCGTGGTCAGATGTCTAACACAAAAAGTGGGCCAAACCGTTTGCCTGTGTGACTGCCACATCCCTTCCTTTTTATTCTTCTCTTATGGCTTCAAACTGTTGCTCTGTTTTAAAAAGGTTCACCTTGGGAATTATTTTGACATCTAAGGTGCATTTCATCCATCCAAAGTGGACTTTACTGGCCTTTCTTTCCAAGGTTATTATAGTTCACTAAAACTATTAAAAAAAAGTTTGCGATGAAAGGGAAACCGAGCATGGTGGGCAAAATGCATTTAAGTAGGTAAATATAGGACAACTATGTCAGTCATTTGTATTTGCCTCACTTCCTGCTGCCAGCTGGTGGCGTTATGACTATAGCTACATTTTGGCATGTAGATGTAATGGCATATTTTAGTATGTCGCTAATAGCGCATCACAGTGTTAAACGTCACTTCCTGTTGCCAGCAGATAGTGCTATGACTATAACTGAATAGGGGCATTCAGGACAGAACTCTTATCAAACGTGTGAAGTTTGGGGCAGATTGGACATTGTTTGCCTGAGTTATGGCGAAACATCGGAATTTGCAGGCCGCCGAGGACACGCTATTTTGACGAAAAGTCAAGTCAAGTCAAATATGTTTATATAGCGCTTTTTACAATACAGATTGTATCAAAGCTGCTTCACAGTATCAATCAAAACAACTTAACAGTGTTTGTTTATTACTGGGAAAAGACATCCAAGTTTGGTAGAGCTGATCAGTGGTGTGATGGGTCATTTAATTTGAATATCCCCAACTGAGCAAGCCAAAGGCAACAGTGGCAAGGAACCGAAAACTCCATCAAGTGACCTGATGGTGTCCTAAAACTCCATCAGATGACCCAATGGAGAAAAAAAAACCTTGGGAGAACCCAGGCTCAGTCGGGGCCAGTTCTCCTCTGGCGTTTATGAAGTAGAGGCCGAATTTACAGTAACTGTAAGATAAAAAATGTATATGAATGCCTGGCTAAATAGATGCATCTTTAGTCTAGTTTTAAACTGGGAGAACGAGTCTGAGCAACGAACAATATCAGGAAGGCTATTCCAGAGCTTCGGAGCTAAATGTGAAAATGCTCTCCCTCCTTTGGTGGATCTGGATATCCTAGGAATGACCAGAAGCCTTGAATTTAGTGATCTTAAAGAGCGCGATGGATTATAGGGCGATAGAAGATCCGTTACTCAAGATCTTCGCAATTCAGCATCGCAAAGGCTTTTTGATTACACCCACCAAATGTGAAGATGATCCGATTAAAACTCTAGGAGGAGTTCGTTAAAGTACGATGCCTGAAAATGGCAAAAAAGTTTTGCTTGAAGTATATCAGGGCCTTAACAAGCACCGTCCTTCGGATGAGACGTTAAACCGAGGTCCTGACTCTCTGTGGTCAAAATCCCATGGCACTTCTTGTAGAAGAGTAGGGTTGTGGGATGGATGAATATCTAGAGAGTAGGGTGGCCAATGACCAGTGTGTTTCCATTTATTCCGCATGAATATTCACAGAAATATTTCAAAACAGAAAATGCATGTTCTAAAGTTCAGACATCAGTTAATTGTTAAAAACATGTTTGTCTGCTGATTAAGAAATGTGTCATACTGAAATGAAAATGTGTTTGATTGAGGGATGATAAGTGTTTGTACAATGAATAAATATGATTCATGCGAGTATTAAAGTGACTAACATGACGTGTTTCTTTCAGACATTGAAGCGGAAAGAAAAGGAGTACGAGCACGAGATGGAGCGCTTGGCGCGGGAGAAGATCGCCACTCAGCAGAGACTCGCGGAGCTGAAGAACGAGTTGAGCCAGTGTATAGACGTCATAGAGATCGACAGGATACTCCGACAAACTGTCCAACCTGAAGATGATCAGGCCTCCACATCAACAGCATCAGGTACAATCAGACTATATTCCTGTGCAGCAGTAGCTACGTTTACATGGACACCTTTTGTTTCAATCGGAATATATTCATTCCGATTGATGAATCCGAACGTAGTGTCTACATGACCGCTAAATAAAGTGATCGGGTTTATATGACACAAGCTTCAAATCGGAATAGGTTTTTTGAGTTTCCTGTTGTTTGCGCTTAGGCCTACTATTCTCCTAAATTGCTTCTTTTCTTAGTTCGGGTCTTGATTAGGAGACGACAAGCACACGAACCACTGTGCCGTGCTGCTTATATTTATCAAGCGGTAAAAACGCCAATTCCTGCACCCAAAACAAGGCGTCTGTGGATGAGAATCCGTAACAAGGACTGATGGGACGGTGTCCTGCTCCACTTCAAAGACGATGAGTGGAAGGAAAATTAGAAAATGACATAACAGTCATTTATGACACTCATTACGCCATTTCTACGTCGTTGCACATGCGTAGAACTTTCCAGTTTCGGTTTTCAATCTGATCAAGTCTTTACATGTCCTCTCGATCGGATTAAAGAAGGTTTAAACCACCCCTTATAATCCGAATGAAATAATAATTGGATTTGGTCTGTTCATTCCGATTAACATGGTTACATGTGATTTTCTTTATTTCCGACTGCTAGTAGTCCGATTACAATCCATGTAAACGCAGCAACTGTCACAAGATCCTTCAGATGTCATTCTAATATGCTGATTTGCAGCTCAAGAAACATTTCTGAATTTTGAAGAATTTCTTGTTCTGCTGCTTAATGTTTTTATGGAAACCTTTATACTTTTGTCAGGATTCTTTGATGAATAGAAAGTTTAAAATAACTTGAAATACAGTATTTTGTATCATTGCAAAAGTCTTAAAGGAAACAGACTCATAGAATTAAATAAAAATGCATATATAAAATATTAAAAAGTTATTCATGTATTAAAACATTTCAAATATTTATTCTTTCCTTTGAGGTCCCCCTATGTTGAGGTTTCTTTCACCAGAAACAGTTTCTCTTAGCTTTTCATAATGTGTACAATGAATCGGGACATTTGTTCTTCTGAAAGTGAAAGTATGATTTCATGCTCATATATATCAAATATCATTTCCTGATATGATTCAGTTTAATGTGTCTGAGGGGGTAAGAGACGATGTAAAATCGAATTACCATGAATCATTTTCCACTTTTTCCAGAGGGCGAAGACAACTTCGACCAAGACGTAGAGGACGACATCCTCTCCTCTCCACTCTCGTCTTCTGCACCTAAACTGCCTGCGCCGTCGGAGCCCCGTCCTGCCATGCCTCCACCCTCCATCCTCCCTACGCACATCTCCATACAACACAAACCCACCACCCCACCCAGCCATCCCCAGGCAGCGGTGATCACCCCTCAAGCCATCGCTCCTGCGCCTCCTTCCCACATCATCTCCCCTCCTCAGCAAACAGTCATCACCCACGCCTCTGTCTCCCATGCGTCCGTCATCCAGGCCGTCAATCACGTCATCCCAGCTGGGTCCAAACATCTGGCGCATATTGCGCCCTCTAGTGCCGGCCAGCCAATCGGACACATCACCGTGCATCCCGTGACCCACCTCCCCGCAGCCATTTACCCGCAGTCGGTGGCCGTCTCACAACCGGCGATGGTGGGACACATCACGCACACGTTGGCGCACCACCCGCACACTCACGCCCAAGTTAACGGCACACCGGTCACGGGCCAGCAGGCCACCATGGTGGGGAAACCCACGGCCGTGGTCGCTCACCATCACACTGGGCTGGTGGGCCAGACGGTGCTCAATCCAGTGACTATGGTAACTGTTCCTCCTTTTCCAGTCAGCACGCTAAAGCTGGCCTGAGAGAAAAGAGAGGGTGCGCAGAAAGACTTCAATGAAAGGAGGTCTCACAAAGCTAGAGCAAGATAGACGGCGATCTAGTCGACGACGACTAGATCCCAGTCAGAAATTCACTACTGTTGCTCAAACACGCCGGGACCTTTTCAGGATCGGAGCGTGTCCTCTTTCACGTGTCGAAGGGGCTTGCGTGTCTTTTGCCATGCAGCGTTGGAATGAAATACATGTAATGCACTTGCTTAGCTAAATTCGAAGACATTGGGTGTCAGTCTTTAGTAATGTGAGAGTGGAGTGCTAAAACAAATCAATTTTTTCTTCTCTTTTCCTCCTATCCTTTTTTCTGTATGCAAATTTTCACGCTTTACATTCATTCACCAAAAAATTCCACAGACGAGTGCTTAAAGGTCAATACTGGAAGCACGAGGAGAAAAAAAACAAACGTTTACTGTATAACCATATTTTTAGGGGCTTTTAAAACTCTTCAAACGGGGTTTTTGAATTAAAAAAACAGGTACATTCAGACTTCTGAAAAATGGGATTCCTCGAAGTGTCTTTGACTTGCGAGCAAATGTAAGTGCCTATGCCCCAAGTCAAGCCCATTGGCGCCACCTGCTGCCTACGCAATGCAACAACACTGCTGATTATGAAGCGCACGCGCACAAGACTGTCATGACCTGACCTACAGTCACATACATCTGTTGGCGCTCACGAAACACAGTCTGAAAGGGATACTTTACCCAATTATTTTTAATGTTGTCATCATTTACTCGCCCTCAAGTTGTTCCAAACCGGTATGAGTTTCTTTCCTCTGTTTTCTGTCTGGTTATCATCATTCTTTAAAATATCTTCTTTTGTGTTCAGCAGAAGAGAGAAACTCATACAGGTTTGGAACAACTTGAGGGTGAGTAAATGATGACAACATTTTCATTTTTGGGTGAACCCAAAGGAAACTTAGCTAATAGACAATTCAACATCTGAGAAAGACCTGTATTCCGACATGTATTTGAAAGTACATTCAAGCATTTATAATTCCCAACAAGTGCTCAGATATTTAACATAATAACGAGTAATACTTGATTAACGTTTCAAACTATTAAAAATGTGACAGCGCGTCGAGATGTCGGGCATTTACGTCTCTTTAAATCAGCACCATTACTGTCCTCGTGCTTGTAGCAACACGTTGAAAAACGTCAAAGTCTTTGAATACGTACGTAAATAAATTTGTCGTCACCGCGCGCACGTTCGTAGATGGATTGTAATGCGCGCGCAAGTGTCCAGTGTTGATCGGTGCCGTTGTCCCATTCTTCGCTCATCGATGCACAGCGATTTTTATGCGTGATTGTGTAAATTGTCGTTAAGTAGGCGCTTGTTTGCAAACATTTTAGGATGTTAAAACATCCTGTTTTCTGTTTCAACGATGACAAAAACAGCCCCTTTACCAATAGCAGTGCTCTTTTTAAAGTCGACCTGTCATTCTCAGTGCACTCGCTTGGTTTAAACTGCACAAATTAGCCATCATACCTTTTCCCAATGTAAACTCGATGGTTAGTTACACCACGTTGTTGCTTTATACTGTCACTTTCAAACGGAACACTGTGATTCCTGCTCTTAACATCTTCTTCCTGCTGCAAACGCCCCACATCCGAGGTTTCTTTTTCTTTTTGGGGGATGTGAAGATGAAATGATACAGTCTGTGCTTCACACTCAGTTAAAAACAAACAAACAAAAAAATAGCCTAACCTTTGTGGAATTTATTAGGGTGTTTTTCATTTTTAAATTTTTTTTTATATGTGTATGGATGTATGTATACATGTGAGGTATATGCACGCATTCACATATATGTGTATGTATTTTAGGATTATACTGATGCCTGGTTTTGCATGTAGATTGCAGTTTTTGTTTGTTTGTTTGTTTAAATGTTAATCCCTCCCCTTGTTTCATTTTTGGGACCATGTTTCATACTGTATGATGTGGACGGGACCGTTAGACCTCATTCTACATTGATATTATATATAAATATATGAAAAACTGTGCATTTTTCCCTATGGAGAAAGTTTAAGTTATATATCGCCTGTACATTCTGGGCTGCATTAAGATTGAATTGTCCACCGTGTTTAACTGAAATAGTAATAAAACTTATTAAAAATATGCTAGATTACTACAAAAAACAATGACGATTCATAATAAATCTTATGACATTTACAAGTCAAGTTGTACTGGTCTTATTTCTTGTGTACCACAATAGTTGTTCATATTTACATTATAAAATAAAGTATTTTTGTCAGCTAAATAATGAGTTATTTAAATGCATCCCATTCTTCATCTGATGATTCTGAAGGCTAATTTAGGACCTACATTTACAGAACATAATTTTACAGTTAATATTATATTCACTGCAAAACCTCTGACATCTCTAACTGTATTTCAATCATAAACATTTAAATTAATGGATAAGTCTGTCTTAATGTCCATGACGCATCTGTTCCTGAATCCTTTCCAGAACTTCCTGCATTCGCCGCAACTGCAGAAGAAAAAGGGGGGAAAAAATTCTAAGGAAAATTGCCAACAATTATCAGGGAAGTTTAAACAAAAGTTAAGACTTAAACATGGTTGCAGAATATAGTATGCACACAGTATGCAAATCAGACTGTCAAAACACATTATTAAACTAAACTCAAATTGAAAACCATTTTTATTTCAGAGACCATAATTGTGACATGGTTCTGTACACCCTTTCTATATCTGCCATATTTTATATAGAATAATACAAAGTAGTATGCTAATATGCTATTCTAAAGCCCAGGTCATGTGACACTCATTAGTGTCACCCATAGTAGATTCATCCAGTGAATGCATTCCAAAGAGAACGAAGACACTGCATGGTCTAGTTAAAAAACCCAAAGAGAACAGTATTACCTCCTCATCTTTCTCCCAAATAAGGCGCTCAGTGTTGCTGTCCACAGGCACCAAAGGCACAGGAAGGTCTGAGGCGCTGTCTCTCACCCGGTTACACAGACTGGATGAACACAACCAATGAAACACAGTAAGATACAGCACACAGGAAGCACTCAGTGATAACTGATGTCAGTTTATCCTCTGACCTGCGTTTCCTCTCCCTGACCACCATGTGGGTCATATTGTGGATGCACTGAGCACGATAATTCTCGTAATGTGTTTCCCGCGTCACGTCCTTCAGGTCTTGCATGTGTGTGCGCACCAACATGTTCCTCAGCTTCAGGAAGTCGGAGTGCTCTGGGTTTTCCACTGCAAGAGTCAAAACACAACAAATTACGACGTTAATGGTTATAATATCTTATTATCTTCATGCCTTCTAGCAGTGGTTCCCAAACGGGGGTACATGAGGTGACAGAGGGGGTTGCGATAATATATAATCCAACTTTATATACAGAGCTGTGCAATAATACAGTTAATATTTTATGACGATATTAACAATCTGCTATATAGTATATCGAAAATATTCAACCCACATTGCAAATCAGGTTCATTGGCAAAATGTACGGACTTTAAGCTGTTTGCAATGAACAAATCAAACAAAAGTAATTGAAATAACCACTTGAAACATTTGTTGTGTTGAGCGTCCCCAAATTCAACTGAAAACGCAACTTTGAATTTTGCAGTCTCAAAATTATTCAACCCCCTGAATAGAATCCCTCACAACAGCACAAAGCTGCAAAACAGGTGTTGCCTCAAGCACACCTGATGCAACTAATCAAGGACTTCATTAGTTCACCAGGGCTGTATCTGAAATTGCCCCTATACCCTCAAATAGGGCGCTATTTGAGGGGACAGCCATTTGTAGTGGTGTCCGAAACCATAGTGGGCGTTATTGAGTGCACTTATTCAATCCCACATTGCACTGCGAGTAACGAGTGTGCGACCGATATACGCTCAACGGCTGTCCGAATTCACTCACTCATTTTCATCCACTCCTTCAAGTGAACAGTATTAGTGGACTAATGTAGGGAATAGTGAATGAGGGATTAGGAGGCGATTTCGGATTCAGCCCAGGTGTGCTTGAGAGCTAGAACACATGAAATATCTGAACTGGCTAGGTTTGTTGAGTGTCATGTTTGACTGCATGTTAGAAATATGGCTAAGTCAACAGAATGGTCCAAAAAGTTAAGAAGATATCATCGCCCTTCACAAACAAGGAACAGGATACTAAAAGATAGTGGAGGCACTCAATGTTCCTAGAGACACTGTTGGAAGCATAGTTCGCTACCTGGTTACACTACCTGGACGGGGCAGAAAAAGGAAGCCATCAACGGCTGCAACCAGATTTCTGAGAAGGCAGGTTCAGAAAAACCCTTGAGACTCAAGACTTGGTGGCAACAGGCACTGAGGTTTCAGCTTGCACAGTAGTAAGGCGCGTACTAAACGCATGCCAGAACTAGACGTACACCACTATTGACCCAAAAGCACAAGAAAAGTGCTCAAAATCATATAAATAAACCACAGAAATTTGGGGATTCTGTTTTTTGAAGCGATGAGACGAAACTGGAACTTTTCGGCCCTATGGATCAGCGGTGTGTGTAGGAAGAAGAATGAAGCACATGCTGAAAAGAACACTCTGTCTACAGTTAAGCATGGTTGGCTCTGTGATGCTCTGGGGCTGCTTTGCATCCTCTGGCACTGGAAACCTGCAGCGTGTGGAAGGCAAGATGGATTCATTGAAGTATCAGGAAATCCTAGGAGAAAACATCATGCTGTCAGTGAGGAAGCTGAAGCTTGGGAGTCATTGAAGCTTCCAACAGGACAATGATCCCAAGCATACCTCACATTCCACCAAGGCCTGGTTGCAGAAGAAGTCCTGAAAGATTCTACAGTGGCCATCACAGTCACCTGACTTGAACCCCATAGAAAATCTCTAAAGGGATTTGAAGGATATTACTGAACTGGAGGCCATTGCTTATGAGGAATGTGCTAAGATTCCTTCAGGAACGCTGCTTGAAGCTGCTGCCATTAAAAGTAGCATTTTCAGTTGAAACCACTTGAATCAATTGTTGTGAATTCCAATTACTTTTGTTTGATTTGTTCATTGCAAACAACTAAAAGTACATTTTGCCAATAAACCTGATTTGCAATGGGGGTTGAATAATTTCAATTTCGCTTTACGTGAGTATACTGTATGTATGCAGGTAAAGTAGGATCCCACTTTTAATATATCGCTATTTAAATTTTTCGAGGATATAACAATCAAGCAGTTAAGATTTTAACAATCAAGATTTTCTATATAGTACATACCGCTTTACATGAGTGTACTGTTTTTATCCGGGTAAGAGCATTTAGTAAAGATTACTACTGCATAAATTAATTGCAGGGACACTTAATTCATTGTTTGAATGTATATGAATACAATATTCTGTATGCAACAGAGTCCGAGTACCTTCCACCACACCCCAGGGGTACTGGCGGCCTCTGAAGCGCCTGCCTTGGCTTTCAGCTTGGACGTTACTGCCAATTACAGCAAAAGGAATGCTGTCCTGTAACAAAGAAGGAAAGCCACATTTCAATTAAGTCAGTCGTGTTACGGAGAATTTGATGTACATATGGAGCTGGGTCGGGTCACCTTCAGTTCCTGGTGCTGAAGTTTGATCTCCTCATCCTCGTCTGAATCGCACTCAGGGAACTGGTAGATGTTGATGTCGAATCTCTCGATCTCCTCACAAATCTAGAGAGAAAACAAACACACAATGACAGTGATATATATATATATATATTTATTAGGGATGCACAATATATTGGCCACCATATAGGTATCGGCCGATATATGATCATTTTCAATGTTATCGTTATTGGCCCGATAAGAAAATTTGTCCGATAATATTAAAGCCGATAAATAATGGATTATTTCCTTCAGCTGAGACACTTGAGATGCACCCTGTTCTCCATGATGTTTTTGAATTGCTTGAAATATGATTGGAATGCCTTCAAAAAATGAAAATACAGTAAAGTGCAACATGTGCACCACAAGTCTGTCATATAGGCTACATAAAATTATTATAACTGTGTGCTTGGAACACGGCTTTTAATAGTGAGACTTTTGTTTTTGCAATCAAAAAAAGATTTGGATTTAGATTTATCGGCCAATATATTGGTTATCAGCTTTTAAAATATAGAGTTCTCAGTATCGGCCAAAATGTTCATATCGGTGCATCCCTATAATATATATATATATATATATATATATATATATATATATAGTCTCTCTCTTTCTCTCTCTCTCGTCCCTCCTTTTCTTTCTACAGGATTGGATCAGACCAAAGTGATCTCCAAATGTGATTTGTGAAATTAAAGGATCTGCAGTGCCTGAAGAGGATGTCAACCTGTGATATCCTGTTGGTCAATTGCTGTTGTGTTTTTGCTAGAGTGTTTGCTACTGTGTGTTACACTGCTGGCTTTCCTGTAGTGATGGGAGAAACAAAGCTTTTCAAAGCTTCGAATCAATTGAACCAATTGCTTCGCAAAATGATTCACTGAGTTCAAAACTCCACACGCTGGTGACCCCTGCTGGTCATAACAATGGAAATGCAACAAAAACCCAGGCCAAACATGCATAAAAACCCCTTTTACAAACCCATTGCAAATGTTTTATTGAAAGTAAAATCTATCAAATGCATTTAACTAATCATCTAATAAGATTAAATATTTAAGTGTCTGTGTAATGTGTTTTTTTTAATCAATTTTCAGGCCTTGTTTTGTTTGTTCCATGGATTGCACAGCTAAACAGGCCAACAAGAGACTATTAACTAGTATTATTAATTTTAATTATACTAGTGTCTAATAAAAACGTGTACAAATGTATAAAACTGATCAGAGATCAGGTAAAGCCCACAGACATTTGTTCAATTTAGACATTTCAATGGTTCACCCCTCAGCGGTGAACCATTGAAATTTCGAAACGTTTCAAAACGATTATGACGTCATGAAGCCTCGTTTACTGAAATCACATGACTTTGGCGGTTTGATACACGCTCCAAACCACTGACTCGAAACAAAAGATTTATAAAGGTTTCGAAGCTTCATGAAAAGTGTTTGGAAATCGCCCATCACTACTTTCCTGTTGAATTACATGCTGGCTTGACTGTTGTGTGCAACCTCTTTGCTTTTTGTATAATACCGTAGATATTACTGTGGGGGGTGGGTGCCATTTCTTTTGTAAATACGGTTTACTCTTGTTTTTTGTTAGGGAGGTAGGGTAGTAAATTGTGTTTTTATTTTATTCTTTTTCTTTTGGTAGGGAATTTAGTTGTTCCTGTTAGGAGTTTGTTTATCGTTTTGGCCTTAGCGCCCCCCTAAAGTTGTGCTTTCACTTGTGGCCCTGTAAATAAAAGTGTACAAAGGATCTTTGGATGACTTTTCCAGTTCATTTTGTGGCCTCACCTTAGACTGGGTCGTAACATTATGCACTAGCCAGTATTTTTATACATTGTGCGTACCTTCATTTTCATTTTTCTGACTTCTTCTGGAGTGAGACTGTCTGCTTTGGCAAGCACAGGCACTATGTTGACCTTCTCATGTAGCGTCTTCATAAACTCCACATCCATCGGTCTGAGACTGAGACATGAAAGAAAAAAAACAGTTACTCCCATGATTCCTGAGATACATTTCCAGGACAAAATGCCACTCTCATTAAGCTAAACCTCCAGATTTATATTTATATTGTGAATAGTAGTTGATCGTTAAAGGTTCTACAACATGTGATGCTGTTATCTGGAAAACAGCAATGAAAATTCACAAAAAAAATACAAAATTACATTAATTTCTCAGATAATCACCAAATACTAAATGCTGGCCATTTAATCACCCCTGGGTTATTTCCCCTACAATGATGCAACTCGCTGCTTAGTTACCGAAGTACGGTGCATCGTTGAAAAAAAAAATAACTAACTAGTCACAACTCTTTCCTGAAAGCTTTGTAACTTTAATCGCACACCAATCGTTTGAACTACTTTGGTTCAACAGTATAGAACCGTCGCTAACGACATCACGCAGGTGGTGGAGTAATAACTTCTGTTAATGAATCAGTTTGAGATTAAATTAATGTCCGATTTTTGCTCTAAATAACAAACATGGCATCTAAAGACTACTTTGCTATTTTTTCTCCATACAGTTGTTTGCTTCAATCGCAGCTACCCTCTTACTTCACAAGGGGTACTACATTTATTTATTTAGGAGATGCTTTTATCTAAAGTGACTTACAAACGAGGATTACAACAAGCGATCCATCTTAGAGAGGCTAAAAGATAAAAATGGTATATCGCAACTTTTTATCAGAATTGTGAGATATCAATGAGATTGGCGCTTTTGTTCACGTGCCTGGAGCTGCTGAATTTACAGTACTTGGTGGCGCTCAAGCACAAAGCGGCCTTGCCGAGCACACATTGATAGAAGACGACGAAGAAGAGGAAGTAAGTAGACGAAGAAGATGCAACGAGGCAAGATATGTAGAGCTGCTGGTCTTTTTGGTGTCTGAACACAAAGAACTTTAAGACAAACGCAACAGCGACTACAAAAATCTCGATAAGAGGGAGTTGTTATGGAGAAGAATTGCAGATCAAATAGGATTCTGCAATTACAGAACTCATTACACCTTGTGTATTTCTGTTTTTCAATAAGCGCCATCTACTGTCAGGGAATGAAATTGCACGTTCACTCGGCGCATCACCAGTGAAAATCGCTTGGGTATGAACACAAACTCAAAGACAGGTCGAAAAACGCTGGCAATAAGCATGCGCGATAATCGCCCCGGTGTGCATAAAGTTTTAACTGTACGTTCACACCGCCGCCGACTTGAGCGGCAAAGAAGCTCTGGCCGCCCTGTCAAGGTCGCTTGTCAAAAAGTACGGGGAAGCTTGTTGACGCTTTGGACGCACGTAGCAGGGAGAAGAGAAGTGTCACAACATGAAATGTAATAAACACAAAAAAACAAGCAATACATTGAAGAAACCTTTTATAATGACAGCATTTTTATAAGCGTTTTGGTCAGATTTGGTCAAAAAAAAAAAAGAATAATTAGCTATTGTTATTATTATTTGCATTAGGCTATTATTTGCATTAGTACAATTGGTCAAATCGGTGTCGCCGTGAGCAAATGAATTGCATTCCCGCTTAAAACGAGCTTTAAATATTTCAAATAAAAGTTGCGCTCATGCAGTCCCTATAAGCAAACAACGTCATGTCATAAATGATAGGAAACCCAGCAACGGCGATTATTACTTTTTTCAACTTTCTGATTGACGCTCAAAACGCCCAAAACGCGACGCCGATGGATTTGACGCACCTTGCAGCTGAGTGAAGCCAGCTTCCATTGAAAATGAATGACTTCCGGCCGCTTTGGAAGCTCAAGTCGGCGGCGGTGTGAACGTACAGTAAGGCTAGGTTTACACGACAATGATGTACTAAAAACTGAAACGTTTTTCCTTTGCCTTTTCTGTGTACAGATGACAACGTTGTAAGAACGATCCCGTTCACAAGGATCCGTGAAACCGATTAAAATTGCTGTATTCTGCTGTTAGGCCAGTAGTTGGCGATGTCACTTTGAAAAGAAACACTACGCACCTATAGACTGAACACTTAATACGCATGCGCGTGATATCACGGTTTTCACAAATTCGCCTTTTTGTAGTTTACACAGAGAAGATAACGGTATCGGTTTCAAAAACTTGCACTTTTCTGTTTTCAAAAGTTTGCATTTTCAGGCTCTCAAATCGCCATTGTCGTGTAAATGAAACGCCAAAACGCAGAAAAAGTTTCCGGTTTTAGTTGAAAACGGCGTCTTGTAAACGGCTCCTAAGAAATAGAGAATATATACGTATACAATGCTAGTGTGAAGCTCATTTGCACATGCACACTCTTTAAAAAACGTTCAATCTCTTGGCCAACACATCTTTCACACTCGTGGTCAAACTATCGATCACTACTTGTGAATAACAAGCACTTCCACTTGTTTTTGTCAGGGAGTGTTACCCGTGGCCAAAAGGTGAGATGAAGTAGAGGCAGCAGTGCACACGGTTGTCCTGAATGTTCTTACGGTTGAGGCCGCTTTCGTCACGAAAGTACTGCTCAAACTGCTGGTCAATGTAGTCCTCAACTGCCCTCCAGCTATTACAATGAACATTAAATGGAGATTAAAAAGCTGAAAATGAGCAAATGTATTTGATATAGTTACTTTCCATCACCAAAGTCACAAAAACTCATTTTCATCATGAGTAACTGAGAGGCAATATGACACAGTAAACATTTATTCTGAGAGAAATGACTCCTATGTCATTAACTAATAATAATGCAGTCCCACCACTCTGTGTTGTTGACAGCATCACCAAATCCTGGCGTATCCACGATGGTGAGTCTCAGCTTGACACCCTTCTCCTCTATAGGCACAGTGTGTTTTGTGATCTCCACTGTCTGCGAGATCCGCTCTGCAAATGGGTCATTGACAAATATTAAAAACGATAGTCATTAATTACTCACCCTCATGTAGTTCCAAACCTGTAATACTTTCACGCAAGAACCAATGAGGTTCATTCTCGTGTTACGCAGCAGGTTTGAGCTTCAGCAGGAACCAATGAGGTTTGTTCTCGTGTTACGCAGCAGGTTTGAGCTTCAGCAGGAACCAATGAGGTTTGTTCTCGTGTTACGCAGCAGGTTTGAGCTTCAGCAGGAACCAATGAGGTTTGTTCTCGTGTGTCATTAGGTTCGGTCGAGCTTCTGTTTATGTTCGCTGATCATTGCTTATGTGTGAATAAAAGCCTACATAAAATCTGTTCATCATATAAAGCAATCGAGTCTCTCTGACTAAACCGCTCAATTCATATGGATTAGTTTTACGATCTCTTTATGAACTTTTTGAAGCTTCAAAGTGTCAGTTGTGTAGCTATCAATAAAGGGATAGAAAGCTCACAAATTTCATAAAAAAGATCTTCATTTGTGTTCCGAAGATGAATTAAAGTCATATGGGTTTGGAACGACATAAGAGTGAACTATCCCTTTAAGAAAAAAAAAAGGAATTTAAAAAAAAAAAGTTTAAAACATGTGACATGGTCTTAGACGTGTAATATTTGTATTCGTGTTAAGCCGGGTGCACACTGCAATTTATTATAGACCTTTACGATTGCTCCTTGTCAGACTGTACGAACATGATCATCGCTGTAAGCCATGTCACACTGTGGTATCTCAGTGGTATCTCAGCCTATGATCAGAGGAATCTTTTAGGATTTGCAAAATTTGTCTCAGACAGCCAAATCGTGGCCAAAATCGCAGTGTGCACCCATCTTTAGTTTCATATGGCTTTAAAAAAATGTATACTATTTTCAAAAAAAATTTTAGAGAACGACCATCAAGTAAAAATAATAATGCATTTTCCTTACACCTTGAATACATGCGAGTGTACACATCTTTTTCAAAACTTTTTGAAATGTATTTTTCTGTTTACATTTTTAATTTAAGTAAAGTTTGCCATATTGTTGTGTTTTTGTCATTTATCTAAAAAAATCTATACAGTTTGTATTAAGTTTTAGTTTATTTTTACTATTATTTTAGCACTTCAACGTAAACTAAATAAAAATGAGAAATGTTGCCTTTAAGTGTTTATATTTTATTTTATTTCAGTTAAATAAATAAACATTTTGTTATTTCAAGTAATGGAAATGTTTTTCTAATTTTAGCTTTAGTTAACGATAACCCAGACTCTTACCTTCAGCATTGAGCATCTTCCTGTCTTTGTAAAGGTCTGTGAGGAAGAGGCTGTTGACTAGTGTAGATTTCCCTAAACCCGACTCCCCTGGAAGGATCAAAAGGATAATAATTATAGGACATCAAATATAACTTTTGCTTTGGCTATCTGTCTTTGACATCTGATGACCTCACCTGCCACCATAAGAGTAAAGGCGAACCCCTTTTTCACAGATTTCCTGTGCACTTGGTTAGGCAGCGTCGCAAAGCCAACATATTCCTTATCTTGATCCTATAAAAAGAGAAAAAAATCTCAGATAGTGATGTGATTTCAAAATAAGTAAACATGGATTTAAAAAAATCAAGTTTGAAGAAAGCAATATAAAAGCCTGAGTCAACATTACCTCAGCAGAGTCATAGGGGTCAAATCTGCCCCAAGGACTTTTCGGGCGAGAGGGGCTCATGGGAGAATCCAGAGAGCTCATGGAGCTGAGCTGGCCACGGCGAACTAACTCCGGCTCAAGACTTCTGCTCAGTGGTCGTGTGAAAGTGGGCGTCCCTGGGGTGTGAGGGTGGGTGCTGCCGTCGGGCTCCCTGTCCATCATGGGCATCTCACTTCCAGGGAAAGTGTGACCGGCTCTGGGGGGCAGGTCTCTCATGGTATAGGCCAGTTCAGAGTCCTCACAGTCTCCTATGGCTAAACTAGACAACTGCAGATGTAGGACACAAATGACTTCATAGTTTCAGTTTAGATCAACTCTAAATAATCAGCTTGGACCTAATGCTGCATTCCATTTGTCCTTGGAAGTGGGAGATTCCTAGTTCCCAGTAGGAACTTTTAACTGGATTGAACACTGAAGTCAGTGTTGCGACTGGGAAACTCAGGGGAAGCGCAACAACCCCGACATCAGAATCCACTATGGATGCTCAGCGCATCATCCATAGTGGAACAGCAGTAATATACTTCTGCTTGTCTGTGTCTTAAACTCAGTGGTGCACATACTATCCCAACCTCTATTTGTAGACATACTTCGGCATACTGTTCAAAATACAGTTTGTATTCTGAAAAAGCAGCACAACAAAGGTTTGCATCCATGTTAGTTTTCTGACCATGTGTACTGGAACGTGTTAAACTCGGGTGTGACGTCATTCCCAGCTGCAACATCCCTCTTCCGAGGTAAATGGTCACAGCATGGGTTGTGGAAAGGGGACCTTGAGGGCCAAAGTTGATAACATGCCCCTGATAACATGCATTTAAAAATAGTATTGAATCTTCAGTTTTAGGAGCGCAATCTATTTTGATTTTCATTAATTATGAAATGTAAGATTAAAAATGGAAAATCTTCCATTGAATGCTTAAAGTATATATTAACAATTATGGCACTGTTGTAATACTTACGTAATGTATTGTAATTGGGCTTCATTATTGCAAGTCTTTTCATACTAAATTGGGAATAGTATTATTTTCTTGTATTTAATTGTATAAAATTGTGATTGTCCTTTTCTTTCTTCCATCTAATTAACCATCTATAGCCACATATCCAATGTCAAATGGATAAATGACAGAAAATAATAAATTAAAGGCATGTGTGTGAGAAACATACAGATAATCTTATTTGGCATTATTTATTTTGTTTTATAATTTAAATGTTATTTTTTTCATTTCAGAGCTTGACAGATCTAGTCCCCATTTACTTTAATTACGGTATATTGAAGTGTATTGGAAGCATTATAAGAGAAAATCATAAGTGGCATTTAATTATACATAACATTATTTTATGATCAGTTCTCTCACCTTCACGTCCTTATGTTGTTCTAACCTATTCATGAAACAAAAATATAATGTATCGGCTTCTTAATTTCACACGGTTAAGTGAATGTGAACTGGGGCTGTAACGCTCCAGTTTTAATTTTACTGTAAAATTACATGAAATGTAAGGTTAGATATATTTTACAGGTTTCCCCGTATATAGAAAGGAAACTTACTGTTAAATAACTAACAAGTTTTACTGTACTTCTACAGTTAAAATTACAATATTTTTTTTACAGGATACACTCAACAGGTTCGAACGTCACAAATAAACAAAGCTTGAACACAGGAAGTCGCTCAGTCTCTAATGCAAACAACGTGACCTGCATTCATCCAGCAGCCTGTCACTGTTCATTAGTCCACTTCAGACACATTAATACCTCACACTAATGCCCTGATCTCCAGTAAGATGCTAGAGAAGTGGGGGTCGTGGCTGCAGGCACAGTTTAACAGTTTTCTTACTACTCTAACTACATTTCTTTCATAAATGAGTAGTTATGCATCCATACCTCAGGATCTGGAGCCAATGAAAGTGTGTAAACAGAAAGAAAGAGACCATATTAAAGTTCCAAATCAGTCAGATGCGTTTCTGACCTACATTTGCAAATCCGTAATTTAAAAAACAAATTGATTTTATTTTAAAAAGCCCTTACCGCGTTGTCTGTACATCGCATTCACGAACCGGTTGGTGGTCGACGACAGGTGCTCCATTTCACCAGACCAGTTTACATCCACTTGTCAATGCAGTTGATTTGTTTACCTAAATAAAAAAAAATCCTCTGTGCGGATTTTATCTGTGGAGATTAGTAACGTCACAGAAAAATCTCCGCAATTAAGTTAACGCAACTTTCCTGACGCTAAATGTTCAGGATATACGGAGGAAAGCAAAGTTACAGCACACACAAACCAGCACGGCCAACTGTTTAATGCTATCAGTGAGAGCTGTGCGGTGCGTCGCGTGACTCGCGTTCACCTGCAGTGTACTGGTCTGGGAGCGTTTCATTTGCGTCGCGCTTTGATTGGTCGACTGTGTGCCGACGCCAGCTTGAAGATGCGTTGGTTTGCGTCATAGCGTTTGCTTGTGGGTATAGTAACGTTATATAATAATAATTAAATTAAATTAAAAAATATAAATACCAATGAAAAACTGAAACAACTACACTAAGCAATAAATGCGTTCAACTGAAATAATTGCTATAACAGTTAACTATGAAAATACATGTTTTCTTTTAGTAGCCATAGCAAAAGCAAAAATATTAAATGTACAGCAGTTTAAATGAAATTTTGATAAACGAAACTTTCTGTCAAATAAAAGGAGCTTTTTATTTTTTTCAACTAAGATCAAGTTCTGATTAAGGCTACACTGTGAAACTATGAATTATATAAAAAAAAGAATGTATAGACTACAGTAAACTCGATTAGCAAGTTAAATATCTTACGTTTAATAATTTGACAATTTATGTAATTTTTCTATAAAATACAAGGCCTATGTATGAATTAGGCTACCATATAGGTAATTTAGAGCAAAATAATAAAATTAACAAGACAATATGTGCTTTCCACTGTAAATTATCGATAGTGTTTTTCTACCCACCACAATTTAAAGGTAAAAGCAGTAAAAAAATGCCGATTATAGTTACATAGGTAATTTTTTTTTGTGTGCCTTACCCCAGATCTATTCATTGAGCTTAGATATGCAAAAAAATTCACACACCTCAAAGCAATTTAAAGAGCTCAAACATTCGACAGAGTAATGGTTATGGTTTTATTTTGTGTTAAAAAATATACAATATTAATTTTAAAATTAATGCAATTGGCTAGTAAATTGTCAGTCCTATTACATTAGCAGGATAATTGCTACAGTCCTCCTTTCAACATTTAAAAAAAAATTAAGTTTAATTTTTAATTATATATTTTTTGGGATATTTTACAAAGTAATTAATTGCCTCTTCCATCTAGGGGTTTCCATGAGACACATGCTGTCCTCTTCTGTAATCCAGCTGGCAAATGCTTACACATTCTCCTATTGGTGAAAAAAAATAATTAGTTAATATTACTAAAAAGCTTATGAAATTCTCTCAGTGCTAAAGGATAAACTATTTTTTTATTTATTTATTTATTTACCAAGCACGGGTTCTTGCACAGGCAATTTATACGATAGTTCTCATACAACACATAGTGAGTGGTATGTTTCAGGTCCTGCATGTTTGTGCGGATCAACATGTTCCTCAGATGCACAAAATCACTGTGAGATGGATTCTCAACTGTTGGAGAGAAAAGAGCACATACGATGTTGTTACATACAGTATACATACAGTATACCCACCATATACAACCTCTCTGCTATTTTCCAAGATTTTTGAACATAAAAAATTTGGTCTCTTCCTCTTTATATGGTAAAGAGAGCAGCGTAATCCTTCACAGTTTCTTCCATACATTTAATACAGATTGGAAACAACATGATAACGACAGACACAATTAAATCATTTCTATTTTTGAGTGATCTATTCCACTTCTCTTAAATGTTACCTCAAGTATAAATGTAACATCTGATGGTGCGAGTGAACATACCCTCTACAATCCCCCATGGATAGGCACGGGCTCGAACTCTTCTGCCATCTCTCTCTACTACTGTATTACTCCCAATAACAGCAAAGGGTATACTTCTCTATGAGAAGACATGGAAAAATTGTAGAGCTTATAATTAGGATTATAAAAAATAACAAAAGCCAACAAGCTTAACCCTTGTGAAAAAGTACCCTTAAGTGTATTGAATGTCAAATCTTAAAAGTAGATATTTTTAAAAACTGTACTTGCAGATAATATAATACTAATGAAATAACTAAAGAGACTACACTTTCATGACACACACTTTTAGAAAGTGTCAACACTTTATATGTCAAATAAAAACTTTAAATCATTATGTTTTAATAAACTTTTGTTGAACTTTAAAGAAGTACACTTATATATTGATGTTTTGATTGATATATTGCTATATAGACTAACACATTAAAGGACTGACGTTTATTATTCGATATTACATTTAATGGAGATATATTTTAAATGTATTAAATTGTAACTTCATCATTACAAATGTGTAATAAAAAATATATTTAAATACATGACACAAGTTTCAATAGAAATGACATTAATGTATATTTTAGTTTACTATAAATGCTTGTGTTTAAAAGTACATTTCACCATATTTCAAAAACAATAGAAGTAATTATGTAATTACATATAAAGATGGACTTAAGTCCTATAGTTAAGTGGGTCAATGTTAAACTAATTGCACTTAATATAAATTGAAACTATAATATATCTTGTTTTAATTGTACGTAACCTGCAATTATGTGTCGGAAAACATAACATTCAGTTCACACTTAAGTAGAGACACACATAAGATTTTTTAAAGTATGTTATTTTCATAATAAGTACTTTTTTATTTTCATAATAAGAACTCTCTTTTTTTGTGCTCAAGTGTACTTCTTTTTCACAGGGAAAGAATTCATGTCACAACTTCTTTTAAAAAGCAAAAAGCAAAATCTGTGACTCATTTCCAAAAGAAAATAATATAGTGACCTGTAGTGCTGACCTTTACCTCTAGATCCTGTTGCCTGAAGGGATCATTATTATGATCACAATCTGGGACCTGGAAGATCTTGATTTTGTATTGGTCAATTTCTGTCAAAATCTATGGAAACAAATGCAATACATTACAGATTGCAGATCTGGTGGTAGTTGTTGACATTGGAAGTCATGTTCTCAAAATATCTATATGATACACTTTTTGAAACAGCCATGTAGGTTTTCCCAGATTTCCAGTACATGTTAATTCTCACCTTGGCTTTCATATTCCGTGTCTCTTTTGGAGTGAGGCTGTCTGCTTTAGCCAGCACAGGCACAATGTTGACCTTCTGATCCAGGGCCTTCATGAAGTTCACATCTATTGGTTTGAGACTGAGACAGCCCAAAGGACATCTGTTAACTGACTTCAGTCTATATGTGTATGGTTACTGAAATCCTGAGATTGTAAAAACCTGTGTTGAGAAGATGTCTTACCCATGGCCATGAGGTGAGATGAAGTACAAACAGCAGTGCACTCTGTTGTCCCTTATGTTTTTACGGTTCAGCCCGATCTCATCTCTGCGGTACTTCTCCATCTGCTGGTCTACATAATGAACGGCAGCCTTCCAGCTGTAACCAAAACCAACGTCTAAATAAATACCTTGGAATGTGTACTAATTCCTGTTAACAGGCGGTCACTCAAGTTATTAGAGTAAAAGTGAGAAAAATAGAGCTTGATATTTCTGAAAAAGCTTTTCAGCTGTTTGATGCCAACAACACATCAAAATATTTAAAGAATTGCTTCATCATTTAAACAAATACACATTTATTATTAATATTATGATTATTAACAGTACTTAACTATGTTTAAATTAATACAGTCACATAATAAAATAATATTAAAAGCTCACATGATGACCTGAATTTTATGCCAGAAACCAATGTTGGGGTAACGCATTACAAGTTATGCGAGTTACGTAATCAGATTACTTTTTTTCCAAGTAACTAGTTAAGTAATGCATTACTTTTTTCTTTTTTTTTCAAATAACTCAAGTTACTTTGTTTTACAAATTAACTGACAGCTCCCCTGTCCCCATGTTGAGAGAAATAGTGATTAAAGTGCAGAGGCGTTGTGTGCGCTGTGTGAACATGACGCTTATTGTAGTTCGGAACTAAATGTGAGCATTTACTCTTCTCACTTGCACAGAACAGATTCCCTTTCATCAAAATGAATAAAAACAGTAAAGTGCAAACTTAGAATATTACGCAAACCTGCAATAATTAAATTAAATTAAAACTTTAGATAAACATCATATTTGTTTCATTTTTTTGTTTTTATCGCTGAAGTAAGACCCTGCATCCCAATGTCCATACTATCCATCCTAAATAGTATGTGAGATTAGAATAAGTGTGTCCCAAAGCATAGTATGTTGAAAAAACTATATCAAAAGTCCCTGGATGATCTACTATTTACGGTAGATTTTCTAAGTGTGGATCCGTGCTCACTCTAAAGGATGATATTGCCCACAAGCCATTGCGCTTTAGATTAGGTTCAGAACTACAAACACGAGTAAAAAATGTTTAAAAACTACAAAACATGGTGGATGTTCGCGACCAACGGTGAGAGGTTTAGATACAGGTTTGAGTGACTAATAATCAAATTTTAACTTGATAAAAAATATGTATTTAATGTCATTCGTGTTATATTCCATCAATAACAATGTGGATTTTTATAAAGATACGTTTGGGCATTAACTTTTAAATGCATATGCATTAAAATGAGTAGAGTTATATGCATGAAGGACCAGCAACTGCAGATCAATGTGCTACTACATTTGTCTCCGATTCGGTAGGAAATGGAATTAAATGTGGAGGATTTTAACTGTGACATGATGACTGACAGGCCAGTTAACGGTGACACTCCTACGTCCTATTCTTCTGTAATTCAGAATGGCAGCACAGCTGAAAGGTTTGTTTTAGCTGCGCCCTCAACTATAAGGAGTGAATTTGCATTTCCTTCAGCCTGAGGCTTATTCAATTTACATTTGGTGTGAAAAGGTCTTTGCATTTGCCAAAAATAGAACTTTTTTTTTGGTTATTAAAAAAATAAACAGACAAGCCCAGGCCAGATGAGAAAAGGTAACGCAAAAAAGTAACTAAGTAAAAAATAACTAACTAAGTAACACAATTAGTTACTTTTTAAACGAGTAACGCAATATTGTAATGCATTATTTTTAAAAGTATCTTTTCCCAACACTGTCAGAAACCCTCTATTACTGGACATTTTCCCAACTTTGCTGTTGCATGATGCTTCTACACCTCTAGATGTCTTATAAGTTCAATATCAACAAGTGCAACATAAACAAAAAATGACTGAGAGCAACTTTAACACTTAAGTACCTTTCATTATTATTAATGGCATCTCCAAAACCAGGGGTGTCGATAACAGTGAGCCTTAGATTTACTCCCTCTTCAACAATGTCTACGGTGCTCTTTGTTATTGACACTGTCCGAGCTATCTTCTCTGTGAGACAGAAATGGATGCATTTCACAACAGATCTTCTCTGCATTGTCCTTAATTAATTCAGTACTGCTTTTATAAGTAGAATTAATACAATTGTTGTTGAGTAATGTTAAGTGTACCTGAAACATCAGGCATGCATCTGTCCGTATAGAGGTTTGTGAGGAAAAGGCTGTTGACAAGAGTGGATTTGCCTAAGCCAGACTCACCTGAACATAAACATTTTTATTTTAGTATTAAAATTTAGTTCATAAAACGTTCAAATTTAGTTCATTGACTGTAAAGAATTTTACATTGTTACGAAAAAATCCAAATAAATTATTTTAAACTTTCTAAAGAATCCTGAAAAAAAATTGTTTTACTGTTTAAACATTTCAAACGTTTCAACTGTTTTCAACATTGATAATAATAATAAATGTTTCTTGAGCAGCAAATGATTTCTGAAGGATCATGTGACACTGAAGACTGGAGTAATGATGCTGAAAATTCAGCTTTGCATCACAGTAGAAAACAGTTATTTTGAATTGTAACAATACCTCAAAATATTACTTTTTCTTACTGTATTTTTGATCAAATAAATGCAGCCTTGGTGAGCATAAGAGACTTCTTTCAAAACTTTCTTTCAGTTTGTGTTTTTCTTACCAACAACCATCAGATTGAACACAAATCCTTTTTTCACTGCTTTCTGTCGGACTTGGTTCGGCAGTGTCACAACGCCAACATATTCCTGGGAGGGACAATAAAAAAGTATTTGTATGGTATATCACATCATCCGTCTTTTTTAAAAGTGTAATAATATTTCACAATATTACTGTTGTTTTGTTTACTGTATTTTTGCTAAAATAAGACACTTTGGCCACTGCAGCATGTGTGTTACTATACCTCTGAGGAGTCATACGGGTCAAAGCGGCCCTGTGGACTCTTGCGTCTAAGAGGTGATTTGTCATCAATGGGAAGAGTCTTTTGTTCATGAGGAGATGAGGATGAGTAGAATGTGTCAGAGGAAAGGATACATAAATCTTTGTCCTCTGCTTGAGTGAAGTCAAGTAGAGAAGTGTCAGGATCCCTGGGGAGACTCTCCATTCCAGAGTCATCCAGCGCTAGGGAAAACTAGCAGAAAGGCAGATCGATTGAATGTGGTGATTGACAGCTTACACTGAGTGTACTTATTCCTATATCGTTTTAAAGCTTTTTATGCAATAGTATGACCTACCTCCCCAACTAAGGCAGATATTCATGGTAAGATGATGTGGCATGGGAAATAGACACAATAATAATGTTAAATATTATTAATCATTTCCTTGAGAACACTAACTATATAGCATACAGTGTTTATTCTCTATAACAACAGCAATTTGCTGTAAGATTCAAGAACATTTATTTGAATCACAAACATAAACATTTACAGTATTGATACCTTGAAGGTTGATGTCGTCAATCTGTAAACCGTCTGGACGTATAATAGACACTGTGAATTTTTAATAGACGCTGTTAGACTTTACTGTTTTTATGTTTGTGGTGATATGATAGATGTTTTAAAATATGCAGTGATTACAATTTCCCTTCAAGTTCATAACCTTCTGACTAAATCAAAACTCAGTGATACATCAGTTAGACAATATGTAGGCTAATGTGAAACTTCATGTTTTACTGTATTATATCTAGCTCTATATTTGGGCAATTCTTTTTTACATTTTTTATCAAGACTAGTTAGGTGAAGTAAGTATATCAAGATATCTTATTTAGATATCAAAATCACCGGTTAAATCAGCATAACTGTTTTTTATAACGAAAGTTTAACTGTTATTGACTTAAAAATGTGGAAGGGACATCATAATGAATTATTATATTCATGGACAGTAGGCTAAGGCTACTCATTGTGCTTTTGCCGTCTTCACGTGCTATCGGAATTATCGTAAACTAACGTAGCTTCCTGGTTAAAGATGACCATAAACGCCCTCTCAAGTCAAAATTTTATGCGAAGAACTCGTAATCAGGACTTCAGAAGTGGGAAGTAGGAAATTTCCGATTGCACGTGAAGGCAGCATACTAGCAGATGCTAGTTTCGCCTAAAGGAATGAGCTCGCGATGAACACCCCTTTCAAAATAAATTATTATTATCATTAAAAATTAAAAGTGTAGTACCCATGTTTTTTCTTTGGCGGATTACTTATTATTTGTGTCACCAGTTAAGCTAAACTATGGTTGGTGTAGCTAGCAAAACCATGTTTATTGTAGCAGCTAGTAGGGTGACGGGACCGTCAACCAACTCAACTCGTTACAAATTAACGTTACATCAAAACAACATAAGAGTTTATCGGCTGTAAAAATGTCCGACAGACAGTTGTAAATGTTTAAAATAATTGTAAATTTATGAAATAATTGTATTATTTCCTACTTGTAAAGGGACATCTGCTTCGGTGACCGAAATGAACCGTTAAACCGCCGACTCAAATGAAATCAAAAGAAAACATGACATTTATTCGTTCCGTCATCACAGTTTCTGACACGTGTAACACAATTCGGCATGGTTACATAAATGGAAAAAAATATATATAAAATAAAATGAGATGTACAATCGTACTTAGAAACATAAACAAAAAGACAATTAAAGTAGATAACAGATCCACTAAATATCCTTGTGCTAATTTTACAAAACATTTATTTTATCTTAAATTTATAATACTGTTCTCAAGAACAAAGCACCTTTGTGTCTGAGATCGAATTATTGCAGCAGATTGAACCAATAGCTTAAAAAACATATGCAGTGACCCCAATATGTATTTGGAGACTTAAAGTCCCCCTGTGGTGAAAATCAAGGTTTTACTATTGTTTATGTCTATCAGTCTATGTGGTGTTTTTTATATGCTTTAAGACAACCCATGTGTAAACTCATAAGTCAGCACCATTGCTGAGTATTTTCTCCTTAAATCTGCAGTGAACTAAAGACAGTCTCAAAAACTTTTGAATCGCTGGTGTTTCTGACATCACAAACTAGCTACCTTGTATTCATCGTCAACAAATGGATCTCCGATAAATATGTCATTTTGGTGATCTACTGATTGATGATTAACTACAGGGGGACTTTAAAATGTATGAATGTCTTTGCATTACATAAGAAAACATAATATCAAATGACATTTATTCTAATTAATTATTATACCACAAATACTTTTCAAGCAAAACATTTCACAAAAATAAGTTTTAAATGATAAAATAGATATTCTCTTCAAAATTAAAACAAAACGAGTAAAAGGCATTGCAAAAAAATGGCTCATAAAAGTGAATTCACTGAGAGAAGCATGTAATGGCATTCATATTTAAGTAGGGTCACTGTAAATAACAGTCTGAGAATTTGAAAATCATTCCATGAAAATACTGTTGTCTGCTATATAAGCATGCCAAGTCTCAGCTTCGGCCTAACTCTGAGTTGTCCATCTGTTTAGAACGAATCCCATAAGTTTGTTTTGGCTGGCTGTGTTTCTCCCAAAATGCTTGGCGGATCTTATCCAGTTCCGACATCAGAGGAATTCGCATCTCCAAGTGCATATGCAGGTTCTCCAGCCACTCCTCTAATTTGGCAAAAATGGGACTATAGAAAAGAATACAAAGAAAATGCCACGTTTCAGCAAATAAAATTTAGTTTGTAGTAGGGTTATGTAGATTAGTAACTGACAATCACCGTTTTTCAGCCTCCAAGGCACAACACAGAGCTGCAATGGGAAAGAAAGCTTCAGGACATTCTTTGAACCAGAAGCGCTCCAGGAATTCATTCACACTCAATCCAAACTCCTGCGTACGAGGGAGGTAATCCGGATCGGCATATACTCTTCCGATAATCTGTGATGGGGAATATATACATACATTTTTAGTTATAGGCCTATTTTTTAAATCAAAATGATGACTAAAAGTAGGGAACTATATAAGTCTACCTCACAAAGCACAATCCCGAATGAGAAAATGTCAACGTGTTCATCGTAGACTTTTCCTGCAGGTAAGAAATACTATTATAATGTACAAAAAAAAGTCACAATTAAATGGAGTAATTTCTACCCTGTCAATCTTATTAGTTACTTTGATAGCTGATTCATGCGGCTTACCGTGGATCATTTCTGGTGCCATCCAGTAGGGGTTCCCCACCACCGTATACCGCTTTTTACGACCAAGCTTGTTCAATTTGGACATTAGTCCAGGAGAGGACTTCTTCTCTTCCTTCACAAGCTGGGCCAAACCAAAGTCGGCAACAACCACTGTCTGGTTCTGTGAGGAAAACTAGTACTGTCACACAATTCAGTTCGTTTAAAGACATGCTCTAGTTTATGAGTATTGACATGTATTCTGACCTCTCGAACAAAGCAGTTGTGCGAGTTTAGATCTCGATGGATGATATTCATTGAATGTAGGTAAGCCTGTATTGGACAGAGAGAACAAATTAATGTATAGACAGATACATTATATGTATAGATATGGCAAAACAGCTTTCATATTTGGATGCTAACTAAACTTTAGCTTCAGATTTGTATTTCCAGTCAAGACATGCCTTTACATTAAAGAAATAAGGCATAGGGCGCAAGATAGAAGTAATGCCACGGTAAGATTTCTTTTCATGCATTGTTGGATAGTAATGTACTCCTTGTACATTTAAAACTCAATGTGTTCTTCACATTTGATCTCTACTATTCTTGTAAACACTCATCGCTCTTCATTACGTACCATTCCAGCGGCAATGTCCTTGGCATAGCTCACTCTAAGTTTCCAAGGGTGATCCCAGTCCTAAATTATGACACATAAATGAGTTTACTCACTCAGAACCACAAGAAAAGGCTTTTTGCCATGTAATATATGGACTTCATGCAAAGAAAGTATATCCAGGAAAGACAAAAACAGATCAAACCATCTTCTGGATGGTGTCCCTCAGCGTTCCTCCTTGCACATACTCAGAGATCAGGTTCAGCCGTTTGTCTTTGTAGAGAATGCCGATGAATTTTAAGACATTAGGATGTTCCAGGCATCTCATTACTTTGACCTGGAGCCAAGTAAGTTTTTATTAGAAAACAATCAATTTGCTGCTTAGGTGTCTGAGAAAGTAAAAACTACAACAAACCTCTTTCAGGAATGTCTTCTGAGTCTCATCATCAAACTGAAGAAGTTCCTTAATCACCATGACCTCACCCGTTTCCAAATGTGTCACCTGACAACCCAAAGGAAGCAGTGTTTTGTATTTTGGTAATAGTTTGTGATCTCAAAAGTATTTGTCAGCTCAGCCAGACTCATTGCTTTACCTTTATGGCTTGTCCAAAACAGCCTTTTCCCAAAACTTCGCCATATATTAGGTCGGAGGGTCGGAAGATACGTTGTGTTTTGTCCAAAGCGTCAAAACGCAGAGACTCTGATCGATTAATGTCTCTTCTATGGGAAAGAAGTGCAGCGTGACGTTGCGAGCATGGAGCTTTATCAATGCTGCAGCTGCGCCTGCAGAGGCAGACAAAGAAATTAACAATGTTAGTAAGCGCATGACAGAAATATGACCTTTTTTAATATAAACCTGTTTTGATACTAAACTAGGATTTCGATCTACATAGGGAGAATTCTTATGGGAAATATATAGCATCCCTAGAACAAACCTGTATGGTGGGTTTTTAAAAGCAGGGAATTTAAGATAATTGAAGTTGACATTTTTGTTAAATCTCTTTTTATGCAATTACAGAGGGATGTATTCGTATACAGCATTACAAAAGCTTACTGATTTTTTATCAAATAACATTTTAAGAAAACCACATTTTCTTATTTTTAGTCCTGTTATCCAGCAAAAATCTCTAAACACCCTTTAAAAATAGCCTACATGAAAAGCAAAAATATTTAAAGGGATAGTTAATCCAAAAACTCATCCTCATGTCATTCCAAACCCCTTCGAAAGCCAAATTTGAATATTTTAATGAAACCTGAGAGTTTTCTGTCCCTTCATTTACATTCCAGGTAATCAAAACTTAGAAGATCTAAAAAGTCTTGTAAAGAGATCTGATCGCTTTATATGATGAACCGTTACATTCAGGCTTTTATTTACATCCAAACAATGAGCGACACACATAGCTACATATAGAGTACATCACATATGGAAAACACAGAAGCTCAAACGTACGTGCGTGTGTGTGTGTGTGTGTGTGTGTGTGAGATGCACAAGAACCAATAAGGTTTTCTAGTGCTTAAAGGAGCTGTATGTAAGATTGTGGCCAAAACTAGTACTGCAATCACTTTCAAATTACTGTAGAGTGGTGTATCCCCTCCCCCTCCTCCCTGACTCAAGGTTGCCAGATCGGCTGCAGGATCCAGCAGGAACGTGACGAGCTGCAGCTGTGGTAACTAGAGCAGAGCTGGCAACCCGGATGCCGCAACACTACTGACTTCGTGATTGGTAGATAGGTGGAGGGTGGAGCATCAGACCAAAACACAACATGACAACATCAACATCAGTTGAGGGCTGCAACTGCACTTTTTAAATGACAATATCCTGGCCAGACTACTGTTGTCAGTGATATAAGTATTTGAAATGTACATGATTTCTTAATGTCTAGTGACATTTCAGGGCCATTTTATGATTAATTGAAATAAATTTCTTACATACAGCTCCTTTAATGCATGCATGAGCTTCCATGTTTACCATATGTGATGTGCTTTGGTGAACGCACAACATGCCTGACCTGGAATGACTTTTCAATCAACCAATCAGATTTGAGGGAAAAGTTTACAGTTTATGCCAAGTTTAGGCTTACAATCAGGGTTAGGTGCTTCTATATCAGTTTTATTCATCTATAATTTCCCTCTGATTTTGGAGAAAACTTATGAGTTGGGTTAGTTTTAGGGGTAGGGATATGGTTAGGACAAAATTTTCGGATGGGAATGTTGTTCCAGGATGAATAAAATATGTTGACCAAGGAACATGACTTGCTTAGCAAAATCATGGTGAATAATGTACTTGATGGATGTGTTTTTATATGTGAATAAAAGCCTAAATTTAACTGTTCATCACATAAGGCGAATGTATCTCTTCAAAAGACTTGGATTAAACTGATCGATTCATGACTTTATGACCTTTTTTGTATCTTCTTTGTTTTGGTTAACAGGATTTTTAATAGAAGGACAGAAACCTCTCAGGTTTCACTGAAAATATCATAATATGTGTTTGGATGATTAACCAAACTCTTTATGGGTTTGGAATGACACGAGTGTGAGTAAATGATGGCTGATTTTTTTGTTTTTGGGTGAACTATCCCTTCAAAATATTGAGAGTTGTTTTCAGAGAACATATCATGAATTAATACATTATTTGTGCTCCACTGGGATTTTTTTTCTTGTTTTAAGTGTAATTTTTAAAAAGTGTAAATAACAAAAATGATCACTGGGGAAAAAAACCTAATTAATTCAGGATGCATTATCTGAAAATCAGCCTCATTTTGCGTATCAAAAAAATTATTTTGCTTAGATGTTTAGATATTTTTACCTGAAAGCAAGAAAAAAAATATTATTACAAAACATTTGTAGTTTAGTATCACATGTAAAAAAAAAAAAAATTCGGATAGAACCATAATTCGTACAGAATATTTGTGGATCGAGAGCTTATTCGTCTGCTGCTGGGAAGGGGAAATAAACCTAGTTTTCCAGGCTTGTCCAGTTCTTCTCCCAGCAGGCCACATAGGTCCTCCTGTTTTGTGAGGTTTTTAGGGTCATGTTCAATCGTGATTTGCAGCCAATGCTCTGTATCATGAATCACCAGATCTATCTGTTAAAAATGAAGACATAAAAGGAATAATGGTGAAATGAGATGCGTCATGCAGATTATCTGTATTTTTGTCTTATCTCAGTCACTGGACCGACCTCATTGAGTGGAATGTTCTGGACAGAGATTCCATTGATCTCAAGAATCCTGTCTCCAACATGGATCAAGGGCTTAACCTCCGGACTCAGGTTATGCAAGTCCAGCCTGTCTCACATGGGAATTTTTTTTAGGGAAGGAAAATATCAATATTTATTGAATATAGGCGTGTTATCTTTAGTTGTGATTGTGTCTAAAATAATGACTCACTGAGACACGGTGATCAAATGGTCTGCATCATTCTTCTCCACAGTGAAGGATAAACCTTGCCTGCTTTCTGCAGAGGGAGGAAATGACATCGATGTCACTGTATGAGGAAACTGTGAACATTTTGCTGACGAATGCTGCGTCGAAACCTTCTGGTAATGACACTGTCCACTAAGAGAGAAGAAAAAAAGAGACATAGCTCATAAACCAGACAAAACGGAGGAACTTTTCCATCAAAAATCCTCACAAGATCAGTGTGTAATAAAATGATTTGACAAAAACCAACCAGTATAAATTGGTATAATCCACTAGGGAGAAAGAATCGCCATCTCCAATGAATATGCCGCAGCTTTCACAGAGAAAACACTCGGGATGGTATTTATGCTTTCCAGCCACCTGCAGAGATGGAAGGAAAAGGCAAAGTCAGTTTATTATGTTCGTAGTACTAGTGCTCTTGAATTCAGCTGAAACAGTGAGGGAGGTGTTGAGGTGGGACAGGGCAGATGACATCATTCTACAGAAGTGAAGCAGCACAATGAAAGGAAGTGAGATTGTGAGTGGGAGGGTTCGCCTCGTCTGGCCTCAGGTCAAAGGAAACAGCGACAAAACACAAAAAATCCAAGCTAATCGCCTCAAGATGAGAGATCAAATTACTGTTGCCGTTCAGTGAGTGAATTGTTGTTTGATTGTGTAATCTTCTAAAAAAAATGCATGCATTCCTGAATCCACTGGGTTCACGCCCGGTGATCCAGTTTGTTCTAGTAAATTCCATTGCTTTCGGGAAAACAGATTATTCACAGATGTCTTGTTATGCTTAGCGGCACTCAAACATGGGGATGCTACTTTCTATGCATTAGGAGCTGATTTTCACATTAAAATGATATATTATTTTAAGTCCATTTTTAGGCATCACAACATTATAATGTAAAGCATAAAATGCTTGGTTACAGTTTATATTTAACAGTGTTATTTATTAATTATTAGTGTCTTTTTAGATTAACTTTAATTAAGCATTAGATGACAACAAAGGTAATCGAAATGTAAAAATAGAGGAAATGAGCATGCACAAATATCCAATATCAGCCAATACCGAGCAATAAAGAAAATCTATAATAAACGCTAATAAACTACATTGTAAAAAAAAAAAATATATTTTTTTGTAGATGTAAACATTGGAGAATGTTTTACAAGAAAATACTATTTCAGTCTCCTTCAGAATTCAATGTGTTACCTGCCATTTCTTTGTAAATATTTGTGAAATTTACAAAAAGTAAATCCTATGGCAATTTCTTTTCAGTGTATATGGTACCGATATACTGTTCATCAAGTGGATTTTTACTTAACTATCAGTTCCACCTCTAATCACACATTTCTAATGTTTATAAATTTCATTATCAATGTAGTGTTCTAGCTTCTTACCATAATGAGACCGGTGGTGATAGACTCTGAGCAGCCGTGGCACTGCTCCCCAAATCGTGAACAGTAATCTTTCTTACAGAAGAACTGTCCATCTCTTTCATAGTACCAGTGCGAAAGAACAGAATTACATTCACAACACCTAACAAAAAGGGAGAGAAAAAATAAAAATGATATATACATAGTTCTGTCATGACGACTATCGAAGTGTTTGGCATATGGTAATGGATATAACAATGTTGATATTTTTGATCTTGGGGGAATAGATCTGCTGTGCTGCTGCTGTTATTGCTGGTGCTGTTGGTTATTGTTGCTGCTGCTGCAGAGCAAGTACAGGACTTCCAACTGCCAATACATACACAACACACACTGTTGAGAGCAAGTAAGACATGCTCCTGTACAATATAGTGCACATGAATATTACCCGTGGCAGATTTATACAGGTGGAGCTGGGGAAGGTGGAGGGTTTCTGAAAGCGTGCTGCACTGCTATAGCAAATGCTAACCAAGTATTTGAAGGTTGAGCAGCGAGCTCATTTGGCTACTGATACAGCAGGAACCAATCAGCGTTGCCCTAAAGAGAAGTTTCACCATCTAGAGTTTCATCCTGTTAACTCTAGAATGCATAAAGGCATTTAAATTGACCCAGCATGCTGTGATTCTTGAAACTTTATGGATTACTTAAAAAATTGTTGTGACTTTTTTTGCTCTGAGCTAAGAATTCGTCTCAGACACCAACCTTGTGTCTAAATACATGTACAGTATTAGGTGAAAAGCAGCATGTGAAATGAGTAGCAGTACAGTTTTAATAAAACAGTAGGCAAATAAAGTGCCCGGATGACCTACTATTTCTGACAAGATTCTGAAGTTTACATCCAATGGACACTTCACTATCCCATGAGGCCAGAGAGAGGAGTCGTGAGTGGCAGGGAAACAACTCACATGACAATGGTAACATGGCAATGGATGTAGTTCATTTAGATTGCATTCACACATTCATGCTCGATAATATTATACTATACACAACAAATACATATTTCTTTTAGCAGTCATGCAGTTCTTCATCAAATGTAGAACCCACTCAGACAGTATAGAGAAAGGCCAGAGGAAAGGACAGCTGAAGGCCCAAACAAAGGAAGAGGTGCAAACTCAGTTATGCTTAGAAAAGGTGCAAAAATGTTTGAAATGTTCTGTCTTTGTCTGAAAAGATAATTGGTCTGGAGAGATATGTGGGGAGTGAAGGTTCAGAGTTAGACTAGAATATACTTTACAGTAGATCTAATTTAGTTTAGAGTTTGTTTCAGAAAAAGTACAACTGCATTAAAAAAAAAGAGTAAATTTAATATTTTACAATGCATAGATACACAAGGAAAAAGGACAGATAGACATCTTTCTGTATCATTAATTATTTTAATTTCATTAATACAACACCTAGTATTGTTACATTTTTTGTGTGGAAGAAAGCCATTAATTCCAAAACAGGTCATTTTGACCTCCTTTATGCATTTGTGCAAGTTTTTTGGTTTATGCATTGTAGGATTAATTATTGTTAGAGTAAAGGCCCGTTCACACCAAGGATGATAATATGACGATAAAGATAGCTTAAAAAAATCATTCTAAATATAAAAGAATAGCAGAGTCCACAACAACGATAACGGCACAGAGGAACGATATCTTTGGAATCACTTTCAGAGCGATTTTTTTTCCAGCTGATGAACGATTAAAGCATTTACAGCCAGGCAGACTCGTTTAAGCATCCTGCTTTAAGGAGCTTGAGGATTTAAAGCGGCAGACAACAGAACTCATCAACAGAACAATATTGTACCTTGGTGTGAAAGCTAATAGTAATCTTTCTTTGTATGAATGTGTCATGTTTAGTTTGTTTCTCTGTCTTGTTTAGTTTAGTCAAAGTTCTTGTCATTCATTAGCTGTCATGGTTTCTAATTAGTCCACACCTGTTTCATGTTCCGTTGATTATCTTCCTTAGTGTATTTAAGCCCTCTGTTGCTTAAGTTCATTGTCTCGTGTTTATGTTATGTAGGTATGTGTATGCTATCACTCTTTGTGTTTATTAAAAGATCTATTTCTCATTCATTCTGCGTCACATTTTATCCTTTGGATTCAACTATGCTACCCCTGAAAGAACTGGCCTGAGTTGAATAAAATAAAATAAAATAAAATGCTAGAGTGAATTCCAGGGGCTTTTCCTCTCTTACAACATCTGAGCAGGATGCCTGTCATGTGTTCCACAGCCGGTGGTTATCTGCTCTTCCATCCTTCCATTCAATAACATACAGCCCTTTCACGGAAACACATACGCACAAATACACTTGTGTACACACACACACACACGTAAGAACACACCATGAAGTCTTAAACATAGCAAACAGAGAGCAGAAAAGCAGGGGTGTAAAGTACAGTAATTGTGCTCCATTAGTATATGGATAGTTCACCCAAAAATTAAAATTCTGTCATCATTTGCTCACCCTCAAGTTGTTCCAAACCCCCATGAATTTCTTATGAGGAATGTGGGTCACCAAACAGTTGATGGGCCCAATTGACTTCCATGGTATGAAAAAAAAAAGAACATGGAAGTCAATGGGGCCGATCAACTGTTTGGTTACCCAACTTCTTCAAAATATCTTCTTTTGTGTTCCGCAGAAGAAATTAAATTATACAGGTTTGGAACAACATGAGGGTGAGTAAATGATGACAACATTTTCATTTTTGGGTGAACTATCCCATTAAGTGATTTGCGCTTTACTTGAGTGCTACCGAAACTGAGTACTTGCACGTCGTTTACTCAATTACATTTCCAAGCACAAAAATCATATTTTTTTACTCATAGGCCTAGACCTTTTGTGTACAAAGTTTTGCAGCATATTATTAATTCAAGTGGTTTCTGATTAACATTTTGTGTGAATTGTAATTGAACTGGTTTCTTTGCAAAGTTTGAGCATCAGTTTGAGTCTCTTCAACAGTCTATTTTAAAAGTTAAGGAAACACTTTATAATAAGGTTTAATTTGTTCATATTAGTTAACTTGATCAGTTAACATGAACTAACAATTAAAAAAAATACTTTTAAAGCATTTATGTTAATGTTATTTACTGGACCTGAGCTAACATGAACTAACAATTAACATTGTATTTTCATTAACTAATGTTAACAAAGATTAATAATAAATACTGTAACAAATGTATTGCTTATTGTTAGTTAATGTTAGTTAATGCATCATCTATTGGTAATAGGACCTAATTTTAAAGTTAAATACTTTTCACTTTTAATTGCTCATGTTCTGTTAAATGTGGAAACTCTTGATTTTACTCAAATGTGATTTGATACTTTGCAGATTTCATCCACTAGTCCACTAGTAACACAGCACTTTAACAGTTAGTATTTAGTAGAAACTAAAAACTCATTTATAATTCCTCGTTGTACAAGATTAGCTGTCATTGTAATGAACTGCAAAATTCTATCTAAAAATTAAGTGTTATCATTCCTCTGCATCACTTTGTAAAAAAAACAGATTCTCAGTAGAGAAGTGGGAGTGGGCAGAACTGGAGTGAAACAAAGTCGGAATTCCTTTTATGTATGTACATAAACACAAACACAATTGTGCTTTTGTTGACTATGTCAAAGGGGGCTCAACCCAGGTCACAAGACCACAAAATTACAGCACATCTAGAAGATACAGTAACAAAGTTTTGTATTTGCTCGTATTTAACGAGCCCAAGAATCATCTTGTGACGATCTGAAAGCAGACTGTTGACAAAGAAGTTCCTGTTATTGTTTCTACAAGAAATGCTCTGAGAGGCATGTAGCAACATCACTAAAACCACAGCTGTGAGTCCATTTTGAAGAAACGAAGGAAAAGACGAGAAAAAGAAATAGAAATTTCAGAGAAAACTTAAACTAGTAAACAAAACGAGTCCAATTTTACCTTGCCTTCCCTCCTCTCCGGCAATACAGGTCCTGACAAGACTTGAGCATAGCAGAGCAGTGGTAGAGCTCTACTAGTCCTCTTACTGTCACCCGCTCATTCAGGGGTGGAGTGAAGTGGGAGGAGAGGAAAACAGACTCGAGTAGTTTTTCTTATATGCATCACTGAGCTATACGAACACTATTCTATTTCCTGCCGAGTGTCTGAAAAGAGACTCAAATCCCTCCCACTCCTCCTAACTTTAGCCCACCTTCTTCAACTGCTTTGGTCTGCAGACAGAATACTGTCGGAGGATAGAGTTACCGAGACGTGTCACCTGCTGAATGCCCTCATAAACTACATGACCGCGCAGAGACGCGCATTTCAATTCTTCATGAAGAGAGGGTTTGTGTTAATGTATTCATGCGAGAGAAATTGTGAAATTGCTTTGGAACTACTCGCCAGATATTTGTTTCTGGACCACTTGCATCGGAAGTGGAACCAGCGAAGCAATTTCTATTTCTCGAAAGAATGTTTGCTGTCAGAATTATAACTGGTGTAAATCTAAAATACTCTGAAAACTTTACAATAAAGCTCTATTTGTTATAGCCTAGTTAATATTAGTTAACAGGAACTAAAAATGCAAAACACTTCTAAAGCATTTGTCAACCTCGGTTAATGTTAAAGTTCTGTACGATGTCCTACCTGCCTGTTAACATGTATTTCCGTACCTCTGCGCACCTGCTCACACAACATCAGCGCGTTGCAGAGTTGTGGACAGTCAGACGCCTTTTACAGTTCCTCCTGAACCAAAACAACAAGCTTATGCTGCGTTCACGTCATGTCATAACTGTAATTACGAGATGGCAACACGTGACATACCTAAAAACCCGTGTCATTCTACGGAGCTGTTCATGTCCTCAGACTCGGATTTATGTGTTTCTATGTCAACACTATCAACGCTGAAATTAATCTCCAACAGTCAGATGGTACAAGTAAGAGCTCTTAAAGTAGTTTATGTTCATTATTATTGTAATGTAATGTGTTTTGAGACATGAGGTAGTTTAACGCCATCTCTCGTCTCATGATGCTTTGCAGGCGCTGCTGTGTGCGTTCATGTGTTTTAAAGGGGTCATATAATGGTACATGCACTTTTTCAAGTTGATTGTACTGAAATGTGTGTTGGCAGTGCCTGTACACAACCATCATATAATGATAAAAATCCATCCAGTGTTTTTGTTTTAATCTCCTTATATGTTTTCCCCTGCCTCAAATCGAGCCGTTCGACCGTGTGACGTCACACGGTCGGACGCCCCTCCCGCGATTGTTGAATGACAGCATCGTTTCAACACAGACCCGCCCTCGCTCGTGAGAGCTGTCAATCATAGTCTGCGCGGACCGGCGCGGTCATTGTTGAAATGCTGGAGCACTGTCTATGAGCAGAATGGCATCTAAGTGATTGTGGTGTTCTGTTCTTGGGTGTAATAACGAACACAGCAGTCATTTTAATGTTCCTAAATCCGAACCGCTGAAGACGCAGTGGCTGTTTATTTTCAAAGGGAATATTCCCCACAAGCAACGTCAATGCTTTCATGTTTGCGCGAATCATTTCTCACCAGACTGCTTTATAAACGAGGATCAGTATAAAGCTGGTTTTGCTAAGAAGCTGCTCATGAAAAAAGGATCTGTACCAACTATTCGTGTTCCTGCTGAACCTCTAGAACAACTGAAGTGAGTGTAACGTTTTATTAACCTTTATATTAATATTTATATCTTTGCAAATTGCTAGCTGCACGCTTCACGATGAATGCGTCTAAGGTTTACACTCAGGGTACATTACGGCATGTTTTCTATGTACGACGTTCTCAATATAATTCATAATCCCACGTTTATACTGAACAACGCGTTATGGTTATTGTGTTATAAACGTGTATGCACCTGTACGCACAGAACAGAGGGGCGGAGTGAGCACAGCTCATGATCATTTAAAGGCATATGCACTGAAACGGCGTGCTGAAAACAGAGCTGTTTTTGACCAGGTAAAATAAGTGTTTTCTTACAATACTAATGAGAATTTTTAATTAAAGTATATTACAAACTTTTAATTTAGACCCTAAAGAATCATATTAGCTTGTACAAAAATGGCATTATATGACCCCTTTAAAGGAGGCATGGCTTTGGAGACGCTCTGAAGGATGGGATCTTATGCTTTCAAAGATAGCTCGCTATTATTGCTAGCCTCTCTGAAATTCCTTACCCTACCTTTAATGTTATTCAATGAATTAACTAATTGGGACCTTATTGTAAAGTGTTATGAAACATGGTATAAACATCTAAAAAACTCAAATTGTTGTGTTGGTTAAATAAGGAGGCCATTAATCAATTGTTTAAAATTTCAAAATAATATGTGACAACTTGCCCCGAGCTGACATTTATAAAAATACCCTTGTCCTGAGAACACAATTAAACCATTGAGTTCAAATCTGCTTTCATTGCATAGTATATAAATAATATCTAAAAAAGATTATTATATATCTAAATAAGATTATTATATATTTTACAATACTAGGATATTAGTTTTTGTGATAGAACCCACAGAAAACATGCCTTTTCATGTGCCCCAAAATTAGCCGTGAGTGAGTGAAAATTGTGAGTAAACAACTTTTTTTTATTATTATTTTAATTTTATTTTTTAGAAATGTAGATAATGGATAAAAGGCCCAAACAAAATCAAAGATCAAACAAATGTGAACTGGTTGGACTTTCACAAAAGTAACAAGTGCATAAAAGTGAAGAACAAAAGGTAAACAATGCGAAGCGATTCACTATGAATTGCTTCTATCATACTTTCAGGTCACATTTGAATAGTTGCACTTACAGAAACACAGATAGCCTACATCATTCACAACACACAAACACCAAAATGAGTTAGGTTAAATGCATAGATACTCTTAAAAACCCAACATTTTAATTTAATAAGAGTTATGTTAAAACAAACAAACAAAAACAACTGACTAGGGCCAGGATACGAGAAAAGAAACCGTTTCAAGTTCCTGAGGTATCTTTGAAGACAGCTTGTAATCCTCAGTACTTACTACTTAGATGCTGTCTACTGCAGTAATGACAAGCATTTTGTTCTTGTAAGACTAAAAAAAAAATTTGCATGCCTAGATCCCATTCCTTTGTGTGACGGACTATACTTTGAAAGACTGGAGATGCTGGAAAAGACTAAATATCCATTCATGAAGTCTTACGCATACAGCTAGAAAGAGATTGGTCTCCCTTTACTTTTTGATACATGGCCAAAAAATGACGCTGCTTCCCCCACAGTCAGTTCATCCTGAAATAGCAGCGACACAACCCTAGACGACATGTGTCTGAATGTTCAGCAAGTGTGCAAGTGAGCCACTGCAGCAAAACCATAAAAGATGCACAGCTGGAACTGCAGCAGTTTAAGATGGAACATTAAATGGTCAAATGTCTGATTTGTTATTAAAAAAAAAAAGATCAAGCAAAGGAAATGTCTAGTGACGTAAGTAAATAAGGGAGTTAGGCAGTGCAAAGAGTGCCTTGTGAGGTTCACATCACATCTAATCATATGGCTGAAAAAAAAACCTTTAATGCAAATTCAAATCTTTCTCACATATTACATGAGGCACTTTTAAACTGTAAAAAAAAAAAAAAAAGTGCATTTGAGATCAGGCAGTAGCACCACTTGTTTATGAGGTCACTTCTATCCGCTGGTTTCTCACTTCCTTCTCCTTCCACAGTATTTGCCTTGGCATCCAGCGCCCCCTACAGGAAAACACACTGTCACTACTGCCACTGTTGATAACAGTGAGTTTATTCAAACTACAAACAGTGTTAGTTTAGTGTCATTGAATGAGGTTTTACTTTACATTTTCCGTTTTCATTTTTAGTTAAAGTTTTAATAATTTAGTTGTGTGAGTGTATGTCTATATAGTTTTATTAGGTTTTAGTTATTTCAGTCCATCAATCAAATTAAACTAAACGAAAATTATGGACTTATACGTTTCTCTTGGTCGCATGTTATACAAGTCGTAGTTCGGAAAATTATGAGTCTAAAGTTGTAATTAAAAGTTCTATGATCACGTGAATGCTTTTTACAAGTCAGATTAGTTACGTAATTACAACAACATGGCGTGAACGCACCTTTAAATATTGCCTTGGCAACTAGAAAAATTGAGGCCATCAATGTGTACCTACATTTACGAGTCATTAAATCATGTTTAATTTGGACTTCTCTGTGCATGCTCTTTGAGGTGGTGACCATAGACCTGCATTATATGACTGACAGACAAGAACGGTTTGACCTAAAAATATCAAAATTGAAACTACTGCGGAAACAAAGACACGGATGCCCTTGAGGTAAGCTAAAACATACGGTAAGGAAATGGAACATGAACAATAAAACATGAAGATGCACAACTAAAAGTCATTGTTTCGACGGGTTTTTGCAGTATGGACCATAAAAAAAGATTGATTTTATTTCTGCTTACGTACCTCTGTAGCCTCCTGCACCTAGAAAGCCTTGAAGAGCTGCATATTTGGCTGCTTTTGCTATAAAAGAATCACACATTTAAATGCAATACATAGCTGCAAATGGCTGTGGGTAATGTACAGGTTTAGGCCAAACTCTAATTTTATCAAGTAAATAGCAGTATGTCTTACATTGCTGAGGTGTAAGTGGAGCATTTCCAGTTCCCCCTGCGCCAGTGCCACCATAACCTATCATACAACATCACAACTTCTCAGTAATCACTCCAAACCACTTACATTGATTATTAAAACACACTGGTACAAGAAAACGTCACTTATTTATTTACACACCTTAAAAATGTCGCTCTGGTAACGTTTGGATTCAGAAAATTTTGAATGTCTTTCCCAGCTATGACTTTTTACATGATTTGAAATTCAAATCATTAAAGTAAATTTGCTATAACTATCACACTCCTACATTTTATAAATGATTTCCCTGGCATAGAAGCACATGTATTATCTTTCTTTCCACACACATGCACTGCTGAATGTCTGTTTATATGCAAACTTGTTGTGTACAGAACAATCATACAAACTTATTCAGAACTGTAATGTAAAATTACTTTTCTTTTTGTTTATTCTCGTTTAAAGGGATACTCCACCAGTTTTTATTATTAAACTATGTTATTCCCTTAACTAAGACGAGTTGATACATACCTCTCTCGTCTCAGTGCGTGCACTATATCGCTCTGTATTGCCGCAAAACTATGTTAGCACTTAGCTTAGCCCATGCATTAAATATGGGCCAAGCAGAGAAGCGACCAAACACTTCCACGTTTTCCCTATGTAAACACAGTTACTCGAGTAGTGTAACTTGACCTGGGCTGGTGACACAAAATAAACCGTTGCGCTTTTCTAAGCGTTTAAAATTGATGACTATATTGTATGGCGGAATACCATAACAATTGCTTTTGAGCACTTCGACTTGGCGCAATAATATCTTCACTCGTGAAAAGTCCTCTTACCGGCTCCCGCTTCCTCTCCCCCTCCCTCTGACATTTCCGTCAATACAACGTGACATGCGCCGGTAGTAGTAGTTCGAGCGGAGTTGACGAAGTAACAGGTTGTTGGAAGCTAGTTTGTGTACAATAATGGTTAAAGCGTGCATCGTAAAGGGTTGTGAAAATAAGGAGAATGTACATAGTGCTGTCATTTTTCACCGAATTCCAACACACCACATACAGCGGAGAGCTTGGTTAGCTGCTTTGAACAAGAATCCCAAAACACCATTGATGACTCTGAAGAAGTGGCGTGTTTGCTCCGAACATTTCACAAAGAAGGACTATACCTGCACAGGAACACGCCTAAAGGATGAGGCTACACCAACAATATTCAGATCACTTACAGAAAGCCCGTGGTCTTTCGCCAGCTCCGGTCTGTTCTGGATCATATCTTTCTTGCCTCTCACGGTCCACAAGAGCTAATTCCTCCTCCGTGTACTCGGGTTCAAACAGATATGGCTCTGGGTCTTCTAAAAGAAGTCATAATCATCTACAAAGTCGGCCATTGCAAATGATCTGCAGTTTGCTAATAGCACAGGTAGTAAAAGTCACGTTGGTAGTATTGACGGAAATGTCAGCAGCTGGATGCTATTGGAGGGAGGGGGAGAGGAAGCGGGAGCCGGTAATCTTTTCACGAGTGAAGATATTATTGCGCCAAGTCGAAGTGCTCAAAAGCACTTGTTATGCTATTCCGCCATACAATATAGTCATCAGTTTTAAACGCTTAGAAAAGCGCAACGGTTTATTTTGTGTCACCAGCCCAGGTCAAGTTACACTACTCGAGTAACTGTGTTTACATAGGGAAAACGTGGAAGTGTTTGGTCGCTTCTCTGCTTGGCCCATATTTAATGCATGGGCTAAGCTAAGTGCTAACATAGTTTTGCGGCAATACAGAGGGATATAGTGCACGCACTGAGACGAGAGAGGTATGTATCAACTCGTCTTAGTTAAGGGAATAACATAGTTTAATAAGAAAAACTGGTGGAGTATCCCTTTAAATACTTAAAAGAAGAGTTCACCCAAAAATGAAAATTCTCATCATTCTCATCATTTACTCGCCCTAATGTCGTTCCAAACCCATAAGACTTTCGTTCATCTTCGAAACACAAATGAAGATCTTTTAAAATCGGACATATTTTTGTCCCTGAAAGTCCATTCACTCAACTTTTCATGAACTTTTTGAATTGAAATGGCAATTTATGAATTGAGCAGTTTCATCCAAGTCTTCTGAAGAGACACGGTCGCTTTGTATGATGAACAGATTTATCTTAGCTTTTCATTCACATCTAAAAATGTATCAACACATACATAAAGCAAATCAAATATGGTATGACACACTAGAACAAACCTCATTAGAGCAAGCACATTTGAGCTTTGTTTACCATTTAAGTCCGTTTATCATAAAAAGTAATAGTGTCTCTTTAGAAGACATGGGTTTGGAACAACATGAGGGTGAGCAAATGAAGATAGAATTTTCCTTTTTTGGTCAACTAACTCTTGAATAACATCTAAAAGCTTTCTTGAATCCTCAGAGTTGGTGATGTGCACATTAAAGTTGCCATAATGTCTTCATTACCTGGATATGGCTGTTGATATCCAGCACCTGGACCTACACCAGTCCCATATCCAGGGACTCCACCTCCTGCAAGATAAACAGATCTACTGTAACTCTGTATCTTGATATCTGTTCTTTCAATGTGCTCCATAAATTCAACTGAAAAGGTGTGGATAAGCCCATTTCCTCAAAGAGAATTGAGGAAAGATATAATGCCTCACCTGGCTGATAGCCCTGACAACCCGCAAACAAACGCAAGTAAATAAAATCCATCCATCTGATGGCAACCAGCCAGCACATTTTACATGCAATTTATGCTCATTCAGTTGCTGAGACAAATGAATAAGAAATTGACAAAAAAAAAATCATGCAGTAAGTTAAGTGAATTTATCTGATTTACCTGAGACCTGACACCAAATATTAAAATTAATAAAAGGAAAATTGTCTCAAACATAAAATTTCCTTCACACCTATGAAATAATTAATCTCAACACTGTAAAATGTGATCAGTTGAATTCATTTTTTTTTTTTAAAAGTGAGGAAACCTGTTGCCTTAAAATTAAGTAAATAAACTTCATGCATATTTGAAAAAAAAAAAAAGTTACATGATGACAAGTCCACATAGTTACATTTTTTTAATTACGCATAAAGTTTATATACTTACTTTAGCAACGGGTTTCCTCACTTTTTTTAAGTTAACTGATGTATGTATCCTTAACCCGTTTAATCCCACATTTTTTCTTGCAATTTGAGTACATGCATTTTACTCCCTAACACAAACTTTATGCCCTCTTTGATTTTATGTTGGTTAATTTAATGAATATTAGGTTTTATACCTGTAAAAATAGACCTATTTACACATTTAAAACTTAAAATAACAGTAACATATCCGACATATAAGAATGAGATATGGTTAGAATTTACTTCATAACTTTATTACTATTGTTCATGTTACACAATCTTTGAACTTACAATAATACAAACACTGGTGTTGGCAAACTCATCTTAAGGTAGGCTCATTCATTTATGAAAAACAGAAGCCAGGATATGGAAACCATACACCAATTAGAGGCCAACACTTTAAAATAACATTAAGTAAAATAAAATATAATATGGTCTCTGAAAAATTTGAACAGAAACTTTACCTCCACCGGTTCCTACTGGGCTTCCAGCACCTCCTCCTAGGCCTCCAGCTCCACCTAAACCTCCATAGCCTACAACAAAAACAACATGTGAAGTGAGATCTACATCATCATCATTACCATATGATGTTATGTTATATTCCCTTGTGGAAAAAAAAACTTTAGCATACTTTTAAAAAGAGTACTTATTACTGCATATGACACTTTATTTCAATAGTCCACATTAGACGCTCTACTAACTATAAGTAACTTTGCAACTACATGTCAATTAACTCTTAGGGTTAGGTGTTAGGTTTCGGGTTAGTAGAATAAGTTTGCACGTAGTTGCAAAGTTACTTATTGTCAGTAGAATGTCTGTTGGCGAGCATCAAAATAAAGTGTTATCAGATATTAAGAAGACAGTCTACTAATACTCTAATGACTGCAAGTTGACTTGTAGTTGCAAAGTTACTTACAGTTAGTAGAATGTCTGAAGTGCACAATCGAGAAAAAAAAGTGTTACCTTCAGTACATATGAAATATATTACCTTCAAATGTAATATCAAATAGCTCTACAGTTAAAATTATAATCAATTAATTTACATTTGCTTTAGTCAACACATTAAAGTGTACTTCTAGCATGACAAAAGCTAGACAAAGGCCCTAAAGCTAATGTAATGATGACATTGTAATAATTAGTCACAATTATGTTAATACTTTAAAAAACAGGATCCTGGGGCTAGTTGCATAAACACAGCCACTAACTTAAAACTGAGTCTTAAGAACTAGCATGACTAACTAGCAGTTTATTACAGCTAATCAGTCTTACTTTTCGGATTCAAAATAGACCAAATCTACCTTTATGTAACTGACTTATAGTTATGACCAGTCTTGAAGAACAAAATTAGATGTTGTTGTTAGACTAGTTTAAGCAGTTTATGCAACCGGCCACTAATTTCCCAGGCTTCCTAGCTCCAGCTCCCAGGCCACCACCTGGATATCTGGCACCTATGGATTGCAAACTCATATTAACTATTTAAGCCACCGATGTGTAGTGAATGCATTTCAAGGTGAACGTGGATATATACACTCACCGGCCACTTTATTAGGTACACCTGTCCAACTGCTCGTTAACACTTAATTTCTAAGCAGCCAATCACATGGCGGCAACTCAGTGCATTTAGGCATGTAGACATGGTCAAGACAATCTCCTGCAGTTCAAACCGAGCATCAGTATGGGGAAGAAAGGTGATTTGAGTGACTTTGAACGTGGCATGATTGTTGGTGCCAGAAGGGCTGGTCTGAGTATTTCAGAAACTGCTAATCTACTGGGATTTTCACGCACAACCATCTCTAGGGTTTACAGAGAATGGTCCGAAAAAGAAAAAACATCCAGTGAGCGGCAGTTCTGTGGGCGGAAATGCCTTGTTGATGCCAGAGGTCAGAGGAGAATGGCCAGACTGGTTCGAGCTGATAGAAGGGCAACAGTGACTGAAATAACCACTCGTTACAACCGAGGTATGCAGCAAAGCATTTGTGAAGCCACAACACGCACAACCTTGAGGCGGATGGGCTACAACAGCAGAAGACTCCACCGGGTACCACTCATCTCCACTACAAATAGGAAAAAGAGGCTACAATTTGCAAGAGCTCACCAAAATTGAACAGTTGAAGACTGGAAAAATGTTGCCTGGTCTGATGAGTCTCGATTTCTGTTGAGACATTCAGATGTTAGAGTCAGAATTTGGCGTAAACAGAATGAGAACATGGAACCATCATGCCTTGTTACCACTGTGCAGGCTGGTGGTGGTGGTGTAATGGTGTGGGGGATGTTTTCCTGGCACACTTTAGGCCCCTTAGTGCCAATTGGGCATCGTTTAAATGCCACGGCCTACCTGAGCATTGTTTCTGACCATGTCCATCCCTTTATGGCCACCATGTACCCATCCTCTGATGGCTACTTCCACCATGTCACAAAGCTCTAATCATTTCAAATTGGTTTCTTGAACATGACAATGAGTTCACTGTACTAAAATGGCCTCCACAGTCACCAGATCTCAACCCAATAGAGCATCTTTGGGATGTGGTGGAACGGGAGATTCGCATCATGGATGTGCAGCCGACAAATCTGCGGCAACTGTGTGATGCCATCATGTCAATATGGACCAAACTCCCTGAGGAATGCTTCCAGCACCTTGTTGAATCTATGCCACGAAGAATTGAGGCAGTTCTGAAGGCAAAAGGGGGCCCAACCCGTTACTAGCATGGGGTACCTAATAAAGTGGCCGGTGAGTGTATATTGGTATACCTTTGCAATGGATATTGTCATTAATTTATAATTACGACTAACAGCTAATTATAATTGTATTACAATTCTATAAATGTATTACTCTATTCTAAAAATTTTGTCAAACTTATGTTTAATGTATATTAAATTGCATGATACCTCCACCCACTCCAACTCCTCCAGGACCTCCGCCAGCACCTCCTGGTCCAATTCCTAGACCACCACCAAGACCTCCATCAACTCCTCCTCTTCCAGCCCCACCCAATGTTCCAGCTCCTCCATAGCCTGATAACACATGACATTTTTTTTTTTTTTTATTATGAATTTTGCCTAAGGATTGGTTATTGCATGATTAAAGTGATCATTTAATGAGTTTTACATACTTTTAGGGGGTTTTAATGCGCCAGGACCATAACCAAGCCCTTAAAAAACAAATAAATATTAGAATATTTAAATGTAAAAAATTGTGAGAGAAATACACCATGAAATGTGTAAATACCTCCAAGTCCACCGGCACTGCCCGGGACACTACCATAACCGCCCGGACCACCACCATAACCGCCCGGACCACCACCATAACCGCCCGGACCACCTCCATAACCGCCCGGACCACCACCATAACCGCCCGGACCACCTCCATAACCGCCCGGACCACCACCATAACCGCCCGGACCACCACCATAGCCACCAGGTCCTGTTCCATATCCGCCTGGGCCTCCAAGCCCACCAAGTGTGCCTGCTGCCCCATAAACTTTGATCAAAGTGATAAAGAGTAATTTAACAGTCTTTCTAGTTCAGTGCATGTGTATACAATCAAACTGCATTTTTATTATAAGAATTGTGGAACAGCGAGAATGTTTTCTGACACCTTTTCCTTGTTTTCCGCCCACTGCAGCCCCACTGGGGAACCTGATGCCTGCAAAAAAGTTTTAAAAATATAGTTCTCAGCAGCACAAGACTGGTGCATAAAATATTAGGAATATGGTGGCTTTTTTGAGTTACCGGTCCCTGGTAGGATCCCACCGGCTCCAAAACTTCCAGCTCCACCATAACCTGCAATAGATTTACAAAAGCCTAAGTCTTTTGTAGATGTTAAGCTTCTAACTGAAGGCCAACAAATGCTCATTATGTAAAAAAAAAAATTCCCCCCCCCAAATTTTTGAGATATTTAAGTGTTCATTAATTTTGTTTTGTTTAAATTTAGCATTTAATTATTTTTAATATTCCACAATAAAATGTTTGTTGATCTGATCAATGCTTTGATTACTTTTGCCTGGTTTCTGCGCCCCGAATCCTGTGCCTGCAGCTCCACCTCCTGGTAGCAGACCACCACCTCCAGGCAGAAGTCCTGCTCCTCCCACTCCAGCTGGACCCACTCCACCCACACCTCCAACTCCCAGAGCTCCAGTTCCACCTGGACCACCATAAACTAGAAAAAAAATAATTTTAATAGATTCACAATTTTATAAATATGCACATAGAGAGCAGGTAAATTACCTTTAGGAGGTTTAACTCCACCTTGTCCTCCACCAACTCCTCCCACTCCTCCACCAACTCCACCAGGAACTCCACCAACTCCTCCCGGAACTCCACCAACTCCTCCCAGTCCTCCACCAACTCCTCCCGGAACTCCACCAACTCCTCCCAGTCCTCCACCAACTCCTCCCAATCCTCCACCAACTCCTCCCGGAACTCCACCAACTCCTCCCAGTCCTCCACCAACTCCTCCCGGAACTCCACCAACTCCTCCCAGTCCTCCACCAACTCCACCAGGAACTCCACCAACTCCTCCTGGAACTCCACCAACTCCTCCCAGTCCTCCACCAACTCCTCCCGGAACTCCACCAACTCCTCCTGGACCACTGCCTACACTTCCAGGTCCTCCTTCAATAGTGCCTGGCGTATCTCCACGTCCAGCAATGGCTCCACCTCCAATGCCTACAGTAAGACAAGTAAAATAAAACTTTTTACAAATAAAAAAGCACCTGCTTGCCCAAAAATACTGAGACAGTAAGGGTAAAAGTGAATGGCATGAAGTACCTGGGGGTTTTAGTGGTTTGGCTCCAGGTAATGTTCCACTATCACCAACTCCTAAGGAAGAAAATATAGTTATTTGAAGAGATTCAGTCACACTAGAACATACATTTACAAATGAACAAAGCATAAAAATCTCTTCAAGCAATGTTAACCACAGACTTTATTTCCAGATAAATTGACAATCCGTCAAAAACATAAAAAGATCCTTTTCAAAGGAAAATTCTCATTTTAGGACTAAACTGACTTGTTAATGAGCCCCACCCCCTGTAAACACATTATTAACTGAACAAGTTGCCTCTGTGTCATAAACATGTTATGTGTCTGAATTTTAAATGCAAAATGTTTTTGGATTAAGAAAAAAGCATTCACAAGCTCAAACAGTTTTAAAATAATGTTTTATAGGCTACTACATCCGTATGCATGAGACTCGTCCTCCACCACTAGAGGGAGATGTAACATTAGCAATTTATAGTCTGACGGATGAAAAAAATTAACATGGTGTAGTTGGATAATGTTCTCGAATAACTCCACCACCAACCAAAAGAAGAAACTGAGAAAATAATCTTGAGCTCATTGATTACTTGTGAGGTCATTATTTTTTAAAGTTATGAAGAGCGGCTATAGTAAACTGACAGCAATATAATATAATTCCACTGTAAATGTAAATATGAATAGCCTGTTTTACCATCATAACAATAACTGGCTAAAAAATAAAATTATGCCATAATTTACTCCAAAACCTGTATGACTTTGATTGTTCTGGTGACCAAAAAGCTGAGATTTTAAAAGAATATTCTGACAAAACCTCATACAAGTAGCCTATCATAAACGTTTTTCATCCAACTCATGGAATATCATCATGAGGTAATGTTGACAATTTCCTTTTCTGGGTGAACTATTCCTTTAAAACACAGATTTGTAAGCTTCTAATAGACTTTAACAATAAGTGTTGTAAGTACATTTACATACAGTGGAGAGTGGAAAAGTACAAACCTGGCACCTTCAAGTCCATCTGTCCATAATACAGTGACCAAAAATAAATGGAAAAATGCAAAGGATAAGGATGTCTACAAGCTCACTGAACAGGAAGGGTCTACCTGGTCTTTCTCCAGCTAAGATGGGTATTCTTGTCCCAGCAGCTCCATCAAGCCCATCAGCTTCAAGGGGGCCACCAGTAACGCCTGAAAAATATTACATACTCAGTTCCTATAATTTTCAGAAAGTTGGAAATCAAACTTAAGGCCGTAAAATGTTCCATTGTTCATTAAATACTTATAACACAAGCTCCAATGGACCCACCTGATCCCTCTATTGGTCCTCCAGATTCTAAAATGATCACAAAATAAAACTGGTGGCTAAAGGGAATCGCCTGCTCGTTTTTTGTTTTTTTTTTTTTTTTGTATAATTTCAAAACGACAATTGTTTTTTTTCCAGATATATGGGGTGGAAAGAAAAAAATTAAACATTTTCTTACCAGTCTTGGGAGCTTTTGTTCCACCTGTGTGTTTAACAAAATGTTAAAATTACAATGCAGGAACAAACAAATTAACAGCTAAAGAACAAATAATAAATATCTATAAATGATAGAAAAAAAGTAATGTCCTTGACCTCCATCACTACGAGTTCCACCATCAGGACTGCCAATCACTAAACAGGGATCAGATAAGACTGGTAGTTATGACACTATGTTGGATATTACATGTGTGTATCTTACTAAAGTGCATTAAAGAACATTAATTAATAATTATTAATTGCATTACCTCCATCAACTCCAGGTTTAGGACCTGCTCCACGATCGGTTCCGGCAGCAGCTGTACTACCTGGAATTGTTGGTCCTCCTGTGATGCCTGGTACCCCTGGATTTAAATAAAAAAATGGAATATTAATATTATATTATACTGGAGAGACGGATTGCTAGATGATATAACCAAAGATCACGAACTCACCATACTTGTCTTGCTTGGTTCCTGAACCTTGTATACCTCCAGCCCCACCTATACCACATGAGATGAAAAGCTGAGCATGTAAACAAATTCCTTCCTGTATCTATTAACTGTTGTTTAGTTTAGTCAGTGATCACCCACCAGTTCCAACTCCAGTTCCTGTGGCCCCAATTCCACCAGTTGCTGGTACCGACCCACCCAACACACTTCCAGCCCCACCAGCTGGTTGTCCTGTTAGATGCAGATGCATGGGGTCAAATCCTAGCCTGAATATATGTGGTATTTTAATTGTGAAAGTTAGGTACCATAAGTGGTTTACCATATTTAGGTGGTTTTTGTGCTCCTCCATATCCTTTAGAATGAAAAATAACAAAACAGGAGATTCACCCACAGATGCTTAAACCAATTGTTTTGAAACAGTATTTTATGTCTCAAGTTTAGTGATCAGCATTGCACATCTAGTTTTTTAAAACTTTACCTCCATACCCCCCATATCCAACACCAGTCCCAAGACCAACCCCAAGCCCTCCAGGCAGAACTGAAAAAAAGTATTCTAAACTTATTATACAAATTCAGCATACAAATCAGTTGTTAGTTTGGTTTGTAAATGTCTGATAATCTATTCAAATTTTAGGGTATGTTATGCTTATCTTAAAGGGATACTCAAACCAAAAATGAAAATTCTGTCATTATTGAGCACTTTAACATGCACACACAACCCGATTATGCTTAATATGCATTAACAGTGCATGTGCTCATGTAAACAGGTTAACCCGTTTTCCATTATCGGAGTATGGTCATAAACTGATCGACACAGCTAGATTTTTGCCCTTCCCCCGATTTCGCCCAGCATGTATACACATTAACCTGTCTTCTGTTGGCTTATTGAAGTACACATGTGATATGTGACAGGAAAGCGTCCTTACTGCGGGTTTAAGAGCATCCAGACAGAGCGAGTGTTTTGTGATAAGGAGGAGGAAATACATTGCAATCTCTGAACACATTCTCATCTCGTGCAGCCAAAGTAGAAGTGGTACAGTCAAAATGCTGCGTGAGAGGATAATATATGAGTCTGTAAGATTCCCGCTGACATGTTGGAATACTCTCAGTTTTTCATACTTTATTTAACATCCCAACCGACATAACTGGATGGAATCCTCAAAGACAGATACAAGAATGATTACATTTTGAAATCTTGTAAGCACGGTTTACTTGCATTGCCGGGTTATTGGTTTGCAAGTAAACTGCGACAACAGATTATTTCAATAAGCTTAATTTTGTGAGTTATCAGCATCCATGTAAACATGCTAATTTACTAACCCTGTGGTTCTAAACCTGTATATAATTCTTTATTCTGCAGAAAAACAAAAGAAGATATTTTGAAGAATGTTGAGACCCAAACAATGACTTATTGTATGGGAAAATAAACACTCGACATTTCTCAAATTATCTTTTTTTTATGTTCCACAGAAGAAAGAAAGGCAAACAGGTTTTGAAACAACATGAGAGTGCGTAAATGGAGTTTTCAGTTTTTTTTGGGTGGAGTATCCCTTTAAAGAGAAAAAAAAATTGCTTCCAATTTTACCTCCAGCACCTCCTCCCACTCCTGGTATAGCTCCTGCTCCTATAACACCTCCAGAACCAGGTAAACCTGTCAAAATATTCCAGTGTTTAGACTCATTTTGTATCATTCCAAGGCAAACATTTCATTTTTAACACGTACGTATATCATTTCAATAAGTTGATATTAAACATAACATAATTATTTAAATATTAGTATTTAATGTACATGAAATATGAATATATATCTGAAAAAACAAATATATGAATAAAATATTTAATAACATTTATAACTTTTTGAATGTAGAGTAAATTAACTAATGATCAACAGCCACTTGCAAGACATATGTAAGTGTATGTAGTACAATTATATATTTAAACTTGCCATATTTAGCTGCTTTTGATCCAGGTCCATATCCTATAGGGCATTATGTGTAATAAATTGAAAGATATGTAGATCAGATACAGCTTTAATAATACACATTTTCTAATGCTTTGTAAATTACCCATTTTTGACTCGCTTAAATTACCTCCAGCACCTGTTCCATACCCAGGCCCAAGCCCTCCTCTGCTTCCTGCTCCAACAGCACTACCAGGCAGTCCTGTTCCAGCAAATCCAGACCCAGGACCTCCTACAGTCCCTGGACCATAACCTCCTGCTGGACCGGTTCCTACCTGACCCTGCAGACCAAGTCCTGGAGCCCCTCCGCTCCCACCAGGACCTGGATTAAAACAATTTAATAAGTGTTAATGTCAAGTTGTAGAAAAAAAAACACTATGTCAATACTGATTTAAAATATCCTACCATATTTAAGAGCCTTTGGTCCACCTGGATAAGCTACATTCAAAGTGAGATACAAAGAATAAATGTAGAAATGGAAAATTGACAGAACATCTTAACTGCATGTAATTCAGGCCCAGTTTAACAGACAGGGCTTAGACTAACCCAGGATTAGGCCTTAGTTCAATTAAGGCATTTAAGTAGCTTTTATAAACGTGCCTTAGAAAAAAACATTACTGGTGTGCATCTTGAGACAAAACAATGACACTTACATATTTTAAGATATGCCAGTGCAAGTCGCTTTCAGTTAAAACAGCTCAAACATGCATTTTAGTCTGGGACTAGCTTAAGCCTTGTCTGTGAAACCGGGGGATAATGTTTGTCAGCATACCTCCAGAGCCAGGTCCATATCCTCCAGCAGGTACTCCTCCTGCCCCATAACCACCGATTGGTGCCCATCCTGGTCCAATTCCAGCACCTGGTGTTCCTCCTCCAGCTCCAGCTGTTCCACTACCAAGTGACCCTCCTAATCCTCCAGGCAATTGTATTCCACCAGCTCCACCAGGAACCCCTTTTTGCAAAAATGCATGATAAAATATCATTTATAAGTAGATTTTTTTACATGGACTCTAAAAATTTGAGAACAAATTTATTTAACTTCCCCTTACCATATTTGCGAGCTTTGGCCCTAGCATATCCTAGAATATAAGAAGACAATGGTTGAGAAGAAATATGATTTTTCAGTGGTTTAAGCTACGTAATATTCTTTTTTTTTTTTTAGCTAATGGTGTCTCTAAAAAAACAGTGTTACTAATAGATTTCAATTTCTTTTATCTCAGTGTCTCAAATCAGAGTAAACCAAAAAAAGCAAGGTCTTAATAGCCCATTTAGTGCCCCTGCGGGGACCTCCATTGATCCTTGCATCACTGCATACCCTCGAAAAATACACTGACTGCAACACTCCCCATCTGGAGAGGGGCATCTGAGCAGGAACCTCCAGATCTTTACCTCTGTTCACCTGCTAATAAAAAACCTCCAGTCTAGCAAATTCAAGATGTCACCTCAGAAAACCTTGGCCAGGCCAATGTGGTCATGCATGACTACACATTAGTGAACTATAAAGAAAGAAGAGCAGAGTATGGAAAAACTACCTAAACTTACATTGCTGTGTGTTTGAATGATGCAGTTATCCCCTCTGAGAACACTGATAAGACACTAGAATGTGCCCAAGAATGTCATGGCTAAACTTACAGCCAAACCCAAAGAAAGGTCATCTGGCTAGACATGTTACTTAGGTTTCCAGATTGGTCAGGGTTTAATTAAACTCCAAGAAAGGCCAAAGCTATCATTTTCTTATGACGTTGCATTTCTATGGTTTGTGATTTTTTTTAGAGATTTTTTTTTTTAGCTTTGTCTTTCTCTGAATTCCTGCAAAAAGAATGACATACCTTGTACATTATTCATAGACTGTCTAGATAGAAGAAACTCAATAGGCAGTTGTGTAGAGAAAGCTGTAAAACTGAGTTGTGCAACATCTCAAAAATTAAAAAAAAAATATATATATTTTTTTATATATATATAAAAAAAAAATATATATATATATATATATATATATATATATATATATACACACACACACTAATATATATATATATATATATATACTAGAGCAACACATGGGAGTAAACTACAGTCTGAGAAAAGTTCTTAAAAATAGGGCACAATGTACTGTGTTAATACAAAGTTTTTTTACGTATTGATTTTTCACAGGTGCTTTACCTGTTTTTTTAATTAACAATTAAGTTGTGTTTTAGGGTTAAAAGAAATGTTCGTAAGCTTAACAGATAATGTCCAGGTGGAAAATTACCACGACTTTTTCTGTTTTTCTACTGATTAAAAAATAAAAAAGTACAGTGTACTCATTTTAGCTTTCTAAGAGTTAGTCCATTCAAAACTATTTAGACTTACTTTTTTAATAATTGTAAATACCGATTTACCTTCAGGTCCAAATGCACTTCCAGGACCAAACCCACCACTGGGTACACCTCCTGGACCGTAACCCACACCAGATCCAACTCCAGTTCCTGGTATACCCCCTGCCCCACCCAGTCCGACACCAGTGCCTGGGCCTAAACCAGCACCTCCACCAAGTAGACCTAGAAAAGCAAAAATAATATATCTGGTTGTAAGCTACAATAAAGTTTGGATAATAAATGCTATCAATAAAACCATCAAAATTATTTTAACAGTATATTGAAGGATTGAATTAACTGTTGTTTTACCATATTTACGAGCTTTTGCCTCTGCATATCCTGCAAAGCATCAGGGTATGTAATATGACCTCAAAACGTTATAATAAAATTTACATCATACAATATGATAGTATAATTTTGTACCAGAGCCAGGAAGTCCTCCAGAACCACCGCTAGGAAGACCACCAGCTCCTCCACCAGGTAATCCACCTGTCCCAAGACCTCCACCAGGTAGCCTACCAGTCCCAAGACCTCCACCAGGTAGCCCACCAGTCCCAAGACCTCCACCAGGTAGCCCACCAGTCCCAAGACCTCCACCAGGTAGCCCACCAGTCCCAAGACCTCCACCATGACGTCCAAGCTGAGCTACAAAGCAATTATCAATGAATATTAATGTATTTCCTTTCTTACGGTGTCTATGACTGTGGTAGAATCTCACAACTTATATGTAATAAAATCATAAAGTCTTGAGTTTTGGGTGGAGAGTACAGATATATCATACAGTGATTTAATCTAAAACAATCAGAGGATCTAATAAAAAATGATTAGGGCCGGATTTGGAGTGTGGGAAACTAGTTGAGGAGTCCTGATGTAGGGTATACAATATTCACAAAATCATTAAGAGGGACATTTATAATATTTTCCTTTTAATCTTTGATTAAAAAGAGCCAAGAATTAAGTCTGAAATTTTGACTGACCTCCTACAATAAGGTTGGGGAATCTCATTGCTTACATAATACTTATCTACATAGCATTCAATCATGACAAATCATTTCTCATGTATTCTGTGAAAAGCTAGGGCAGGTATAGCCAACCTCGTTCCTGGAGAGCTACCTTCCTAAATTCAGACCTAACCCTGTTTGAACACACCTTCCTGTAATTTTCAAATAGTCCTCAGCACCCTAATTTAGGTGGACAGGAAGGTACTGTAACTCTCCAGGAGCAGAGTTGCTCAGTCAGATATATATCATTTATGGACACTGAAGACTTTTAACAATACCATTCATATTTATTTGCCTTAGATCGATCGCATTGCAAAATGCAGAATGTAAAGTCATACCATATTTTCTTGCTTTAGCCGCAGCATATCCTAAAAAATGACAGAATAGTAGACATTGTTGTGCGGTTAATAATAATAATATTAACTTTCAGCAGCAAAAGAAAGTCATTTTCAACTAACATTATTTTCAAGATACCTTCAGGACCAACTCCAGGTCCGGGGAGTCCACTAGCTCCTAAACCAGAACCAAGGGGTCCACCATGACCACCCAAGCCAGAACCAGGAAGTCCTCCAGCTCCAAGACCACCTACTCCCAAGCCAGAACCAGGAAGTCCTCCAGCTCCAAGGCCACCCACTCCCAAGCCAGAACCAGGAAGTCCTCCCGCTCCACCAATTCCTAAAATAGACAACACAAAATTAATAGAAATTAAGATGATTCTCTGTTTCTATATTTGCCAAGAGCATTTGCTACATGCTGCATGATAATTGTCAAACAAGCAAAATCAGCTCTTAATTTTTCATGTCTACTTTTTAAAGTAACTGATGAAAAAATTCACAAGGCATAAGATTTAAGATTTGGTTTCCCCCTTATATCTGCTGTCATTTATTAACACCTATCCATTTCCATGAAAGACACAGTTGTCAGCCAGGTGATGGTATATAACAAGAATTTAAAGGTTTTCTTACCATATTTCCGAGCTTTTGCCCCAGCTCCTGATGAAAGACAATTCATAGATATTATAATACTTGAGCAATTGTCACTGTTTTAGATAATCTCTAAATATTTCAGTATATTTATAGTAAACCCTGAATTTACCTCCAGGATAAACACCACCAGCTCCCGGATATAAGACTCCAGGAGTTGCGCCACCAGTTCCAGGAATGACTCCAATGCCTGGTATACCGGCCGCACCTGGAACACCGCCTATTCCCGGCACTCCACCTGCACCAGGTACACCTCCTGCACCAAGCCCACCACCTAGACCCGGAACACTACCAGCACCTGAAAGGGGAGTCAAAATATTAAGCATGTTCTTTTGACATGTATTGAAATATTGTTCCTGCATGACTTACCATACATGGCAGCTTTAGCCTGAGACTTTGCAGCGCTTGTGCCTTGAATGAGGTAGAAAGTAAATTTCTATAAATACACTGTAATCATTTGGCAAGTATAGTGTATGATGGTTTATATCAAATCAAATGTGAATAACTACCATGGATAAATGGACAGTTTTAAATGCCTACTACCTCCAGACTTAGGTGATATAAGAGGATATCCACGGAACACGCCTGGAATTTGTTGACCAAAACCTCCGCGGCCTCCTGCAAGAGAAAAGAGAAGTGATCTCTGTTATAAGTAGTTTTCATACCTTATTAAAAGAATTGTTCTTTCAGTAATTTAATTTACCATTGGCTCCAACTGCACCTTGACCAAGCTGCCCTATAAACAACAAAATAGGAGAGAGCGCTTCAGAAAGCACTTTCATTGTTGGATAAAGCTTTAAATTATAAAGCTATAAATAAACTATAAATTACGTAAAACTTACCAGTTTGAGATCCTGTGGCTACACCTGGCAGAATGCCTCTACCACCAAAGCCTAAACATAAAAACAAAAATCCAGATTTGTTATATCTGTGTGAATATTCTAGAAACACTGGAAAATCTTGTAACTGTCAAATATTTCAGTCACTCACCTTGTCCAGGAACAATACCCCCTTGGTATAACCCAGGGATCCCAACCCCTTGTTTGAATGCAGAAAAAGAGAAAATATAAAACAATGCTTTCTTATCAAAGATTTGTTAAAACTATTCCAGAAAAGGGGAGTTTTATCAATAGACGCCAATTACCTGGCACTGGTGCCTTCCCAGTCTTTCCGACTTTGCCCCCAGTGCCTGTCCCAGTTCCAGGTAATCCAGTTTGGGGGAGAAAAGGTGCTAGGAGCCATAATGAAGTTGCAAACAATTTATTATGATAATATTTATTATTAAGATACTTTAATACAATTATGGCCCTCAAAACCTACCTCCACCAGGCACAACTCCTGCTCCTCCAATTCCAGTTCCAGTGCCACCAGGTCCAATTCCTACACCTCCAGGACCAACTCCTGCTCCACCTGGACCAAGTCCTGTGCCACCTTGTCCAATTCCTGTCCCACCTGGACCAATTCCTACACCACCATGTCCAATTCCTGTGCCTCCTGGTCCAATTCCTACACCTCCAGGCCGAACTCCTGCACCACCAGGTCCAATTCCTGCACCACCTGGACCAAATCCTGCACCACCTGGACCAAATCCTGCACCACCAGGTCCAATTCCTGCACCACCTGGACCAAATCCTGCACCACCTGGACCAAATCCTGCACCACCAGGTCCAATTCCTGCACCACCTGGACCAAATCCTGCACCACCTGGACCAAATCCTGCACCACCAGGTCCAATTCCTGCACCACCTGGACCAAATCCTGCACCACCTGGACCAAATCCTGCACCACCAGGTACAAATCCCATTTCAGAAGGATCCAGCAGTTAAATGTTTTCTTGAAAAAATGTACTTTAAATATTTTGCCAAGAATACATTTTTTTTGCTGTGATGTAAAACAAGATGCTTTAATCAAGATTTGTGTCCTACCACAAGTAACAAAGTATCACACCTTTATTTATGCCAATACTCATGTCCATAGATCTAGTTTTACCTGGTTTTGGTGGCTTCTGGCCAGCTGTTCCAGCTCCAGGATAAAGACCTCCAGGCCCACCGTATCCACCATAGCTGCCTAAAATCAAATTCCATTTTTTAAGCAGCAAAGCTTTTTGATTTTTACCTCAGAAAGAAAAATATGATCACTTTATGCTTTTTTAAACAATGGTCTTAGTTTTATTGTAACATTTTATCCCAGTTTTTCATAACTGCAGTAAAATGTTCTTTATTTTATGTCTTTAACCTAGGAGGAAAGAAAGTGTATCCTTACCACCTGATGGGTAGCCTGTTCCAGCACCTCCAGGTGTAAGTGGAATAGCACCAATCCTGGGATCTCCTGCTCCAAGACTTCCTGTTCCAAATGGTCCACCACCGAAACCCCCAGGCCAGCCATAACCTAAATTTAGACCATCAGAGGTAAATGCATTTCAAAACCGCTGACAGTATGCTGCTTTCAAACTAAAGATATTTCTGAATACAGTAGCTATAAGAATTAATAAGAAATAGTAACTTTCACAGCGAAAACAAAACGTGTATTTGAAGTGTGAGTGCACAGTGTTTTTGTTGTAATTGCAAAATACTTTTTATATTTACATCATACCTGGTTTCCCAGGTTTTCTGCCTGCTCCTGTGACAATGCAAAATTATTTATTTTAATGAAATAGTACTGTGAAAAGAATCAGTATAAAGACATTAAAACAACTAATGTTCTTTGTCTACTATTAATAAGAAATATGTCTTACCAGGACTCAAGACACCTGGTCCAATGCCACCTGGTCCAACACCACCTGGGACAATGCCACCTGGTCCAACTCCACCAGGAACAATGCCACCTGGTCTAACACCACCAGGAACAATACCGCCTGGTCCAACACCACCTGGGACAATGCCACCTTGTCCAAATCCACCAGGAACAATGCCACCTGGTCCAACACCACCAGGAACAATGCCACCTTGTCCAAATCCACCAGGAACAATGCCACCTTGTCCAAAGCCACCAAGGCCTCCATAACCTGTAAATAATGTGTGTGTATATATATATATATATATATATATATATATATGGAGTGAATCTACCTTAAATGTCTCACTGTATAAAGACCACAGTCCAACAATAAATCTTAAACAGTGCATTTTACAGATTGCTAACCTGTTTTGGGGGGTTTTCCTCCCACACCTAGAAGCAGGAAATGAAAAAAAAAACCTTCACTAAACAAAACCTTATATGTTTGGGGTTATGCTTTTAAATATTCATAAATAGTTAACATTTACAGTAGTTTTATTAAATTTCTAACCTCTTCCAGCACCTCCTGGACCAACTCCACCAGTACCAAGCCCTCCCACACCAGTGCCCACGCCAACTCCTGAAAAAAAAGAAGATTTTTTTAGAAACATCACCATAAAAGATTGTCTACCTTAAAGTTTAACTTTGTGGAGTACCGTGGAGTTTTTCTACCTTGTCCAGGTAGTCCTGTGCCAAAACCACCAGCTCCTGGACCAACACCAAAACCACCAGGTACTAAACCTCCAAGGCCAGCACCCCCTGGCCTCAGTCCAAGGCCTCCAAGACCACCAGCACCACCAGCACCACCAAGACCTCCAGCTCCAAGAGTGCCATAACCTGTTTGTGGGAAGCAAGACTCATGCAAACCTCAATGAAACCAATACATTGTTTGCTTAATTTAATGTATGTAGTTAAAATTGCAAATATATACAAGCACTTTATTGACTGCAGTTTTCTCCCACTCACCAGGTTTAGGGGGTTTTCCACCAACACCTACAGATAGAAAATATAGGGTGAGTGAAAAAAGTGCTTCCCAGAAATAGATCAATCTCAGTCTACCCCCTTACCCAACAAATATGAAGTTTCCAGTATTATTTGGCTCAGGTAATTGAGTTATTCTACAATCCCACAAAGACTAGCAGAACCTTGTTAAGGAATAGGTGAGATATGTTTGATTACTTATTAGTAAAATTACTTTTTAAGAAATAATACCTGCTCCAAGGCTTCCAGTTCCAACACCAGCACCAGGGCCAGTCCCTCCAGGTCTAGTTCCCACGGCTCCAAAGCCTCCGGGACCTATGCCACCAGGTACAATACCTCCTGGACCAATGCCACCAGGTCCAATACCTCCTGGACCAATGCCACCAGGACCAACTCCTCCAGCTCCAGGAAAAACACCTGTACCACCTGGTCCAATTCCTGGTAGATATCCTCCTGTGTTGACACAATGAACTTCTCATCTAATGTAAAATCAATGTCTCTGGCAATCTTAATCAATAACATTAATCCAAAATTTTAACATGAGTTACAACGCACCTGTTTTAGGTGGCTTGACAAATGGCCCTATTAGAAAACATAAAATTGGTTATAGGTCCTTTTTGTGACTTGATAGCTTGCCCCTGAATAGTTTATTATGTTAATCAGAAAGATAATACAATTCATAAAAATTAAAGCTCCTGTAGGTAACTTTTGAAAACATGTATTTGCTAAAACTGTCATTATGTCCTGACAGTAGAATATGAGACAGATAATCTGTGTAAAAATCAAGCTCCTCTGGCTCCTCCCAGTGGTCCTATTGCCATTTGCAAGAAATACACGCTCCCGGTCAGAAACAACCAATCAGAGCCGAGAGGAGTGTCTTAGCAGTGTCAGTCACGCTCGTGTACGCGCTGATCACACCCCTCTTGCACAGCGCGAGCGCCGGAGCGCGAGCCGTTGTTCAAACTGGTTCAAACTCAAGATTGCCGACGTGCTGCAGCTGTGCTTATGACGGAGAAACAACCTAAACTGCCAATTCTCGAGTGACACCTGCTCATAAAACAAAGAGGTAAAAGGAAAAAGACTGATGACGATAATAACATGTAGATAAAATGTCACGCACTCTGCTAAGCAACAATTGAAACCTGCTAATTCACTGGCTTGTCATGTTGCTGAAATAATGTCCTAGCACACCTTATCTAGCATTATATATCGCTAGAATAATTACTTACATACTGTAACGTTAGTTACCGTTATATTAACGTTCTCTTACTAGCTATTTATAACTTATAGAAAGAGTGCAACGTTATAAAGTTACATGTAGGCTATTGGAAAATACATAATGATTTGAGGACCAAGTTTGTAGTCAAAGTATGGGCAGGCCATAGTCAATGTAAAGCATATTGTTGACGTTTAGTCCCTATTAGTGAATGTGCCATATAACTTTTTATCCGCCGTTATGGGTGGCCCTGTTTACTAGCCTGCGCGTTCACGGCAGGCTCCGCTGTGGAGGGAGGGCTGTAGCGCAGCAGAGAGCAAGGGGGTGGGACCTGTAAGTTGTGCTTGTTCAAATTTTCAGGCTAAATCAACGTTTTCTCAAAACTCCCTACTGCAGCTTTAATAAAAGTAAATAATAAAAATGACACTTGTTTATTAATTTTCTTTCAATCCTGCAACGGCAGTTTAAGGTAAATTACAAGTAATATGTACAGAAAATTTCAGCAACCTGTTCCAAGTCCTCCAGTGCCTAATCCACCAGTACCAAGTCCTCCTGTATCAAGCCCTCCATCACCAGGCCCAACTCCCCCAAGACCTCCAATACCCAGTCCAGCACCTTGCCCCCCATATAGACATTATATACATACATTATATATAGGATTGAATTTGATAGAGCACTGATATGCAAGCTATAGACACTAATTGCACACAACTTGTTTAAGAATAAATGTGAAACCTCACCAGTTCCAGGTCTGATGCCAATTCCTGGCCCTGTTCCAAATCCACCAGGACCAGCACCTGGACCTAATCCTGTTCCAACTCCTGGCCCAACACCTCCGATTCCAGAACCAAATCCACCTCCTGGACCAGTTCCTATATTGGTTCCAAGTCCAGCTCCAGTTCCAACACCAGCCCCTAATCCAGCTCCAGCTCCTCCCCCTGCACCAGCTGGTATGTAGATACCTGAGAGAGAAAGAGAACATTAATAAACTGCTTTATTAATATGTCCCATGAAGGATAGCATGACAGACTGAGGACATAAGGAAGCATTTAGTTGTGTGTTTGACCTGACAAACTACAAAGAAAGGCAGAAATTGATAAGAGGGGAATAAAGAAAATATTCTCTGAAACATTATTAGTAGAAATGACCAAATCTGCTGTGAATATCACTGCACTGCAAACCCATTGAAATTTTTTTTTTATTATTGTCAGACGATGCATATTAGGATCTCACTCCTGCAACACATTACCAGTTTATGAGGACCATTCTTGTAATTTACTCAGTGATGATGCCACATACCCAAAGGGTTTCTATCTAATCTCCACATCTAGTCTTTTATGTGAAGCCTCAAACAGCACCAAATGCATTACCACATGAGTTTGTGTGTCCTCTCGCCTTGCTGTTTAAGGTTTGGAGGCATAGGGGAACAGAGAATGGATGTGATTCACATGAAGAACAACATCCTATACATGACCTTATCCAAGAGCTTAGAACTAAAAAGCTCAAGTCCTTTATTCTACAAACCCTCTGGGACAAGCTTATGTGTTGTTAGTGTATGATGTAATGATCTGGACCAGAACTTCTCAGATCTTTCCTTCCACATGAATAAAAGATGGCAAGTGGGAAACCTTGTTTTATCCAAAAACACAAACAATGAATTAAAATCCTTTAAAAATGCAATTTACATTGTTTATAAGAATCCATCTGGTTTTATGTAGTACTATTTGTCGTTGTATCAAAAACTTTCACCAAATGCAAATACATCAGATTTCACTCTAATACTAATATTTAGTTTAAACTACATAATGCAAAAGTAAAAAAGTATGATTAAATCAAATATATATTCTATATTTGCTATATCAGCTTCTTTTATTTGAAGAGCTTGTAGCTTTACTGTATCATGAGTGGGCAATGTTGCCTTATCGCCGTAAAGTTTAATTAAGATTAAAAGATAATGCAGGAACAAGACTTGAGTCAAATTTTATTGACACAAACCATCCTGCAACAATAAAACACAGCATGTCCTCAATAAAGGACTTTTCAATAACAATTGCTTACTTTTTATTCATCCATCCTTTACCTGTAAAACATTCAGAATACAGATAACAAATGACTGCATCCACTGTTGGCAATATGGCACTGATATTAAGAAAGCGTGTGATGCTATTGCCAAAACAGCAGTACACCTGTAATGCAATAAGATAGAAAAAGCCAAATGAGTTTGAAGACACCTTACCTCCTTGAAGGGAAGGTCTACACAGAAACAGCAGGAGAAATCCATGCAAGAGCAGAGGTACCTTACTCCGGGCCATCCTGCTCTGTAATATCCCTCTCCACTTCCAAACTGTGGGTTTTATCCCCCAAAAGCAAATCATTACACACCCATGTCTTAAACAAGAAGGATAAGGGGTGGGGGGTCAGTATGAAAGAGAGAGAGAGAAAAAAAGTAAGGATGAAGGAACACTACGTAATTAGGGAAACTAGCACACTTGGGTCTTGTACATTATGTTGTTTTTTTCTGTTTTCTCTAACCCCACCCCTAACCCCCCTAAATGACTGGTGCTAGTGCATTTATTTGGGTCACTTCTGCCAACATGAGTCAAAGCCTTAGCCAAAAAAATAGCAACAGATATTTGAGGAGAGGGAGAAAACCTCTTTCTCTCTTAACATCTACCTCACCAAGAGAAATGTCTGCCAGATATTCTCATGGAGAGCATTTCTTTTTTATCCAATCAAAAGCAGCAAGAAATCACTCCAGATAAGGTTATTACGTGATCTATTGTTTCCAGCTACGGGGGTGTAAGTAACATTTAAGGCCCGGATCCATTATTCAATCATTCAAGAAGGAAGAGAGCTTGGCCACTTGGACAGCCTCCAGCTATCACTCTATTGTTATTAACATATGAGTCCCTGAGGAACACATGAAATCATGTATGTGATGGAAAATCATTGAATGGGTGTGTGTTGGAACACATTATTAAAGGTTGACAACACAGATTTGAATAACCCCTCTAGCGCCAAAGCCTTTAGATCCAACTGGGGTGTTGACGGCTAAGTCATGAAGACTTTTGAAATATTGGTGCATCCTTAAGGCTCAATGTGACCTCTGAGAATGGAGGCTTACAACTGGGACCAGTACATCCTAGCCTTTTCGTAAATTAAGTTGTTTCTCTCCTTAGGTAATAAATTGTCATGTACTTCAAACTTCAAACAGTCTTTTAGGCTGAATGACATCCAGAAGATTCAAGTTTGATTCATACTTTATGCTAAAACTGCGGAGAACGTCTTATCTTAACAGTTATCTTCAAAGCTATCACTCGCAACTGCCTGTTAGATTCTTGCACATACATACATTCTGGCAGTTTGTGTCAAATTTTGTAAAGAAACCAAGGGGGTTTTCTGGAAAGGTACCATATCCCCCTCCCCACCCCTTGCTGAGTTTTAAACCCAGATTGTCTAGCACTCCTTGTTTGGTCTGGAGGAGTTTTGCCAAAAAGTCTGCGTTCAAGCACTAGTTGTGTTTCAGGCTATTGGCACGGAATAAGATTAGGTCATTCCTCTACTGATAGACGCTTATTTGAATTCAATGTAAAACTGTGTACATGTGAATACCTTTATGTGTGTTTGGAGGTTCAGAAGGGAAGTGCTGGCAAGAAGCAGATCTCAGTAATCAAGAATGAAGAATTAATGGATGGTCTTTACAACATCCATGTCCATAACTGTGCAATGATCATGTGCAGAAAGCATTGACAACTAAGCATTAAAAGGCACATGCTAGTTGTAAAAAGATCTAATAATGAGTCTGTCTCTGTAAATTTGCATCATTAGACATAGAACCAGAGTTTTACACTTTCTGAAAAAGTGAGAGCGTTTGCCTGTGTAAAACTTTACCAAAGTGTTTTTCTAAAGTGCCCTGAGTGGTTTTTATTGCACTGTGATGTGGCTGCTAGGTCATTGCTATGCAGTTGCTAGGGTGTTCTGGGTGGTTCCTTGGGTGTTGTAAATAATGCAGTTTCTAGGGCATTTAGAGAGGGTGTTGCTATACAGTTTCTAGGGCAGTCGGAGAGGGGTTGCTTGGCCGTTGCTAGTGCTTGCTAGGGTGTCCTGGATAGTTGCTAGGGTGTTGCTATGGAGTTGATATGCGGTTCAAAGGGAGTTCTCGGTGGTTGTTAGGGTGTTGCTATTTAGTTTCTAGGACATTCAGAGAAAAAGTGATTGCCATGCAGTTGCTAGGGTGTTTTGGGTAGTTGCTAGGTAGTTGAGTGTATGAAATTCCACAAATTTTGTGACGGAACTTATGAACATTCAAAACAATGTTGTGTGCTGGGCTAAATGCGCTTGTTATATGTGCAGACGTATGATGCCGTTTTGACAAGCTGAGAATTCATAAAGAGCTTATAAAATGAGATGCGGTTCTGACGCCTGTACCGAACTCAATTGGGCAATGTAGCTCCTAAGAAAAAACAACTTGAGCATTCTCCCCCTTTTAGGGTCACATCTGGTGACATCACGTCCTGTTTTGGTTCGTTTGCATGTCTTTGGTCCGTGTTGCGTTGATATTTCAGTCGAACCGCACCAGAGTTTGTTTGGAAACGGACCGAGACCCACCTTTTCATCTGTCTTGGTCCGCTTGTCTGGTGCGCACCAGGGTTGGGATGGCAGCGTACACACATGTTCAAATGAACTGCACTAACAGAGCAATCGCAACAGAGTTCGTTTTAATCAAACCAAACCTGCAAAGTGTAAACACATTCTAAGTCTCTAGGATATTGTCGTCCCTCCTTTAATGTACTGTAAGTCTGTTTTTTCTTAGCTTGTTTTTGGTCCACCAGAAGCACATTTTAATTCTGATTGCTTTAAAAAAAATGTAACAGCTCAAATTTCATCAACAAGCTACAAAATTTGAGCAATCATTCATGTCCATATCACAAATAGGGTTGGGAATTTGTACAAATTTAACTATAATGGTGATGCTTGCCCTATAGTAAGCAATACTAAAAAAGGAAAACATGATGCTCCCATATTCTAAAATGAGAGGCAAGCCCCTTTTGTCTCTTTTGAAAAGTTTCCCATTATAACACACATTTGAACTTGATATCCAATAAGCAGACAGTTTTAAAACAAGCTGAACGCTATGTTTGGCCTGGGTGAAAAGCGATAAGTCAGCTATCTGCTGACCCAGTTACACTCTGAATCAGGGGTTGACAGCTGATTCAGCCAAATGTCAAAAGGTTTTTTTTTTTTTAGAGGTGGATTTATAGTAGAACAGGGTGTTTTCTCTGCACTACAATCCTGTAATTAGACAGAAAGTCTGTTTCACTGCCTTTCACAAAACATGATTGAAATGGTTTTGCATGGCCACTTTGATGGAGGAATAGTTATGTGGTGAAACAAATGTGGAATAAAAAGAACTATACGTAAACAAAGGAGATATATGCCTCGGCTAAGCAGATAAAGTAATTTGAGGAAAAGCTTGAGAACATTGTGTCCATTGATAAGGCTTGATGCAATAAGGACACATGGAGACTTGGCATGCGTTTTGTTTTGCTGAGGATCTCTGACCTAAAAATCTAACTCTATCAAAGTAATACAAATATATCCAATACAGCACCACCTGAATTTTCTTGTGTTCCAACAGCTGCTTTTTGTAAACCCTACCACCCCCCTGTCCACATAAAACAGTTATGCACACAATCTTGCAGCGGAGTGCCCAGTGCCAGTGCAGAGAAGCATATCGCAGTTGTGCATACAGCTGTTGACTGAAAAGTGCCTGTTTTCAGTTTACCTAACGTCTACCTTCAGTTTACCTAATGTCTGCTGTCTATATAAGGGCCGGCACACTGAGGCAGGCTGAGGGAAACTGCCTCAGGTTTTAAAGCGAGGAGGGGCATCAGAATAGGTTTCCAAGGGTCCCGTCCTTCAGATAAGCTGGCACTGCTGCTGAGATTTCTCAGCTCATTTCTTTCATTTTATTGCAGTGTGGGCTATACAAAAAGATGTGGTGGGCTTGAATATTGAAACAAACGAGGGTTTGAGCAGGTGCATAGGCCACAGTCAATGTAATGGAAAGAATAGGAAAAGTCTGATTTGCATACTACAACATGGTTAACACCAATATAGAGTTCATATTCAATTTATAAGATTATAATATCAGCAAAATAATTTTAGTGAAAAGTGTAACTGAAAAATAAGATTGTATAAAATATGTTAAATTTACAGTTTTAAATGTTAAGAGGGGAAAAAATCTGATTTTCAATATGGTCTCAGATATTTTTCTACCCCATTGCAAATATTGATGAACTGACTTCAGAAAGTCCTTAACAAAAATGTAATGGTGTACATTTTGTAGATAAATTATGCTATTCATAGTTTTCAGTAACGTGACTGGTGCTGAGACCTGGAGGGCAAAACATCCATAGAACTGCATTACAGGTCTGTCAATTTCCCATCTCAAAAGAAGAAAAACAAAAATATGCAAACATAATGCAAGTTTTGGGCACTTGTGGTCCATATACAGCACTGCTGCAGTATTTTAATCACTAAAAACGGCGGGATATTCTAAAACAATTAACATGAAAAACACTTAAAAGATCCTTAATGTATTAATCAAATTCAGTATACACTTACTGATAATGCATATTATATACAGGCGAGCAGATGAACCCAGAATATGTGCTGAATGGTTTCTAAATGTGTTTTCTTTATAATGTTTTTCTATGGGAAAAAGCTCAACGAAAAACGACGTATGTTTATATCTGCTTGCCTGTTGCCTGTAACTTTACTTTTGTAATGCATTACAATATTGCGTCACTCCCTAAAAAAGTAGCAAATTGTGTTACTTAGTTATTTTTTATGGAAAGTATTGCATTATGTTACTTTTGCGTTACTTTTTCTCATCTGGGCTAGGCTTGCTTGTTTTTTAATAGCAAAAGAAAAAGTCATATTTTTGTCAAAAGGTCCTTTCACACCAAAATTGAAAGGAATAAGCCTCAGGCTGAAGGAAATGCAAATTCACGCCTGTACAGTAGTGTGATTGATTGGTAAATAAGGTTTGATAAAATACATTAAGTAATTTATATTATTTAACATATTTAATTATTGCAGGTTTGCATTGTGTTCTGAGTTTGCATTTGTTTTTATTCATTTTGAGGAACACTGAATCTGTTTTTGTGCAAGTGAGATGAGTAAATTCATGCTTACATTTAGTCCAGAACTACAATAAGCAGCGTCATGTTTACGCAGTACACACAACGCCTCTGCACTTACTCCTGATTTCTCTCAACACGGGAACAGGAGAGCTAACAGTCAATACATGGGAAAACAAAGTAACTTGCTTATTTGAAAATGTTGTTGTACATTTAAAAGTAATGCTTTACTTTACTAGTTACTTGGGGGGAAAAAAGT